TATGGTGATTTTCGGTATTGTATTGTCCTGTAGCTTCTCGGGGGGGGGGGGGGGGGGGGGTTCTCGATTGACAGCAGAGCAGTTTAAAAGACATTACAGTCCCAGGCGTCGAGATTCTGTAGTTGACGTAGCGACCACGTGTCTGTTTGAACGAGACAATCGATCAGATCGGTTCTCATTAGCACAGTCTGGGGACTATAAAGGGATACTGTCCAGATATCTCACAGTAGAGCGAGAGCAGTAGAAAACGTTTGATGTAATCAGGGCGAAAATTAACACTCTTGTTGTATTCAGGTACATACCATACTGGTTTTTTTACGGGGTGCCCCGGGTCTGAAAATCTGTTCAACTACAAGTATCTATTACTTGACATCTTACTGAAGAACTGCACACACTTCCCTTATCTTTGTATCAGGACTTATAATAAAACCTGATGGTCTCTATATTCAATATACAGTAAATCCACCGATTATTTGATTTCACATGACCATGCTGTTCTTCAACAGCATATGGAATTGCACACAATACCTGTCGATGTCAGTGACTAACATGCAAATTGCTAGGAGAGCCACCAATTGCTGGGAAACGAAGCTATAAGTAGCCGTTACTGCGGGGTTTGGCGCGTAGCCATGATACAAACCGTCTTGGCCCAGGTCCATGAGTCCATTTACTCCCTCCTCAGTCGGTAGTAAGTGTTGAATTGAAAACCTTGACGTGGGTGACAAACCACTAGCTGATTTGTCAACCTGAGGGAGTTCTCGGTCGAATCCTCTACTAGGATGCGGAGACTCTCCTAATGAGTCTATCTGTTAGAGAAAAGAGTCTGGTTTACTGGAACGCCTCCCTGCAAGTGATATGTAAGTCGCTAATGTATTTTCTATATAAAAGTGCATTTTATTCCACAATAAGGACCAAAGTCCCGCCAGTAGAAAGAGTATGTACAATGGAAGGACAACCAGAAAAGAGATCAATTGACGTTTCCAAATTGATGTATGTTTTCTCCCTCGATAAGCACATTGCTATGTTATCGTAACACTTGCACCAGTGAATAAATTTTGTCTCAACAAAAGATTGAAGAATATCCAGGGTTGGAGAGGTGTTAGAGAGAAAAAAAGGAGAAAACCTCCGCATCATGGTTGGTACTGGGCTCTGGTGCTTGACTATGGCTGATCGGACGAAGTCGTCTATATGACAGGACCATGGAAACTTCAGTTCGATTCTCGGTCATGGCAGTATCACACAGTTACTGTAGCATCTATTTTGCTCCCAGAAGCATATCTGTGTGTTCAACATGGTGCCGCCTCTGGTACCATGATCTTGTCATAAGTATCGTAGAGATAGGCTGTACTTTAGTGAGTGAAACTTCAGCAAAACTCTCAACTGTAAAGCTGCACCTTTTTTTAAGACTAAGCATCGATTATGCAAGCACTTTAAAACAAAGAAACCCAGTCATACAGTAGCTATACGACTTCGAATCGAACGTCACATATAAATGTTATAAGAGCCTGTTTCAGAGATAGTAGAAACGAGTTTCAACTTTTTTTAAGTCTTTGAGGATCAAGCCGTGGTAGGTACTGTACTTATACAATCTGTTCCTGCTTACAAGTATGTACTGTGCATACCGTTGTAGTCTTAACTGTAAACTATGCCGACTGAGAATGGGTACTATATACGGTTTTTTTGTCATGATATAAGGCTATAATCACTTACATCCTCAAAAAATATTGATAGAATGTCACTGTGATATGTCATGATTTGGACCTATTATTTCATTTATACAATATTTTTTTTCTTTAGTCATGTCGAACTATTTGCTGTTGTGGTATTCCTTTATCATTTCTTTAGTTACTTAGCTAATTTGAGTGTTTTTCTGTCTAGTAGTTTGAGAGTCGGATCAGGGTCACACCAGAATGACAGAAAATGAACTACTGTATGTACATGTACTCTACAATGTCGGTTCTCGTTGTCACCGGTTGGAAATCGTTGGAGGACTGAAATCGGCGTTGTGGAAAGAAACTAACATTCAAGTTGGAGTTCCCTAAGGGCAAGGGCAAGGGCCAGGAGTGGTGTTTTGATGTCAATAGCAAACTTAGTGAAAGAAGGCCTTCCATACCAAGTATAACAACGATGCCCCTTCGACCCCAGTTCCCCAGTTCTCTACAGTAGCTCGAATCGCATAATTCCGCATAGTAACTACTCTACTGTTCTGTACTGTAATGTCATTCAACTATTGTCAGAACACATTGAAATCGACAAATGGATGCTTAATCAGTTGTGTATGGGATTGGTAATCCGCCCTTGCGTTCCTCTTCTTCTATTAAGAGCTTCATGATCCAACAATCAAATAACATATAAACGGTAACTCTTTTTTCCAGCGTACTCCGGAACGGGCTGATAGTATCGTGGGAAAAGAGATACCGGGAGCCCTCCAGGTGTATAATCAGATCCTATTTCGTTGAGGGTTAGAGATTCAAGGTGTACTGCATCTTCAAGGAACGTTACTGTGGCTACTGTACCGGTACAAGTACAATGTGAATCAGGCAGACACTGCATCTGTCTTACGGAACTCATACTTCCATCAGAAAGGCAGTGTGAATCTAAAAGTATTCGACGGGGCTGCTATCCATTGTTGCATAAATGTCCATACCAATATAAGTGCATATACAAACATCGGGTCCGAAACCCCTGACCAACTTTCGTTCAGAGTAAACAGGATGGTATAAAGTGCATAGCTTAGGTTTTACAGAGTTGTGTTCCTCCATCCATCTCTCGTTTACTGCTCCATTCTCTGGTTTTCTGAGGATTCACTACGTTTGCCAGGTACCCGTCTTCGGACTTTAGTCCAAGGGATAGGGACACATCACATGAAAGTCTAGACCATGGGCAATTCCCTTCCAGTGTATACTTAGTCGGTTTTAATGACTTTTAGGGAATTGGCAAATTACTTCGGGTATTGGTCGAGCACATGTTGATATCAGCTATTTGTAGGTAAGACTACTGGGTAATGCGCTACCATGGGTACAGTACTGTATTGTCAAGCGCATTGGGTTACCTGAGTCTCAAATTCAACTGCATTAGCACGCTTAGTCTCCATCGTTACCCCTTCGTATATTACACCCGCCTGAACAGTTGTATCATAGCTGGCATATATAGGTGAGCACGTAACACTGCATCATGCGTGAGCCAACACGTGAAAAGTGTACTAAAAACGTCCGGCAATGCTCCTCAAGGTCGATTTTGTACCACATTAGTACAAAATTTTTATACCATCCTGAACCGATATGGCTTCCCATCTCTTCTCGACAATATCTTTCGTAGGATCTAAGCATGGCTGTACCGATCTTGGAAGCATAACATAAGCATCTATTGACGTACTTTTGGAGAATGTAATAATCGCAGTGAAAACTTATCTAGGAGTATATTTGGCAGTCTCAGATCCCCCTTTCAAGTTTCTTCGCCCTCCCAGATCCCTTTTTAGTGCCAATATCCTACCAATCGCGACTCGGTTGCGCTAGCCCATAAATTCCATTTATGCGTCGTCGTGACATCGAGGCGTTGGAGGGGGGTTCCCAGTCGAGACACGGGAAACAGCGCTGGTATGAACATTAGACAAAGTAATTTTGACGTACTTGCAGCTCCACACAGGTGCAACTTGATAGCCCACGGCCTGTCTTTCTCTCAAACGGTTGTTATTCAATGTCTCTCCCGAACTTTTCCCCTGTTACAAATAGGTACGAGTACAGCACAGTATTGTACTTGTACTACGTTACGTGGATCTATAGAAATAAACATCTGAAGTAAAGTACCGTATTGTAACAAAATGTTGGGCGTTACATGAGGTATCGTATGTTCACATTCCATACGTTGCAGCATTATATCAGACAAGATAGCATGCATGAAACAATTGCGAGGGTTTTGTATAAGGACAATTGAAAGAACATGTGAAAGAATCCTGGATAATCCTGACTTCTTGTAGATGTCCTACGGTGGTCTTGGATGTGCTTTAATATCGTTTCTTTTGATATGTAGTTCTAACCATGAATGAAATGCCCATCCAGATCAGGTATCGGTTTTTGAATCCCCATACTTTTTTCTCCCAAAGTAGATGTAAACATAATGGTTTGAGAAAAAGTTGGTTCGCATTTGGTGCCATCATTCCGGATGTGCAACTTCTGTGCAAGATAATCGTGCCTTGTCCAGGCTGGGTTGCATGGAACGTAAGTAAGAGGAAAGGGTAGTAAAAGTGCTATTGCAGGAAGGCAGTACAAGTTCTCGTAAATAAATTACAGTACCTTCTCCAATACTTTTTAGCGAGGGACAAAGTGGTCTCAATGATCGACAGACTTGCGATGAGTTATAAACAAGCATGTTTCGCTGATCACTCTTCTTCGGATCACGGATAGTTCGTCTGACAGCTAGATACTACCCATGTTAAATAATGAGAGACTTGTAACCTGCCCATATTTATGTAATAAACAATTACATACTGCACTGTGCCCCTCTTAGTATCCATATTCGGTATGAATTTCAAATAGATGGCGAACTATGAAACAAACGCGTCTGAGTCGAGGGACAGGCTTGGCGGATCAGGAACTTCCCTTTCGGAACTTCACTTTCGGAGCTTCACTTTCAATGGGCGCAAGAACGAAATAAAACAGGGTCATCAGAGTCATCAGAGTCATCAGAGTAATGAAGGCCCAATCACTATCTCTTTGAGACAAAATCGCTATCAAGAGAACCAAACCAACTTTTTGGTTAATCACCAGAAGGGTAACCCCCTAACATGTAACACGCAATGCTACATCAATAACTGTGTTTGAATTACTATTACAAATGAACGTAAAAACCCACTGATAACAATAAATGCTTCTGCCTGAAGCAAGTCCATTAGTACAAATTTGAGCACACTGGCCCCGCTATTAATTGTTTGGATAAAGTATAGGCTTTTCTTCACCAGATATATATGTCTCGGGTGTCTCGCAGTCTTGGGGTCGTAAGCGATGAAGTTCAGCAAATTTGTCCTGTTTGGCTTGGTGTTTTTCACCACAGCCAATTCTCACCCCTCAGAGGCTTACAAATCCATCAAGTCGATTGTCCATGAGCACAGCTTGAAGTTGGAGCACGTCATTAGCAAACGACAGGTCTCTCCCGATACCAAGTCATTCATTATTTCCTTCCCTGGTGCTTCAATTGACGACATCTCCCAGCACATTTCTTCCATCGACAACCTGGTCGCAGGAAAGTCCGAACAAGGCATCACTGCTGACTTCGATTTGTCTGAAAGTCCTGAAAACCCTACCATTATTGGAGTTGCGGCTGTACTCGATGAGAGTGTGGCTGAAGCAGTGGAGCATCTTCCCTTTGCTCTCGTTGAGCCTGACGGAAAAATTTACTTGTGGGACTCACTAGAGCGAAATTCAGATGGTGTTGTCTACTGTGATCAGCTCCCTGGTTATGGGCAGCCTGGATTTGAGCCCTTCTATGATGATGATCTGTTGGCGGAATTGTCCGCTCCTACTGGTGACAGCAAAGTCCAAGTGGCTACTATTACTACTGAGATCATTGGTGTAACATCCGTTGATGGACAAGCTACGACCATTACATCAACCATCACCTTTACCAGTACTTTGAGTGAGTGTGTGAGGTAATAATGCGTTGTTACGAACACCTGGAGCATGGTCGCTGGTTATTCATCCTGTCTGTTGGGTTCTAAAGTCATTCACTGCTGGTGGCTAGAACAAGCGGTGCATATTTAAGGTTGCGATACCATAAATAAGCTTATCGAGACAGGATGGGTGCAGCACGAAAATTACCCTCTTCACCATACTAACACAGAACACGCCGGATACACCCGTGAGTAAAGCAGAGAGCAGAGAGCTTTTAAGCAAAAAAAAAAAAAAATCACATTTTCTGCTTTCGCACACACAATGGAATCCCATCTAACACAGTATTGGCCGAACCCACCACAGCTGGTGCTAGTGAGTACCTCAGCACAAACCCCCGGGCCCACCATCCTACTAACACAGAAGCCGACGCAAATGACAACAACAACGTCAATGTCAACAGCAACAACAACATTGATGACAATGATGTCATTACCGGTGACCGTGCTGAGGCCGTGATCGTCTACACTGACGACCAAGGAGAGCCGTGTGTGGCCATTCGTGAGTATCCGTTATGATGACAGAGAATAAGTTTGGCTTGGCGATGAAGATTTTGAGCTATAAGTGGCGCATTGCTCAGTCGACAGAGCGCTCTAATATTTTGGCAACCCTTCATAGTAATTCATACTGACACAGCTACACCCACATACGAGCCTACTTGCGGCTGTACCAAGACATACTATGTGATTCGAAAGCTCACCGAAGATCACACAATGATCAGCACAAACAGTAATAAAGGTGAGTAAGAACATCATGGTTTATTGAGTTGAAAAAAACCTAACACAGTCTCTCCTACAGGCTCCAACCATGGCAGCTCTGGATCGAACGGAAACACAGCTGTCGACAACGGCAACAATGGTAACAGCAACAGCAACGACAATGGCAACAACATCAACGGAAACGACAAAAGTGGCAACGATGTCACCTCTTTCATCGATGACATTCGTGTTTCTAACTCAACTCCTACCGCAGTCGAGTCCACTCAATTGTCTCAATCATCTGCTAGCTCGTCACCCATTCTTACCAACTCGAGTCAGTCTTTGGATTCAATTGCATTTTCGGATTCTCAATTCATCAGTCCAATTGTGTTATCTACAACGCCCAACTCTGGCAGTACAACGCCTTCTAACTCTGGTACCATTACCGGCTCGGAGGTGACCTCTTCCACCTCTCCCACCTCTTCTAGTGGCTCCAGCAGTTCCAGTACGATTCTCCCTTCAAGCTCTTCCGCTAGCCCTTCAAGTAGGCCTTCAAGTAGCTCCGCCCCAGTTTCCTCTAGCTCTCCAGTTTCCTCTAGCTCTCCCAGCTCTTCCAACCCCGGTTCTTCCAGCTCTAGTTCTCCCAGCTCTAGTTCTCCCAGCTCCAGCTCCAGTTCTCCCAGCTCCAGCTCCAGCTCTAGTTCTCCCAGCTCCAGCTCCAGCTCCAGCTCTAGTTCTCCCAGCTCCAGCTCCAGCTCTAGTTCTCCCAGCTCCAGCTCCAGCTTCAGCTCTAGTTCTCCCAGCTCCAGCTCCAGCTCTAGTTCTTCCAGCTCCAGCTCTAGTTCTCCCAGTGCCAGCTCAAGCTCTTCCAGTTCCACTTCTCTCAGTTCCAGTTCTAGCTCAAGCTCTTCCTCTAGCTCTAGCGCTCCCCTCCCACTTGTTACGCAACAAGGCATGCCTTGGGGTCTCTCTCGTATTTCTCACCAGTCGCCTGAGATGGCTCCCTACCAAGATCCCATGGTAGGAGAATATATTCACCAACAGTTTGTGGACCCCAATCCCAAGGTGGTCGTGTACGTCGTTGATTCAGGCGTGAATATCAATCACGATAACTTTGCGACCAAACCCATTTGGCTTGCGAATTATGCTGACAGTGACGACTCTGATGCCAATGGCCATGGAACATTTGTGGCAGGTGTTGTAGCTGGCACCAGATCAGGTGTGGACCCCAACCTGCAAGTCAAGAGTATCAAGGTATTTTCTGGCGAGACTACCGACGCGTCTATTCTTATGTCAGGTATTACTCGTGCCATTAATGATTTCAAGGCTGACACCACTCCAGGTAAGAAAGCTGTGTTGAATCTGTCGCTTGGTGGAGACGTATCTACTGCGTTAGATTCTTTGATTAAGCAGGCTGTTGCTGAAGGTATGTTTGTTGCTATTGCTGCCGGAAACAACATGGAAAATGCTTGCAACAATTCTCCGGGACGAGTTTCCACCTCTACCCCTGGTTCTGTTACGGTTGGTTCAATTGACAGAAGCGACAAATTATCTGTTTACGCTGGAAACAACAAGGGAACTGCTTGGGGAACGTGTATTACTGGCTTTGCCCCTGGTTCTGATATTATGTCCTCTATGAATACTCCTAATGATGGATATGGAATCGGATCCGGAACCTCATTTGCTACTCCTATGGTGGCCGGAATTGCCGGCTACTTGATGAGTCAGGAAGGTACCAAAGATCTAACTCCTGCGGAGCTCGAGTCAAGAATCATGAACAGCAATGATGGTAGAATTCAGGGTGATCTGAAGAACTCACCTAACAAGATAGCCTACAACGGCGTATAGTGTATGTAATGGTTTTGTGAGCGTTAATAATACAGAACAGATAGCAAGGTGTAATCAACAGTATGATAAAATACAGGTTTTTAAGAAAACATACAATCACTGTACAGTTGTATACTTGTGTGTGTTCTACGTTCTTTGTCATATCGTCCAGATAATAAGCCTTCACTACAGTACATACATACTGTACTTTCGTGCAGCTCTCAGATCTGTTTTCAGTTGAAGTCCCCAAATGGAAGATAATAGCAAACATTTACGTTTGTGAAGCTTCGACATTTGAAGAATCTGAGGTGATCATTGGTTTGATTATCGTGATTGGTTGCTCCACTCTTGAAAGTATCTCTTCTGAATATCTAGAGTTTAATATCCGTATGGGCGTTGAAATTTGTCTGGTGCAGTACATACTGTGTGTAACTGTATCGTGATGCGTGTGCCGTAGTGTCTTGGAGCATCAACAAAGTTGTTCCAGAATTCTACGATTGGTGTTCAATTATGACGACAGGGATTGCATGTGCGATACTGTACGTAGGTGCGTCCCCCAGGAGATACTTGCTCGCGGCTGATACATGAACATAAAGACATCTCTGGCTTACAATATTGCATATAACAGGGCTACACTTGTTTCTCCACTTCAGCTCGTATCCTTGACTCAGACGGTGGCTACAATGACTCAAGTTTCTGCGCCGTATAGCATGACAGTGGCTGACGTGAGCGCTGCAGTAGTTCCGCAGAAACGTTTGATGTTGATAGACGTGCAGAAATTCTCATCTTATTAATCTTTTTCTAAGACATTTTCGCTTGACGTGGACGCGGGGGCCACAAGTGTACCCCGCGGACTTTAAGTTGTGGGCCCATTGTTGTCATCAAGCTGAGTTCACAGTTGCATTGTTTCTTTATAACAGAAAGTTCAACGAAACGTCCTGTTCTGGATTTGAGTGCGTGTCTGCACTTATCTGTCGATGGTGACAGGTTCCTTGGTAATTGAGAGTGTAACAGTGTACTCAGTGACGCGGTAAAAATGAAAAAATGACTCAGGCATGTATTGCTTGACGATTGGACTAGATTTACACCTCTCTACGAAATAACGACCGTAGGCTATCACGCAGGAACAGCCAACATCTGAGACACTCGATGCATTTACATACAGTACACAGTATTATAGATTCAAGACCCAGGTTAGAGGGCTGCTGTGGGTTCTCTTGTGATAAATACGAGTAATCGATTGCTATCACATAATTGCCGGAAGCGCGCTAATGAGTTACAGTACGCTAGTTTTAGGCTTCCCGAGCTTGGCGGACATTAGTTAGTCCGGGATTTGACACATCAAGCTCAATCGTAGTTCTGTAAGCACAATACTTGTGATTAAAAAAAAAAAAAATTACTGTGCAAGTAACGATATGTACCGGAACTAGGAAGGTGTCAGTTTTCACTTGTAAATGCAGTACAATGTAATGTTGCAGATGTATTATTTGTCATTTTGCGTTGTTTTGGTTGCAGTACAGTAGACATCAAGTGCATGACCAGATGTGTGGTGAACACTATGGTGGAAAACTGGCCCATATATATTAGATCTCGTGGTTGATAGTAGTTTTGTAGTTATTTCCGTTATAGGTGGTTCATGTATCATGCTCCAACAGTTACGTCTACCAGCCCGGCGAGCAAATTTGTATAGTGACTGGGCTTTTCTGTATCGAAGTTGGCATACATTGATAAAAGGTCGATCAAACTGCTGGTAAAAGTCCTTTAGTGTATGAACAGTTAGCTTCAAATGTAAGAATCATTTATCTAATTATTCCAACTATCTATCACTGTTACAATATGTACATACTGTACATGCTACTGTACGCAATTGACTGCAGAGTCGTTCTCTTTTTCTAACTGTGCCGGACACAGAACCGTGTAGGAAGGCTGACAGTTGCACCTGGAACTGGGTCTAACTGACTCAAGAGTCATCCCGTAACGTCTTGATTCGTCATCTTCATCAGATAGTGCATGGGAAGGGACGTTTTAGACTTGACATCATGAGAGACAGAGCCGTTTGTAAATTGTAAGAGTTCGTGAAAGACCCCTGCTATGTTTGTAGTGCACCTGAACTCCTTTGGACCTATGGGTGGGTGCGCTGAAGAAACCATTATGAATCAAATCAAATCGCCCTGTTTAAGGCTACAGTGCCTGGCTTTATGTGCTCTACAGCTACAAATGACTAGCTCGCTACCCATTGAAAGTTGGCACGAAACCAGTTCTCAGTATGTACTGTACTAAAAGCGCTGGTACGCAATACAAGTAGCGATTTCGAACGTTCAATTTCAGTTCGAGATCAAATCATCTCGGTGTGTAATGACTGAAAGAGACGCTCGCTAAAAAATTCGCCAGTGTCATAGGCACGAACTGCGCGACTAACATGTGAAACAATGCAGAGAGCAGCGGGGCTATAGTAGTTTGCAGTGGGACATGATGTATATTTGTTCACCGTAGCACTCGGGCTTGAATGTGTATTTTTTTATACATGTTCCATACAGTTCGATAGTTGCTTCAACAAAATCTCCATTCCATGATGGGAGAGAGAAACCAGGGATAGCTATGTACGAGACAACCCAGCTAACCTATGAGCCCGTCAGACAATGTGCTTCTCTAACGGACAGCGTCGGTCACTACAAGTAGTGTGCAGCACTCTACACATCCGGATAGTCTTCACGGAAGGCAACTTTGGAGCGCTTATGACCATCATGGTAGAGATGGTCGGTGTGGTTGTGGTTGTGGTTTGTTATGTGGTGTGAGTGAGTGAGAATCACAGTATGAGTATAATATATTCGCTTTGGACATGCGGAAGATGGCGATGGAGCTGTTCCTCCTCTGACTCCCTCGTTCCAGAGCAACATTCACATTACAGTACTGCACTACAAGATCATGTTTCAGTGTATATTGTAGCTGTTGTCTCAGTTTTTACCGTGATGGAAACTGCGTATCTATACTAATGTTCTTATATTGCTATAATGTACAGTACGTACAGTATTGTAATAATTAGTCACAGTGTGAACCGTCGTGGCATCGCGATACATCTTGGGTATACCTTGGATACACGCGGCCTGCTTAATACCATCATTTGGGATGGGTCAACTGAGAAAGCCAAACGAGACATTTTGCAAGAGCTGTCTGGTTCCGCTATTTTTGCTCTAAACCCTCAGTGAAACAAACCTCACTTCTTCGACTGTGAAATTCGGATTCCGTTAGTGTCGATTTAGCACCAACTTACTTCACATTGCAATAAACGGACCCGGGATTTGAGGGATGAAAAGCAATTTTTAGAGTATTTTATTGCCTTCTCCAATCAACAGCTCTATAGTCACTTTACTAACACTGAGTCATTACTTCACATTCGAGAATACGAGCTGGGTCAAATTGGAAAACCAGTGGTAATACACAAATGATTACTGTCGAGTGATGCTCTGGTAGAACTCTCATATTGCTTGCTATGTAATTGCCGCACGCTGTTATTGTTTGGTTTTTTGATATTGATACATTTCCATACAGGTTCCTTTGGTCCTTAAAGCCGCGACGTTAGCCGACTACAAGTAGGCCAGACCAACACTGCTCAGTAAATGTACAGTAGATGAATGGTCTTATAATGTGACATAGCGAAGAAGTTCTCGCCTTAATCCTGAGCAATCCTCCACGTCGTACCATGTGGGTACTCGTACAATATTGTATTAATACTGCGGTTCATGGCAAGGGGTGCTCCCCTGGCCTGCTGGCATGGACATGTCTATGCACAAGAGTAACCAAGCAAGTTTTATTGTCAAATACCCATTGTTGTTTCGTGCCACCCTGGCCACTTCATTATCGACAGAGATGTTTCTTGAGTCCTACGTTGTACATACCAGCATTGCCAGCATGGAAGCTCACGTCATTGGTTGGTTCTAAACGACACCTGAGACGCACATCCACGGAAAGGTAACGCGACTTCATCTGTTTGGACGTGAGATGTGACTGCGATACTGTTTTCTTGTCTCCCGGGTGTTCCCGCAACCCTGTCCAGCCTCGAGGTATAGCACTCAACAGTTATGATTCCGTCTGCAACTGCTTTATGCAGATATGCATTATGACGACACGTTGTTCACTTTAGATGGTGAATAAGAACGGGTGAAATTCTTATACGAATACATGCGCTAAAGTACTGGTAACTACTCTTACAATAGATCATCGGATTTGAAGAAAAAAAATTCATGGCATCTAACCGACATGTCAATCTGTGACACTATTAAGGTTCATATGCGGCTGTTAGAGGCAAGTAGGTCGATGGACACAACGGTAAGCGGAAAACCCTACCATACTGTACTTATGATACCAACATCACAAGCGCTAGAACCTAAGGGCCACGGTACCGGGTGGTGAGTCACATTCCAATGACCCATAGCTAACGTGCTCCAGGCGTTCCCTGTATTAAGGGTGCCAAGTGCGGGGTTTGCGCAGTGTTTGACGTATGACAGCTCCCTCCAGTCCAGTGCGGAGAATTATGTTGGGGCAGGGAGAAAGACTGGGGAAACATGCATCACGGATCTACTTTCTTAAATCAGGGGCCACTGTAGTTACCCCTCATTGTTGTTCCGAAGCTATAGTACTGTACTGTATTTCCCCTCATTAGTTCCTTACGTTACATCCCACCATTCCCGCAATGCAGTGAGCTGGGTTTTCATCATAGCTACTGCCAGACTACTTGCCGTTCCCTTTTCCTCTTCAGGTAATATTTGCCATAATGTCCACGGGAATTGTGGGATGCGTATCCGGATGAGACCTGAGTGAGTACAGTACTTCACACACTCAGTTAGTTATCGGATCAAGGTAACACCGAAAGCGCACCTTTTTGCCCTTTATAGAAAATGCCTGAGCCCACTACATATTGATCATCTCAAGTCTCTTTGTTATTTCCATCCCCAGTGCGCATTTCTCCGGCCTATGTCTCACCTCCCCCCTTGTCTCAATATTCCGAGAGCCGTATCACCGGGTTATTCCTTCCGAGATGTGCCGGCCAAGAAGGGGTTTTGTTATGGCGTAGACATGATTCCAATACAGTACGAGTACAGTACCCAAAAACGCAAGATCCTCTTGAAGAGCTCCACTCCTCCTCTCCTTAGACCGTAATTGTCACCCTGAAACCTCTCCGCTTATTTGTCTGTCTTCCCGTTGCTTTCCCAGCCTCGCATGCCTATTTCCTACTCTAACTTACAGTACATAGTATGGACGAGGAAAAGAAGTATACGACACAAGTCAAGAGGCGCGTGCAGGACCAAGTAAACCCGCTTTTGCACTAGTAATACTAATTCCTTTGTCTGGCATAAGTGGGGAAGCGCTAGGCAACTCAACGAGCCCATGACGGGCAAGAGCGAGCAAATCATAGCGCGGCATCTACAAAATTAGCGGAACTTAATTTGAAAGGTGAAGGAGGGCTGTCAGGAGCCAAGTTCCTAGCCAAGCCAGACACGATACATACGCTGGAAGAGCTCGAAAAGGGAATAATACTGACTCCCCCCTTTATTACAACTTCCCTTGTGGGTCAGGTGGGCTCTAACAACAACTTGGACAACCCGTGTGTTTCTCTTGGAAAATATGGCATGCACGGCTAAACCCTGTACACCCTGGCGCGTTAATCACGCCAAGAAGACAAGCAGTATGGGACCGGAAATTCCGGGGAAAATGCGTCTTCATGTGTCATATTCTCTTAGTTAGACCGTGCCAAGAACCCAAATGCCAAGAATCCAAGCCTTGGTGACAAGAGCCCAAGACGAATACGATGTACCAAGATACCAAGCGATGAGCTTGGGGGACGGGCGCCAGAAAGAGCATCGTGAAAGAAAAAAAAATGTTCAACTTATGTTTTAAGGAGAAGAGTCACTCTGAAAACCCGCCCGCTCTTGTGAACTCTGACCTTAGGACCCACCTGTCTCAGTCTCAAAAGAGGCCGGGGTAATTTAGGCTACATGAGAGAAGTGGTTGAGTTAGCTTCATGTTATCTATAGCTGGAGACCATACAGATCTCTTTGTTTATGAAAATGCCTTTAAATATGTATCCTGACGATGGAATATAAATAGCACTAGAAAGACCTGACCTTCTTCGTTCGTTCATTCACCACACAACTATCACCATGGATTTGGACAACCTCCCTGCCCCAGATCTTTCGTGGAAGAGCATCAAGCACTACTTGGCAACTCGAGTTACTACATTGAAGCCTCCTAAGCTCTCTGCGGAGGAGAAAAAGCACATCAACCCTATCCCTGCTCTTCGGACTCTTAACAAGAAGCAATGGCTGTTTGTTCTCTGTGGTCTGGCGGGTTGGACTTGGGACTCTTTTGATTTTTTCAGTGTGTCTCTGGTGGCCTCTGATATCGCTAAGGACCTTAATGTGAGCGTCACAGATATCACTTGGGGTATTACTCTTGTTCTTATGCTTCGGTCTGTTGGAGCTATCATCTTCGGTGTTGCTTCTGATCGTTATGGTCGAAAATGGCCATTCATCTTCAACTGTGTTCTATTTATTGTGCTGGAGCTTGGAACGGGTTTTGTCCAGACCTACAAGCAGTTTTTGGGAGTGCGAGCATTGTTTGGAATCGCAATGGGAGGTATTTATGGTAACGCTGCTGCAACTGCCTTGGAGGACTGTCCCCCTGAGGCCCGAGGTGTTATTTCCGGTCTGTTGCAGGAGGGTTATGCGCTGGGTTATTTGCTTTGTGTGATCTTTACTCGAGCTATTGCAGACACATCTCCTCATGGATGGAGAGCTCTCTTCTGGTTTGGATCAGGTCCCCCAGTTCTCATCATCATCTTTCGATTCTTCCTTCCTGAAACCGATACCTACATCCAATCGAAGCAGAACGCCGAGGCCTTGGGCGTCGAGAAACATTTCTGGTTGGGAATCAAAACTACTTTCAAAACTTACTGGCTCATGTTCATCTACCTTGTGGTTCTCATGGCTGGCTTCAACTTCATGTCCCATGGATCTCAGGATCTCTACCCCACTATGCTAAAGGTTCAGCTGGGCTTCTCTCCTGATCGATCTACGGTCACCAACTGTGTTGCTAATCTCGGCGCTATTGCTGGTGGTGTTATCATTGGTCACTTTTCTTCCGTGTTAGGTCGGCGTCTTTCTATCATGATCTCCTGTATTCTTGGTGGAGCCATGATTTACCCTTGGGCCTTTGTGACTAACTCGGGAATTAATGCAGGTGTTTTCTTCTTGCAGTTCTTCGTCCAGGGTGCCTGGGGCGTCATTCCCATTCATCTTACTGAACTGTGTCCCCCAGCTCTTCGATCATCCCTGGTTGGTTTGGCCTATCAGCTTGGTAACCTCGCATCTTCAGCTTCATCCACTATCGAAGCCCAGATTGGCACCCAATTCCCCATCAAAGATGATAATGGGGTCGACCGACCCGGTGTGTACAACTACTCTTTGGTCATGTGCATTTTCATCGCCTGTGTTTTCACCTTTGTTTTCGTGGTTACCTTTCTGGGCCCCGAGAACAGAATGGCTGAGATGGTTGCTCACGAGCATGTTGAGTACACTAAGGAGATGTCTGATGATGAAGAGAAGGGTGTCCAAGAGACTGTCGAGGTCGTCGAGAGAGTTGACACCAATGCTACTAAGTAGTGTAGCAACTAACGTATTGTGTAATGTTATATTGTGGTAAATCTGTAATACTTGTACGCGATTGATGTCTAATATTGTACAGTTTGTACTTGTACATTTAATATACATATCCCCATTTACTGTAACACTCGTACAAGGGTACTGAATGTAAGGTACAATGTACCAGTAAAGTGCAAGTACGGTGGATTTGGTCAACGAATGTCCAAGCATGCCTTCAAGTGGGAAACACTACATTACTGTACTATCATCTGAAGTCTACAAGTACAGTACAGTATGTACATACAGTACTGTACTTATGCCATTGGGCTCGTTGCACTACGACGGACACGGAAACAGAGCAGCTTAAAAGCAAGTACTTCTTACATAACATTCGGAGGTTCCCCGTTGCAAATGTGAGCTTCATAGTACAAGTAAGATGTTCCTAAAATGTATTACACTGGACACCAGTTGCGAATTTCAATACCCAGCCCAAAAATTGAATTAAGCTTCAATGCCCGTCTGTGCAGAATTACGAACTACAGTTCGGGCAAACAAAGAAAACGTCGTGATATGAACCCTATTGTGAGACAGTATCTACTGAGACTGGAGGAGTCTAGGTGCTCCCTCTGACGCTACTGGTTCAGAACTGACTGCCGGTGCGAGGTGAAATTTGTTGTCATTTAACCCCATTCTTTATCATTGTATTTTATCAATACGAATCCAGTAACAGAAGGTAATAAACCCCACTCATGGCCATTGCTCACAAACTCCTACAAAGTATATTATCGTACCACCATTTGTTATACATACACATACATTATAGGCTATTGAAAGAATTAATCTCATACGATACAAAAGCAACTGTTGGTATCCTTTCGCAGTTTGTTCAACTCACTCAATTCACTGATAATCGTCAACTAATGGACTACACACAACCCTACACCTGCTACAAGCTCGACGGCACAGATGATCTAGTACAGTCACCTTTTGTTGAAGTCGCCCTTAAACCAAAGAAGGGTATCAAAATCAGAGCTCTGATATCACCCCATTCAAATGTTTCTCTGGTAGACAGAAGGACTCTCATCGAACACAGGCTCTTTCAGCACCTCGAAATCGATGGAGAGGGCACTGTCATCAGCCGCCCTGGAGGATCTTCGACCAGCACTGAAATCCAAGCCATCGGAACATTGATTCTGAACTTCAACATGGGTCAGTTTGCACTCTCTCATTGCTTCTACGTTGTTAACAACATTACCCCAAAGGTCGTTCTGGGATCTGACTTTCTGGCCTCGTTGAACCTGAAGCTGGATGTCAAGGGCGCGAGGTTGAGATACAAGAACGTATGGGTGAAGCTCGTGAATCAGCATGGAGAAGGTGCATTCGACGAAGTCACAGAGTTGCACAAAGAAAATTCTCCAGACGGTAGGGCAGGACTGATGACAACACAGCAGCCAGTTGCTCAGGGTTTTGATGGAGTCGCTATGGAAACCATCCTTACTGAGCGTGTCTACCAAGACGGCGTCGCCACCGAAACCATGACCAGAGAAACCATCATGAAACCGAATCTCGAGACTTCTGTACGGGAAGAGTTAGCTCCGCCTACTACACCTCACCCGCTTCCCGAAATTCCGCAATACGAATCTGATGGTGATGAAGAGTGCGACTATCTCTTTGATCTTGTATCAACCCCCAGTATTAAGCCTAAAACAGAAAATGAAGTCAGAGATTCGACCAGGGAGGAAAATTGTGGGCAGAAATCTGATGGGGTTCCCTCTGACCATCGCCCTTTTATTCCGTTTCGAATTCGTGGTAGACTCACTTACTCGGCCCTCTTCTCCCCCTCTTCCCCTGTCTCAGCCATCTCTGTGCGTATTCTTGAGAGCACTAACATGTTAGGAATGGTGGATTTTGCTGAGATCGAGTTCGATGACCCGGGTGTACGTGGTGTGGGTTCCATTTTGCTCTTCTTCAAGATCGACAATATCAACCTGCTGACTCGCTTCTACGTTGTTGAAGGTATGGAAGAAGATGCAATCCTGGGGTCCGATTTTGTCAAAAATTTTGTAGCACGGGTTGACCACACTCTTAACGTCATTTGGTGGAAGAATCCTGGTAACGCCAACTTCACAAAGTGGCTGGACGGCCCACTGCAGTTATAGGCATACGAATTTGCGATGCTTGCATAATTCAGCTTCATGCGTGCTTTCTAAAGTCGGTCAAAAGGTCGAGAGAGTACCAGTACAGCTACTTGTAGATAATCCTCATGCCCTGTTTGGCAGCGCTTAGAGTGGAGATTCATCACGCCCGCATGTGGAAGAATAAAGCTTTATATATATATATATATATATATATATATATATGATACGTGACAATGAACTTCCCAAAAATCCAATCACTTGTATTCTGATTAGTTCCTACTCACTGGCTATTCCTCAGGGGTGATCGGCTGGGGGTACAGTGTATGTACATCTATTAGTCATCAAATGTCGGGTTTTGCATCACCGAAAACTCTTTCATAATATGGTCCTTTTTGCATTTGTACAAGTGCGTACAAGTACTGGTACAAGTACTGGTACAAGTACTCGTAACTACTGTAACCTAGATATTTCTGTTGTTGTTTGGTTGATGTTGTATTTATCTCTATCTCTATATATTATATCAGGAACAAGCTGCCATAGTCAATCAAACGCCTTTTGCTTGGCCTTCATGAAGCCAGCAAAGCCTGAGTTGATGTATGACTCAGAAGCAGTAAAACTGAAGCCGTTGAAAGAAGGAAAGTCACCGGTCTCAAGAGATTTGTCCCCAGGGGGAGACAGAACCATATCGGTAAAAGTAGTTGAGAAGTTTTCTGCCAGAATTGGGTCGGTAATGAGGGGTTTAATAGGAGGCTCCAGCGAAGGATCTCGTGCCTCTAGAAGATCCCAATCCAGCTTTCGGAAAAATCGCATCTTCTTCACCTTCTCTAAGTCACGTGAGCCGAGACGTCTATTAGGACACTTCTTGAGGCATCCGTTCAGGAAATCCTTCGCATCCTGGGAGAGATAGAAGGGATATCTCATTGCCTTGCACTTGTCAATCTTGGCCAGAATCTTCTGATAGTCATTGCCGGTAAACGGAGGGTTGCCAGTGAGAAGGTCGAAGGTGACAGCTCCCAGACTCCACCAGTCGACCGAATAGTCATACTCCTTACCTTGGAGCACCTCAGGGGCCATGTACTCAGGAGTTCCAGAAAAGGTTGTGCATGTGTCATTGGTTGCAACCTTCGAAAGACCGAAATCTGTTAGCACAAGGTGTCCATCTTGGTCAAGCATACAGTTTTCGGGCTTCAGATCTCGGTAGACGACACCGACATTCAGGTGCAGATGGGACAGGGCCAGGATCATTTCGGCCACGTAGAAGGAGGCCGTCTGCTCAGGGAGCATATGCTCAGTAGCAAGGTGATGGAACAGCTCGCCACCCTGTGCATACTCAAGGATAAGATAGAGCTTCTCCTGGTCCTGTAGGGCATAGAAGAGTTTAACAATGTAGGGGTGTCGCACGCTCTCCAGGATAGCCCGCTCGGTTTTTGTCTGCAGAGCCTTCTTCTCCACAATCATGGAGGCTTTCTTGAGCTGCTTCTGAGCGTAGAGATGACCAGTTGATTTCTCACGGACCAGCAGGACCTTGCCGAAGGCTCCACATCCAAGTACTTTGATGGGTTCAAAGTCAGAGGTAGTCAGCTTTCCACGAGACGACTGTGTCAACATGTCAGAGCCGCAAGGCTCGACACTGGGATCGTCACAGCAATCACCGGGTACGCTGCTAGGGCTGTTGGAAGAGACATAGTTTGAAAAGATCCCTACTTCATAAGACTTGCCCAGACGGTGGGAAAGGTGGGACGCGCCAAAAGAGCCATTTCTTTGGTGGCTATTAGACTTGTTGGGAGTAAGAATGGGAATGGATGCGCTTGAAGCGTTAGTCGATTCGTTGGCAGACTCAACACAGGCCACAGTCTCTCCAGACTCGGTGGAGGTGATCTTGATAGCATTAAAGTCGGTAATGTAGGACTCGTCAGACGCCGAAGTTGATGCCAGCGGAGCCGATGCGGTGCCAGTGAAATCAATAAACACGCTCATTGTTGGTTAAGTGGGTAGTGTTTTTGGTATGGCAGTACGCTTTGTACCGTCGGGTAGTCAGTGTTAGGTCTGTTTCTTGACCTTAGGGGGGCTCTTTTGGAACCTGGTGAATGACCGGAACAACGATTTGTGGCACTTTGAAGATGAGTGAGAGGGATCGTTGGGGTTTCTTCCAGTGTCGTTGCTATGGAAAGTAGCTTGTAGTGTCGTTCTTAGGAGTCACAGCTAATAGCAGTCGGGAAGTGGAGACGCAGATTAATGCTGACGATACTTGCCACCTTGATGTTGTGTTTGATAACAATAGTTATCAGAGAAGCAGTTTGAGAAGGCTTGGTGTGGATTAAGAGGTCCGACCAGTATCAGTTTCTAGTGATAAGTGACGTTAGGTGCTTGTAGTCTCTGACTCTTGAGAAGAAGTGTGTCCGATACTCCTTAGAAAGCCAGGTGGTAGTTGAGTGTTGTCTGAGGCAAGTGAGCCTTTTAGCGCGAACGGTGTGGAGATAAGGGATTTCAGATGCACTGAGGTGTGAGAGGGAGGACTTGTCGCGTAATAGTGTGTCGGATACCTATGTGTCGCAGTTGTACGGACGCGTTCAGAATATCTTTACCTCAAACTGAAGTACTTCACTTGTAGCTCTTCTCTGCTCATCGCATAATACACACTTCACACCTAAAAAAAAGGGATTTAAGTTCAGCAATTTTCTCTGCATGCACGTGTATTGCTCTGGAACACAGCGCGAAAACGCACAACGGCGTTGCACGCGTGTCACACATACGGTGGGGCTTTTCCTTGTGGGTTGAAAGAATATTATGATTGGGTATCGCATTGTTTTTATCCCCCTGAATGAGCAGAAGCTATATTCCAATGTTCTTTTCCCGGCCGACTAATATTACGCTAGCATTCCCCAAAAAAGCTAATTATTTGTAACATCCGAGAACTCATATATACATGTACGATATTCGTATGTACTTATACAAATATCAGAGATAAAAATACGATACTGTATGTACTGTACTTATAGCTACGTACACTGTGTTGTACTAGCACGCACTTGTATTATATGAAAAGTAGCTTCTACAAAGAATGCTTGTTAATACCGTACACTACAAGAGCTGGATACGCTGAGCACACGAAGTGGGACGTCTATGTAGTTTTGACGCGACTTGCAAAGTAGTACATAGATTAATTAGGAAGCCAGAAAGCGATCAAATATGCCTTGAACTTACAGGTGAAATTCGTTACCCACGCTTGCATAAATAAGGGCTTAACGGCGTTTGTCCCGGTCTGAGACCGGGCTTTGCAGCATGGCAAGTGTACCGACATACATGCTCGAATGTATAATACTGTAGGTACAGTACACTAGACTCAAGTGCTCATACAGTACTCGTACATCTGGGGTACAGGTTGTATCGTATCCTACGGTGTGTAGGGCGCCTCGATCGTGCAACACTACTGTACATACTCAGTACCTGCTGTACAGGGATAGTCGTACTGGAATACTGTGATAATAATGACTTTTGTGGAGCACATTACTGTAATAAGGAAAAAATAATTGTACAAGTACTCGTACACACAGTAACTATTATATAATACAGAAAGTAAGGTGTCAACATCCATCGTGTCGCCCGCCGTTCAGTGTACGTTAGTACATTCTGGTACACTGATGTAAGTACAGTGTGTTCCTACTGTACATACATAATACAAACAGTACACAGTATGGACAAGTATAGTATATATCGTTACTTGAAGTTGTTTTTCTGGGTTCCGCCCGCCCACTCCATGTGTTGTCGTTACTGCCAGTAGTGTTTCCTGTACTGGGTATTCTCTATGGGTTCCTTACAAACGAATATCTCTTTCTCATGTATCGTACAGTATGTATTTGTAGATGTACTACATGTATATATCTTGAATGAAAGAACCAGTGAAATGATAATAGTTCTAGAAGTAAAGCTGTATCAGGCGTGTGCGTGCAAAATGTCCATAGCAACGTTGATTAACATCGTAGTATGATTTCCAAAAACAATGACTGCCTCGGCATGATTATTCTGCTGAATTATTAGGAAGCTCATTGGAGTGTTGGGAAATCATAGTGGTTCCGCATTAGGTCTATAACAGCACTTCAAGGGTTAGGTTCCAATGCAGAAAACTGCCACGTACAAGTACTGTACACTATGTACTATACCCTACTGTACAGTACTGTACTTGTACAAGTACTCGTCCAAACGTTTCGTCCACACACCTCCAAATGCTTTCAACACTTTCGAAATCTTTTAATGTCACATGCGTCAGCAACACGTCTTTAACCAGTTTTCAGAATTTATCTAATTATAACTATAATTATCGTACTGCGTCGGGAAACACCATACCCATGAAGAAGGTCTTGCTATGGACGTTTCTTACAACAACTCAAAAAGAAGGGAAAAAAATTATATGAAAAAACTTATAAAAATAACTGTGAGACATATTTATCATTCGTGGAAGAAGGCGCAGATCCCCCACATTGAGTTTAGAAGAGGTTTTACATACCCGTCGATTATTTGGTTACCTATCTATCTCATCGAGGTACTATTGGCATGTCCAGTGTCAGGTGTCGCGCTTGCAGCTACTTATACCCAGTTATATACGCCCCTGAGTTGATTGAGTCAGCTACGTCATGATGCATTTGGTGCGCCATGCAAGCGCCAGCCCTCAGTGAAACTAATACCGAAATGTGCGTGTCTGGAGGAGCCATGGTCCAAGGTGAACAAATGAGTCTTCACATTGATTCCAATGAGTTGTCACAGTATTACTGTCTATCATAGGGAAGTCCAGTTCATCATCAGGTTCCTCACCCTATCTGTAGACATCTTATGCACAAGATGACTCAGTTGACTCGTTATGCACAGTACAGGTGCTTGTAGCCCAAGCATCTAAAATTGGGCGAACAGAGCAGTCAAAGCCACGGCAGAGAAACTAAAATATTGGTGTTTGAGAAGGCAAATTATTGAACCATTTTCAGCATTCACAAGCGAGCTGGAAATAAAATTCAGCTACTCAAAGCTATACGACCCCGGCTGTCCTCGGTTCGCTTGAAACTGAAGTTAACGACTCAAAAAGTTCCGACCAAAAAAAATTGCAGGTCTCAAAATTCTGAAGTTGAGTCGAGATGGATTGTGGGAATTACGTAGAGTATTTCTCACGGTAAGCGTATAAGTACCTGTGATTATTTCTGCAAGTCCGTCCAGAGGAAAATACAATACAGTACCTACACGTCATCATTGCCATCATCATCATGGTTTATCAGTCAGACACGTATGTAGATATGGAAACAATGCAAAGCCATCAGGTCACGTGCCTCTAGCTCAAAAACAACAACTTCTCCTTATAGCCATACCAAAACCAGCAGTGTGATTGAGCAGGCTGAAGAAATGTTCTCATGGCTTCGGCCTCTCCTCTGTGCCGAGCATTAATTGGAACCTTGCCATGAACTGTAATAACTAAGGTTGATAGCCCACTGCTCAGAAGCATAGCAAGTGTCCTGGCAGATAAAAGTGTGGAGAGAAGGGAAGTATTCATCTATATAAATGTCAAAGGGTCTTTCTTTCTGTTCATTAGGTTGTTCAACCCTATCGACAAGTGGCACAAATTTTGTACACTACACAAGAAATTCTAAACAACAAAACAATGATGGCAAAGAACATGATCTTTGTTATGACCCACCCACGGGCAACAAGCACTGCTTTTGAAAGATGCTTTCTCTCCCGTGACGAGCTCCATTGCATCCACGAACCCTTTGGGGATCCATACTATTTTGGGCCTGAGCGTATGAGCAATCGTTTCTCAGCGAAGGAGCTTGAGGGAAACCAATTCGAGAACACTACCTTTGCTGATGTCCTTGAGACCCTAGACGAAGAGGAATCCAATGGCAAGCGAATCATGATGAAGGACATGGCTCAGTACTTCATCCCTCCTCTGGATGGAGCTGTTGAGGGTCTCACCAACCCTCCAGGAGTGGCTAAGAGCATCCTGTCCAGTGAGAAGTGCAAGGAGATGGTTGAGGGTCTCGAGGAGGTTCCGGAAGCACTAGCCCAGGTAAACCCCACCAACCTCCCAGCTAACGTTCTCTCCAACCTTGACTATGTCTTTCTGATCAGGCCCCCTCATTTGTCGGTGCCCTCGTACTATCGATGTTGCATCCCACCTCGAGTGGAAGAAACTGGCTGGACTCACTACAGATCCTCGGAAGCAGGCTACAGAGAATTGCGACTCATGTACGACTATGTTTGCAAGCTCCGAAAAGAGAGAGGCTTGCCCGCTCCTATTGTTGTCGACTCGACTGACCTCATCGGCAACCCTGAAGTGACTTTGCAGAAGGTCTGCAAAGCTCTTGACCTTGAGTGGGATCCTCAAATGCTGGTTTGGGGCGAGAACCGTGAAAAGGATGTTAAGCTGTTCGAGAAATGGAAGGGCTTCCACGATGATGCCCTGGGATCGTCCGGATTCCGCCCCAACCCCAAGCTGATCCAAAAGGGTGAATATGAGACTGACTTCCCTGCTTGGGAGAAGAGTTGGACTGAAAAGTTCGGACCTGAAGGCTGCAAGATCATCTCTGATTCCGTCAAGGAGCATATTGATGACTACAACTATCTGAGACAGTTTAAGTCTGGTGTATAGTTAGGTGTATATAAGTAGTTTTGAAGCTTCTCGAGACCGATGATCCAACTGGCATTGTCATCATGTATAGACAATGTCTTTATTGCACCCCTGTAAGAAACATTCCTGCGGTACAAGTAGCTGTTAGTGAGTTTGTTGCTGCTGTGTTGTATCGTGTGGACCACTTATACCAGTACATACTTGTATAAGTAGCTCGTTCTCAAAATTTATTATGCTATACGTATGTAACATCCTAACCACTGGTGATAGCAAGACCCAAAACGGGCTTGGCATCCTTGTTTTTCTTATCCTTGTTATTGTCAATGTCAATTTCAGCAAGGCTCTGTGTGAGGTCTTTGAGGTTGTCTCGTGAGGTCAGAGGGGTCGTATCTGCGGTCACGCTATGATCGTCTCCTGCAGGTTCCTCACTTAGGACAGAGGTAGTGCTAGGGTTCACAGAATTCTCCTCATAAATAGACGCAAACTTTCGCGTATGATGTCGGCCAGCTCCAGGAGTGTAATGGAAAGGAGGGGGCTGGTGGTTGTACTGTCGGCTCCCGTTACCATCATCCGACACCGTATCATCCTCACCGGAGTCACCAGATCCGTTCAAACCTACTAGAGTGCCACTGTACGCTGCGTAATGGTCCATTTGGGCCTTCGCAAGATACTGGGCCAACGCTTGGTTTCCGGGCGTGTGAGGTGCCGGCACCTGAAAGCTCATACCGAAGGGGTTCTGCACGGGGTAGAGTCCAGTGTTGTCAAGCACATGCTGGTAATCGTACTGGTAGTGCTGCTGAGGTTGGGACTGGTGTCGCTGGTGGTGCTGATTGTGCTGTGCCTGCTGCTGTGCCTGCTGCGCCTGCTGCTGTGTATGTTGGGTCTGCTGCCCAAGGTGTTGCTGTGGTTGTTGCTGCTGCTGTTGCTGAGTATGCTGAGAAGGTTGCTGCTGGGACTGGGACTGGTTAAGTTGTGGGCCTTGTTGGGGTTGAGACTCATATTCTTCAGAAGAGCCTCGATCCGATCGTGACCGAGACAGGCTTTGTCGGTGCTTGTGGCCCTGCTGATGGTGTGCCTGATTCTGCTGTTGCTGGGGATACATTCGAGGAGGGTTGCCGCATCGATCCTTGCCAAAATTTATCTTGAACTGCTGGTACTCGCTCTTCTGTTTGATACCTTCGATGGCCTTAATGGCATTGGCCAAATTGGTGAAATTGACGAAGGCACATGACTTCTCTTTGAGAAAATTGATTTGCTCGATGTCACCGAACTCAGAGAAGTCAGCACGCAGTTTAGATTCCGGCCAATTGTCGTCGATATCTCCAATGTAAACATTTCTGGACGCGCCAGCAGTGACAGCAAGGGCAATGGGTGTGGGAAGAGGACCTGAGTGTTTTCCCCAGCCAATTTTTAGTCGCTTGTTGTGAATAGTCAATCCCTGGAGGTTGGATAGAGCAAAGAACTGAGCGGCTGCAGTAGGGTCCACAAAAGTCACAAAACAAATGTGACGCTCAGGAATGTACCGAATATGATGCAGCAGACCTCCTCGAACCACATTACAGATCTCCTCCGTAGAGGTCTCAGGATGAACATTTCCCAGATACACAGTTCTATTACCAGCATTGCCGGCTCCACCGGCCGCAGCAGCCACGGCGTTGGCAGCAGCTGACTGCTGGGAAAGCACATTCGTAAGGGCGTCTCTGTCCGTAGCAGCGGCCATCTGTTCATATCCAGGGGCGAGGCCAAGGTACTGAGCAGCGTTCTGTTGCTGGGTTTTGCTGACGTATGCACACCGATCCTTGCCGTAATGCACCTTCCGTTGAGACCAAATCGGATCAGCTTTTAGTTGTTGCACGACCTTGACAGCAGTGGAGATGGACAAAAAGTGCACAAAGCCGTATTTCCGATCGCTAATAAGCTTCACAGTGTCGATAGGGCCGAATTTGGCAAGCTCATCACGGAGGGCGGCTTGGTCCATTTCGTCAGGGAGGTTTCCAAGGTAGACGTTTCGAGAGGCTCCCTCCTGCGAGACAGCAATTGCGATGGAGGGGTGAACCGTTGTAGGCTTGCCCCAGCCAATCTTAATATCCTGGCCATGGATGGTGAGCTTCTTCAAAATCGCGTCCGAGTGGAAATGTGCAGCTGAGTTTTGGTCGTAAAAGGAAACAAAGGCACATGTCTTCTCTGGTAGCATGCGAACATTTTCTACCATGCCGGATCGTACATGATTCAAAAGCTCTTCAGGAGTGCACTCGGTAGGCACATTTCCAAGGTACACAGTTCGAGAGGGCTGGCCTTGGTCGTCAGAAACGCCACCGGAGCCGTTGGCGGTACCGTTTTGTTGATGAGCTTGGTGGGGTTGGTGAGGCATAATATAGCCCATATGACCGAAGCTGTCGTGAGGGTAGTCGAAAGTAGGGTACATGTAGTTAGATCCGATTCTGGGTGAGGCGGCAGCAGCGGCTGCCGCTGCTGCTGCCGCTGCCGCCGTGGGAAAAGGTCCAAACTGGGGACCAGGAGAAAACTGACCTCCGGTGGGGGTTCCTGGGTTGAAGGGAGACCCCACAAGTAGCTGCGAAGGCAGCAAGGGTGTAAACTGCATGTCCATGGTGAAAAGTAGCGAAGAAGAGAAGTGATGGGAATGAAGGTGTAGATAATGGCGCCGGTATGAAGTGGCCGTGGAAAAAAGAGAAGTGGTGTAAGAAGAGTGAAGAGCTCAGCCAAGTTTATGGCGTCTTGGGGATGAAAGAACACCGGGTTTCAGAAGCCCGGAAGAAACTGGAAAAGCAGAGCACGTCCACGTGAAAAGGCACGTCGTCAAGCACGTTGAAGAAGAAAAAAGAGAACGTCGATGCGGTGAAGGTAAAAAAGAGTGTCCTTTTGACCGTTCGGTGACAAGTGTGAATGTGTACAAAATTTAGTTGCACTAACTTGCACCTCACTCACCCCTATTCCCACGATAACTAAGGTTTCTAAATATAAACGCGGCAGGGTGAATGAGACAAAATGATCGTGGCCCCAACACGCGTCTAAAAGTCCTTTAAATGCTAGCACTAATACTTTTGATCTTTTTATTCATTCTCTTAGGTTACCATTTTGAATCGCATTCTAGAGAATCCATTCATGATCATATTGGACAATGGATCCACTTGTCGATCTAGTTAGGCACAACAGCAGTTCAACGTGTTCAACCGCAGCAGCACGAGCCCAAAAGCCAAAATCGGGTCTAGGATGCTGCCAGCTTGGACTTGCGTCTCTAGGGCCATTACGCAATAAAAAGCAGTTACAAGCACAGTTCCATACATTATCAACTATGCGTGAAAATTTGTTGATACAACAACAGGGCGAGATAGCTTGGTCAGATTTAGTTATACACCTGGTATTGTACCGAACCGACTTATGCGTACATACCATGGTCGTCTCCAGGATTGTGTTTTTCATTCACAATGTTGTTTTGGTCGCGGGCGCATTCCGACTTCGCCCCATCCTTCTGCCTAAAGCCGCGTGTCAAGGGATGCCACATGCATATCTCAGGTGTCTGAACTCTGAACCCGTAACCATCGAGTTTCATATTTGGAACAAGGCTTGCTGATGCAAGAAAACAGACAACCCGTAGACACTCGTACTTCCAGGTACAGGTACAAGTACAGTACGATACCAGTCAAGCAAAATTACGAATGGGATACCACGACCGCCAAGGACTATCCTAATTTAATACAGGTGAAGTACCGGATGTACTGTACTAGCTCACATCAACTCCAAGTCGGGCTCTCGAAACTATTTTTGACCTGCAAGGTGGGGTTTGACAAATTAGACCGCCAATAATACTTGTACTTAGAGCACTAGGAAGCGATGTCCCTTATATGCACTGATATAGCACGGATGTGCAATAGATCTCTTCTGTCACCTGCAAGTGTACATACTCATACTGCTCCAGCATGTTCAAGCACTGTGGACCGTTTTGTGACTGTTGTCGTATGGACACTATAACAAATGATTTTCTTGTACTTCAGCAACAGGTACAGGTACAGAATGTACAGTATGTACAGTACATACCAGTAGTTGTACGAGTATTGTATAGTACATACTGTAGCCGCACGATACCATTGATGCATCTTTTTTTATTCATAATCATCATTCGCACATTTTTTGGCGTTCAATGAAATTAATAGTTGAGACTACAGTACTGTAGAAGTAGTGAAAAGGGTGGACTAGCCATATCAATATGGGCAGAGCGATATCACACTTGTCTGACTTGCTCTCTCCTCCCGTTTATGCACATACGGAAATGTGTTGATTATGGACTCTCTCACCTTGGCAGGTTCCTCACTCATGAGAGAAACTAGCTGGTCGTGGACGAGCTGTCTGTCCTGTAGATGGTGTATCTGCTGATATAGAATCTATTTCTAGAATGAGCATGCACACTTCTGGTGTGTGCTACTATCGGAACGTGGTGTTCCAAGAAGTGGGTTGTGGAAGTCGTTAAAAAAAAATTCTAATTGATCATTCATACATAGGATCTTCACACCTCCCGTATTATATAGTATTGTATCAGAGATTTAGACCTATGGTCTCTCTACTCGTACCGCGGAGGAAAAACAAGCGGTCATTACTTTTGAAGAGGATATTGATAGAAGAATGTGTAATCCTTGTAGTTGTACTGTATGTACTAGTACATACTTCTCGTATAAGCACTCATCTACTTACTGTACCAGTAAGATGCCCTGTACATACTGTGCTGTACTTGTACAAGTATGTATGTACTGTATTGTACTTGTACCTGTACAAGACAGCACATTAATCACTCTCGACTGTGGCATCGGAATCCAGTTCGATGGGCTCCTTTGGGTCAGGGTTAAGAAGGCCTTCCGAGATCGTCTCTTCCTCCTTCACCATCATTGCAGGTGAGTTGGGTTTGAAAGGCGGGAGATGCTCGACCTTTTCAGCTAACTCAGGAATGACGAATTCCTCCTTCTTCACGTAGTCGCCGAATCCATCGCTAAACTCCCCTTCGAACTGACGCATCTTTCTCTTCTTTGTATTCAAGAGAGCCGAAAACTTGTTCACCAGTTCCTTCTCATATCTCCTCTTCTCTGCTATGAGGCTCTGCAATTGCTTCTCCAACTCCACGCATCGCCCCTTATACATGTTTGTCTGGATACGCGTTTCCCGTAGAGTCTTCTGAACGTTCGTTCTACTTTCGTCGATACTACGTACCCATGTCATGAGATCCGGATCACCTGTTGACGTCTCCTTCAATTCGATATCACCCAGTCGGGCGACAATGCCGTCGCTTTTTCTCCTTCGGATTGATACACTCAAAGATTTGTCCATGCTATCGTATGAGCATTGAGTAATCACGCTTTCTGCTTCAAATCCCTCTCCGGCTTCGCCCGTAAAAACCCACCGCACTACCTTTTCCCAATCCTCGTCAGATTCCTTGTTTCGTCGATACTTATGCTGTTTCAAGAGACCCTTGTTGATTCGCACTGAGAACACATGTTCGCCTTCGGACCCAGTAACCTCGATGTTGAGCTGTGTAAGATCGCCTTTAGACTGGAACACTGCATATCCGTAGCTGATAGATTCCGATGGAATTGTGAATGTGAACATACCGTGTACTGTGATGATGAGATGCAAACCCAGTATAGTACTCGTATTGTAGATTACAACACGAAATACGATCCTATATACAGTAGTCGGAGAGTGAGCCGCATATACCATGAACCCTTACCCAACACTACAGATAATTTTCGACCTGGCACTCTAAAATGCAGAATGTTGCTACATAGATAAGCCGGATGTCGATGATATTTTAACGTGGTGATATAGGAAGCGCTTTTTGAGTCGACAATTGTTCGTGTACTGTACGTAAATGCGAGCCCGAATGTGGTGATTCATGTGTCTTACAACAATACTGTCATGTAATAAGGTTTTATTAAGTGGTCCCAATACCAGAGTATAAGTATAAGTACAAGTACAGTACAAGTGTATGTATGTACATACTGTACAGTACCTACAGTTGTATGTACTTAAAAATTGATGTGTATTGTGTACTGTATGTACTGTACTCAGATGATGACGATTCTCACCGGCAAAACCCATAACATGTTGCGTCAAAGATAATCAAAAACATATCATTAAATTACATCATGCCAAGGTAGCCCGTCCACCAACATCTGTGGAGGCAGTGCCAGGCGGCATATCGCCACTTCGACCACTGACAAACTGGCTATAGATGCCCTTCAGCTTCAGGAGCTCCTTCTTACTGATGGAAGGAGAAGTCTCATCCAAAGACTTATTCATGTGTTGAGGTTTGATTACAACGACTGCCTTCTTCCGGGGCTTATCATCATCGTTATCGACACCCACAGACATGCCCTTAAACAAGGCTTCCAACTTAGCTGTGACACGAGCCTTCTCGGCTACTGCAGCTCGAGCATTCATTACCTCATTTTGGACAGCTGCAGGATCTTTCTTGGCATCTCCAAGGGTCGTCTGGAAAAATTCAAGACGCTTGTCTTCGAGCGCAGGGGTATCAGCTGCTGTGTCATCAGCAACATCCACAACTTCATGAATAGCCTCAAGATAAGCATTGAACATCACAGCCTGCAGATCAGCCCCAGAAAAGCCGTCGGTCCTTGACGCCACGTATTCCAATTCCACTTCCCCATCCAGGTGCATTTTTCCATCCACAATTGCTCGCAGGATATCCAGCCGGTCTTCATAAGAGGGCAGGTCACAGATAAGCATTTTATCCAGTCGACCAGGACGTAACAGTGCGGGGTCGATGAGGTCGGGTCGCGAAGTGGCAGCCAGAACATAAACACCATCGAGTCCCTCAGCACCATCCATCTGCGTAAGCATCTGATTAACCACTCGGTCAGTAACACCAGTGGAATCGTGTCCTCGCTTGGGAGCAATGGAGTCAAACTCATCAAAGAACAAGATGCAAGGTTTCGCAGCCTGAGCTCGCTCAAAGAGCTCTCGAACACTTTGTTCGGATGCACCAATGTACTTGTTCAGAATCTCAGGACCCTTAATAGAAATGAAGTTGAGACCACATTGCGCAGCAACTGCTGAGGCCAAGTAGGTTTTGCCACAACCAGGGTAACCGTAGAGAAGGAGACCAGAACGCAGACGAAGGGGACAAGATGCAAAAATAGGAGCATACTTGGTGGGCCATTCGAGGGTTTCCAAAAGAACTGCCTTGGTTTCTTTCAGACCACCGATGTCATTCCATTTGACGTTGGATTTTTGTAGCTTAACCCCTCGCAGAGATGATGGCACGAAGTCCTCTAGTGCTTTCATGAAGTCCGCGAGTTGGATTGAAGGGTTTTCAAGTCCAATTTCAATCTGTCTGAGAGCCATTTCATGCTGGGCTCGCTCACTCAGAGTCCACAAGTCCCCAGGCAGGTATCCATCGACCTGAGAAGCAATTTCGAGAACATCATTCTGTGAAAAGGAAACATTCTGGTCCATCAGCTTAACCGCCTCTGACAAGATGGCCAGACGAGCCTCCTTATCGGGAGATTTGAGATGGAAAAGCTCTTCAAACACATGGCCAGTCACAAGATTCATATGAAGGGACTCTTTGGCCTGTGCAGAAGCCACAACGGAAACATGGCGAGACTTCATGATGGGCAATGCCAACTCCAAAAATAGCTGCGTCAACTGTCTTGTTCGCGAAGAATCAGCGTGTTCGACTTCGGCAGGCATCAATGCATCAATATCATCCAAGAACAAGACTGAGGGGGAAAACCAGGATGCCTCAAGAAATGCCTTGGTGAGAATCTCTCTCACAGCCTGGACCCTGTCTTGGGCAATGAGACCGCAGGCAATGGAGACCGTGTGAGTGTGTGACACTTTACATTCCTTCTTGATGTGGTTCAGAACAGCACTTTTACCAGAGCCCCTGGATCCGTAAACCAGGCACCCAATAGAGTCACGAGACAGAACCTCGTTAATTTTGTTCAGCATATTGTCCAAGCCAACAACACGCTTGTCCTCAGATTCGATATTTGAAGGGGACAGGGACGATTCTGATCTTAGAATTTCAGAACCAGAAACAAACGGTATGGGCTCCTCGCCGAGGTAGCCTCCTTGGATCCAGCCCTCTGAGTTTTGCAAACCGATGACACCACCCAAAGGAAGCAGCTCGGGAATAGGAGGTAGGCGCTGAAAATTCGTAATAGGCCCTTCAAGCATCTGCAGCTTTTTGAGCTCTTCCAGCAAAGAGAACTGGTCGTCGGCTGAAACACCATCGTCGGCGTTCTTCTCTCCCTTCAATCGGAGTGATTTTTGCTCTGCAGCCCCCACTGTCTTAGTGATGAAACGATGAATCACCAGCGCTCCAGGCTTTTGAGAAAGAGGCTTAGATGCAGATTCAAATCTAATTACGTGGCCCACAGAGCTAGGGATCCCCAGTGCGTCGGCAAGTGCATAACTTAGCTTAGCATGACCAGTGGGAGAAGTAGTATCGTTAACGAGAGTCGCAACGATCTCGGAAGCAGGATTGATGATATCCGGAGGAACCTCAACCTTAGGCTCAGAAGAGGGTGGCTTGTTTTGAGACAAACTCTCCTCTGACTTTTCCTCTACTGCGATAGAGGCTGCTTGCTGAGGGGACGCTAAATTGGGCGGTGTAATGACCTTGATGGAAACATTTTTCAGCTGGTGAAACTCAGGGGGCAGCTGGGAGACATCCAGGGACACCTCCAAACGTAGATGGCCATCGAAGTCTTCACTAATAGCTCGCCTCAGAGCGTGGGGGCCTCGGCCACCTTTTCTCTTCTGAGATCCAGTAGATCTCGCACTTCCGGACCGTTTCTTCACTTGTTTCTCCTCCTTCTTTCGCTGCTTGGGAGCTACCACAACTTCAGAGTCTGGCGATAGCTTGGCGAATCCTGCTGCTCCTAAATCTGGCTCGATTCGAATAACCTTCAGCGTAGCAGACGTGGTGGAGGACGGGTATACCGTGACTGGCTGGTTGGGGGATACAGCTCGAACCTGATTAATCATCCGAGACTCAAGGTATGCAGCATGTAGTTCGACAATTTCCCAGTCAGCCACGGTGACAGGTTCCAAGTGAATGGTGTGTGCGATCTTGGGATTCAGCTGAATGTCAATGACCACCTGAGTATTGGGCAGTAGATCGATGGATTTGGCAAAAACCGGGTCGAGTTCAATCTTGTCTTTTCCAGAATAATCAGACTTGGATGTCATACCAGTCCATCCGACATAGGCAGTCTGTGTGGTTCTGGTTCCGGATACCGACGGTTTAGACTGCCATGACAGTGATAAAATGACATCTTGAATTGACTGCGTTAGTTTTTCCACGAGGCGTTCATTCGTTGGAGACCATTTTGGTTCTCAGATCAGCGACTCGTGTACAGGACCATCCGCTGAGGGCTTCCTCAAGAGTGTATCACTAATGTGATAGGTAGTCACCCAACAATTATGGGATATCTCAGGTCGTAACAGCAACTCTTCTGATCACCACTAAATGGTCTTGCCAAAAGAGACCATAGGATCTAGGATCGCTCTGGCTCTGGCCCAACGGTCTCATGATCTGTCCTTCATAGTTGATACTCACCACTCCACTGTTGAAAATTAGCGAGGAAAGCGATGTCGGAATGTTAACAAGCCCCGACCTTAAAGGCGCGTACCCTACTAGAGCTGAATGTGCCATGGTTCTGGAGGTGCGCGAGATGCTAGGCTTGTGATGAGAAGTGGCACCCCACTTGGGACAGATGTGGGGGAAACGTGAAAAGAACCTTAATTTTCAGAAAGAAATGCCGAGGTAAATTACCGACTATAGAGGGTGGATATTCTGATGAAGTGATAACAAGTACAATCTCAATGAGATTGTTTCTTACCAGATACGCGTAATTCAGAGCGCCTTCCTATAGCGTAACATTCCATTGAAGATCATGGGGCAATATGGAAAAGACCGGGACGACGCTTTCACAATGGACAGTGGAGTTAAACTTTCGGGAATACTTGGGGTCATCTATTTTGCGTTGGCAATTACTCATGATCATGTATCGGTAAGCTACAAGTAATTACTGGTACAAGTAGCTACTGTCCGTACAGTACTCTTACTGTGCTGTACATACGAATGCAGATTCAAGACCATATTGTCAGGTGCTATGGGTCTCCCGAAAAGTATTATCATAACCTGTCTACGATACATGATGCATGCGTGGCCTATGAGTACACCTGTACAGACGGCGAATACCAGTACAATACCGGTACAGTACTGTACTGTACAGTATGTACTCTGTACTTGTAGCATGTTCTACTGATTTATGATCCCAGGCATGCAATGCTGTATGTATGTACTGTACTGTACTGTACATACTGTACTTGTCTGGAAATACTTGTAGGCATGTAGGGGTTGGGGGAGGACCCCATTCTGAGTTTTCACTAATAGAATCTGAGAATCTCGTTGTCGGAAGGTGTCCCTTTCAACTGATGTGTGAGCTGTTATCATATTACACAATATAGAATATAATTAGAAGTACCGGTACGAGTACAAGTAAGTAGCTATTGTACCTGTATGTACTGTACATACAGTAACTACTTGTACTACAGTAAGATAGTAAACGGTACGTTCATGATGTACAGTAAGTACGAGTACAGTACACATAGTCTAATCCACAAATCCACAATTAGAAACACTATCCCGCACCCACAGGCAACAGCGACTGAAAGGCACACAACGTGATGCAATTTCTGGTCATAGTGTCATCCGTTCTTGGGTGGACGTATTTTGCACTATGGAGCTTCTCCTTCTATCCTCCGATCTTGCTGAACATCAAATTGAAGTCTGTGGAAGGTATCTCACTCGATTTTCTCTACCTCAACACACTTGGGTACATTTGCTACACGATATCAACAGTGCTCCTCTATTACAATCACACAATTCGGGAGCAATATGCTGCACGTCATTCTGATCCTTCGGGTGTTAAACATTACCCACTCGTCCGTCTCAACGACGTGTGGTTTGGCATTCACGGTTGCTTCCTCACCCTCCTGACACTCAGTCAAGTGTACTTTTGGGGCTTTAGTCGATCACCACTACAGCGGTTGTCCAAATGGGGCCTATCATTGCTAATCTTCGGTATCGGAATATCACTCGGAACGGCGCTTCTTGTGTATCTGTTCGGCAATTCGGACCCCAGCATTGGACTACAATGGTTGGATGTTACATATGTCACAGGATCCGTCAAGGTTCTCATGAGCACCAGTAAATACTTCCCGCAACTTCTATGGAACTTCCGACGTAAGTCCACGAAGGGATGGTCAATTGTTTCCATTTTGTGTGATTTCGGAGGAGGCATTTTATCGTTGGCACAGCTAATCTTGGATGGTTATATCAATCACGATTATGAGGGTATCTTCAAGAATGTGCCAAAGCTTCTATTATCATTGGTAAGTATTGATTTCTACCGAGACCTGCAGAGCTCTCTCAACTAACACAGATCACGTTAATTTTCGACATCATGTTCATGCTACAGCATTACGTCTGGTACAACGACAGTAATTTCCAAGTAAGTCCAGGAGGCATAGAAAGCCAAAACCACCACTACCACAATCAGCATCATCGTCATCATCATCATCATCATCATCATCGCGAGCACAGCAATCACCACCGCCCATCCTCGCAGAGATTGGGCTACGGTTCTGTGAGCGAAGACAGCGAAGAAGAGCCCAGCCGACTGATGCTGGCCTGAATCGGGGGAAACTAACTTAGCTACCAAAGGTGGAGTAGGTACCTCCATAGATTAGAAAGACAATGCGCTTCTCAAGTTGAACTTGCGTGGTGTAAATGGTGTTCGTGTATATTAAGCTATGTTGTCATGCCCTTCGCCTGACGACTGATTTCACTGTGGCACCATCAAGGTGTGATGGCTTGAAATCCCTACTAGAAAGCAGTCCAGCACTCTCATAGATTCTATGATACTCCTGGTCTTGCGGCAACCCCAGGCGAGTCCACATTTCTCGGACATCACTTATGAGTTGTTGGCCACCAGCTGCAGAAAATGTATTCACCATGATAACTTGTCGAGAGAAATACTCAGACAAAACCTTTGAGAAGTCCTTGAGGATCTGATACATGTCTTCTGCAGATAGACACTTCCTCATAATTCCAAGATATTTGTCCATCGTCTGAATAGGAAGAGACAGCTGGGAGCTGGGCGGCACATTTTCGGGGTCAGGATAATCAACGTTCTTGGACCAGTCGTTCAGCTTGAAGTATTCCTTCATTCCATCCTGCATTCGCTTCTCCAAAAATGCCTTTGCAGTCTGGTACACACGGTCCTGTAAAGACGTATATCCTTTGATGGTGTCATCGAACAGGGTTCCCTCGTCGCTTTCATCCGTGGGTAGCGTAGCGGAGGTCTGCATGGCATCATTGTCGATACCACCTTCTTTTCGCGAGGAGTTGTTGAGAGAGGTTATATCGCGCCAAAGTTCCAGAAAAAAGACGTCCTCACCCCAAACTTGGAGGGTCTCTATCATGAACTTCGCACTTCCAAAAATTCTGCACACCCTCCAGATACCCTCTGATCCCCCCGTTTTCTGTTTATCAGCGGCTCCCACAAGAGCCCTCGACAATAGAGATATGTTCGATTCCAGAAGCAGATTTTGTTCATGCAGTTGCTCGTGATAAAGATCCAAAATTGTCGTCTGAATACCTATCAAGAACTTGAGTCTGTATGTGACACTAGCCAGACTTCTGTAGTGGTCAGTGACACCCTCCAGCAGATCTTTGACCATTAGCGCACTCTTCGTTGGTTTGGTCGCACCTCTTTCCACGCCATCAAAGTCAATTTCCCAAGCGTCGGGAAGCTGAATAATAGCGTGAAACCGCGAAACCGCAAAATTTCGTTCAACATTGAGCCAAATATCAAACCTCGAAGGCGTGAGAATAGACCCTGAAATTCCCACCCAGTTTCCTCTGTTGGGGCTGTAGAAATAACGCTCTTTAAGAGCGGTCTCAAACACTACTGTTTCGTAGAGGAGATGGGATAGCTCTGTAGATGTATCACGGAGAGCATCGAACAACACCGAGGCTTTGCGGATTGCCGATGGAATCAATGCACAGATGAACTCATTGAGAGCTACTTTGTCGCTGTCACCCAACAGAGGTTGCATGTGTTCCTGCAAGAAGTTTTCCTGCTCCTCAACAATGTCTAGAAAGTAAGAATAAAACCATTCAGGCTTGTCAGGTTGGTTCGTATCTTTGTTTCCTTCGAAATGGAACCGTAATCTGATATCATAAGGCGCAGTCAAAACCAAGAAAGCCTGCAGCGGCACCCCTTGGGGGTCAGCTGTCGACTGGGTTCTAAGAGAGCTGTCAAGGAATATCATTTCTTCTAGAGTCGATAGCAGCCGTTCTGATGGCTGAAACTCCTTTGAAGGGTACTGGCAGTTCACCAGCTCCTCTTCTGCCTCCTGCGAAAGTCTTTGAAGCTCAGTGTGCGCGGACCTCTGAAGCTTTTTCCTCCATTGCTTATGTAAAGCTTCCACCGCAGTAGGAACATCTCTGCGGTTCAATTCCAGATATTCTTGAATTGCGCTTTTGATCCTGGCACTTGAATCGGTTTCCGTTGAAGTGTTGTAGTTTTGTTGCAAAGACAGGAGGTTGCCGATGTGGTGTTCAGAGGATGCCAGGTTCTCGGCTTTCTTGATTGCAGTCTGTACATCCTTGTTGGTGTCGACCAGCTCATGCTTGCTGAGGTCTTCCAGTGCCGCAATGATTGATTTCTTGTCACCCTCTTCAACCGAGTCGTGGACTGCCTGTGCATGTTGTACAAGCAAACTGGAGGCTTCATTGTGTGCTTCAGTGATGTCAATGTTCAACCGCTCCTCCTTCTCCAGAAGCTCGGATTCAAGCTGGTCCAAAGACTCTAGATCGGCCAACGTAGCAAATTGCCCATCAAGAAACAACTTCCCAGATATCTTCCCAATATGACCGCTCATGTTCTGTGTTGGTGGTTTTGAGTTGTGTCCGTGATGACAAACCGGCCAATCTGGTATGTAACCTTAATCCCGCTTAAAATTATCACACGCATCTTGAACCACCACTTGAATTTGACATCAGATCAGAAGAGAACACAACATGGCTGGTAGGTATTGTTGGCGCCCACAGAAACCTCCCCCTGCTTTACTAACACAGTACGAAGCAAGAACACTGTCATCAAACTCTTTTCTTCGGCGAAAACCGGTGTCATGCGAACCGTTTTCCGACCTCGTGTGGCTCGTCCCATCACTCAAGTGAAGTATGACCCTATAGGTGAGTTACTGGAAAGATGAGGCTGTCGAGGGCTGAGACCCGTTGCAGTGGATGAGGTGATCGCAGTGGTGTCGCGATGCAGCATCGGCTAGTGGGTGTGGCACTGGACGCTCGATTTCTCGTGATCGTCTCCATGAGATCGTGGTCCCAGAGAGCTGACCACGCCAGTTTACTAACTCAGTTAAACGAATGGTTCTTTTCGAGGAGACGAAGACCCGACGAGGAGCCGTTGAGCCTCGAGGCAAGGAGCCTAAGAAGTCCGATGACTAAGCCATGATTTGTACATAGTTAATTATAGATGTGAAGAGGTAGGATGCTTGTATTTCGTTGTACTGTGACTGGGTCGTAGTTTGGTGACCATGCCCTCTGCGTGATAGGTTAGGGATGTGTGGCTGTACGGTGTTTGCTCTCCATTCCATGTGCTATTGTGCAAATGGGTTCGCGTGAATGCTCACACTCCTGATGAATACAGGGGCGACTGGTCGATTCTTTTTGTCTACCTCAACTCCTTCGAGTTTCACTAGAGCGTCCTCACCATCGATCATTTTCCCAAACACAGTGTAATTGCCATCCAGACTCAAGTGCTTGTCGTAAGTTATAAAGAACTGGCTTCCATTTGTGTTGGGGCCGGAGTTGACCATGGAGAGTATGCCTCTGGAGTTGTGTCGCAGCGTCGGCTTGATTTCGTCTTCAAATTTGCCGCCCCAAATCGACTCCCCGCCTTTGCCTGTACCTGTGGGATCACCCATCTGTACCATGAATGCTTGCGTTAGTCACTCTCTCAGAGGTTTAATGGCACCTAACATAATAGAACGTCGCTTCAGGCTGTATGGTGTGGTTTTACTCACTCTTGATGTTCCTGTGTATCTTTGTTTCATCATATGTGCCCGACGCGCACAGGGCCAGGAAATTCTGTGTTAATAATTGCACGACCACACTGTCACAGTGCCACTCACTTTTGCAGCCTTCGGTACAGCCTCGCAAAATACTTCGACCTTGATATCACCGGCATCCGTATGAAGAGTTACGGACATGTCTGATGAGTTTCGTACTGGTGCCGGTTCTCGTATTTGTAAGGTTATTGGTACGAGTACAAGTACAAGTACATTGTAATATACACTACAGTAAATGAACCCTATAGCTTCATGCTGGATCCCAATATTACACCCAAGTAGCATGCATAAGCTAAAAGTAACTCGCAGCGCACACCGTGCAGATTCATAAGTCTATGATTAATTGAACGCCAATAACCCGGCTTACTACAAGTACAAGTAGGTATACATAGCGGTAATGAATCATTAGAAAAAAAAAAAACAAAAAAAAACAAAACAAACTGTTGTGGATGCATCAACAGTAGTACATAGTTGTACGATGTACTTGTACTTGTAAAAGCAAAAATGTACAATATCTCAGGGAGCGCAACTTTTACGTTCGAAGAACAATGTACCGCGTACCGCATTCTAGATTCTGCGGAACGTCTAACCTGGAAATACGATTTTTTTTTTCTTTCATTTTTTTTGCTTCTTCAAAAGTATGGTAATTTCCTACCATTACAGTTGACACTGAACGAGGGGGGATTGAATTTAAGCAAAAAATTAAATCAAAATACCTTTATGTATCCAGCCCATGTAATAAACAAAAGGATTATATAACAAGAAATAAATATATACCTTTAATGGATCATTAGAATAAAAATAAATACGAGAAGCACACCAGAGAAGCTTTTTGATTGCCACTATACCGCTACTTTGGTATATTCTTATTATAATTGTTGAATTTGCAAGATAGAATGTGCCATTCATTGGAGAGAAATCCAAGGAATATGTGGGATGAAATGACTAGAAGTATGAACAATGAGAATAGTACATACTTGTACCTGTATTTCTAGAAGAGAGAAAGACAGTTGAGTGTGTGATTCTCGTCCAATAATAATCTCAATAGTAACGTGTGAATAGCTGTTCTTTGATAGTTGATATTTCTCGATGACTATTTATGTTGTACAAGGGATTTTTTTCGTTGCTGTTGATTTCGAATTAGGCAATGCAGATATCATTTATGCTATCCATATTTAAGATTTCCCATACGCATTTATAACATTTATTCTACATAAATTGTTAAATGAACGAACTGCCATTATAAATTGTTTCCTAAATAGGAAGTGTTTTTCATAAAGCAAGTAAGTTGTCTAATAATACTAAGTAATAAAAATAAGTTCATACAATATATTTTGAGAACATCATTTGGAGGCGGTAGATGGAGTCTGTTTATTATTAAACAATGCGAGATGACCCCTTAAATATTGAGAACATCAGTTGGAGGCGGCAGATGGAGTCTGTCTATTTAGCAATGGGACATGACTGTCACGTATCATCATGATGTATATATATAATACATATAATATTATATAACACGATTTTTTTAAATTATTGGCCCGAAAATTAATCAGTGTAGACTGGATCACCTTACAATATTGTGTTAGAAATATAATCTAATGTGTTACGGAAGTATGTGGTATGGTATATACTGGTTGCAAAATTTCCATTTTGAGTCATCTCCAAAAAAATTGATTGTAAAAATTAGAGATTTATGTAAGAATATTTCACTATGTTTATTTTAATAAATATTTGATATTTTTTATATTAGTACAGTAGATATAATAAATAGTTATACTACTGCTAAATAAGCACCCAATATTTTTATGTCATAAACTTCTCGGAAGATCATTGGACCCCACATGCCGCACCCGTAATGAAGTTGGCCCCAATTTAGGTAATGTTAGCCAATTTAGGTAATGTTAGCCCATTTAGGTATTTTGTTTTCTAGTTATGCCTTTTATGTTTCTTTACTTTTAGTCATATTAACCCTAAAACTACTCTGTGTTCTAATTTTTGTTTAAAAACAAATCGAAATATTTTTTCTGGTGGTTTTTCCGTCTATCTTACAACTTATTATTTGAGCTTTGTTATTATGTATTCTTATCAAACTACTGTAGTCGTTTATACTACTCCGCGGTTTGCTACTGCTTTTTTTTATGTTTTTTATATTTTTTTTTTAAATTTTAATTTTCAAGATACTTGTGTGAATAAAATTTGCCTGTACGACTACGAGTACTACAAATTGAAATATTGTATTCTGCTCATACCAGTAGTTATAGTGTTGTGTTTTTGTTGTATTGATATTTTTTGTTGTATTGATATTTTTTGTTGTATTGATATTTTTTGTTGTATTGATCATTTAATGTTGATTTGATTTTGATTTTGATTTTGTGGTACAGTTAGTTTTTCGCCGATCTTTTTTTTTTTTTTTCCACCAATTGTACAAACGACATTGGCATTTTTTTAGGTTTAACGTACATAAATATAAGTACGAGTGCACTTGTGCATGCAAGCATTTGATTTGTCTTGTCTACTCTTACCAGATCTTGAGTGCATTCGTGAACAACATTGAAGAATGCTGTGTCGTCAATTTATCAGGACTGCCCTGGGATCCAAAGTGCGTTTACGTCCTTTCCACAGCAGCTCAACATTGCTCGCGAAGAAGCCGGCTAAGGCAGGCAAATCAACAGGTGGTAAAGGGAAGAAAGGGAAAAATACTGAGAAGAAACTCCTCCTTGGTCGTCCGTCCAACAATCTCAAAGGGGGTATTGTCGGTCTTGCGAACGTCGGAAAATCCTCAATTTTCCAAGCAATTTCGAAATCCCATCTAGGGAATCCAGCGAACTATCCCTTTGCTACCATCGATCCCGAAGAGGCTCGAGTGATCGTTCCTTCTGACCGTTTTGACAAACTATGTGACGTTTACAAACCAGAAAATGCCGTGCCAGCGACTTTGACTCTTTTCGACATCGCAGGACTTGTGAAGGGTGCTAGCAAAGGAGAAGGTCTGGGGAATGCATTCTTGGCGAACATTCGGGCGGTCGATGGCCTATTTCAAGTAGTGAGAGCATTTGATGATCCTGAGATTACGCACATTGAAGGCTCCATCGACCCTACACGTGACCTGGAAATTGTGACGCATGAGCTGTTAGAGAAGGATATTGAATTCGTTCTTCGTGCTCTGGAAACAGCAGAGAGATCTGTAAAGGCTGCTGCATCTCAAAAGAACTCCATGGTGTTGACCGAAAGGAAATTTGAACAATCTGTTTGCGGTAAAATACTTGAGCACCTTGAATCTGGGAAGAAAGTGTACCACGGGGACTGGACAAACGACGAAATCCGGTTCATCAACACTCTGACACTACTAACTGCGAAGCCAACGGCATATATTGCTAATGTTTCTTTCGCAGACTACAAAGCTTTTATCACGGGAGGCAAAAAACTAGATAACATCAAGTATCTGTCAAGCATTCGGAGGTGGATCGATGAAAACTCTCCTGGCGACCTATTAGTGCCTGTGTGTGTCGAATATGAAGTGAGACTTTTCGAGAGCTCTGAAGCAGGCGAGGAGCTTGACACTGCTTCAACTGTTCCAAGTGCCATCGGACCCGCAATTTCTTCTCTTAGAAAAGCTCTGAACCTCATCTCATTTTTCACTGGCTCGCCCCGGGAAGTTCGAGAATGGACAATTCGACAAGGCTCCACAGCACCTGAAGCAGCTGGTGTCATCCATGGGGATCTTGAAAAGACGTTCATTGTTGCTCAAGTTACAAAATTTGATGATGTAATCTCCCACAAGGGTGACGAAGCGTCCCTCAAGTCTGGAGGTAAAATTGCGAACAAGGGCAAAGACTACGAAATGGAAGACGCAGACTGCGTTATTTTCAAGGCCGCCAACGGCAAGAAGTAATATCCTCTTCATGCTATATCATGTACATAAATAATTCTATCACATTTTCTTTGTTAAGGCAAGTTCCATCTTGTTTACAAAACGGATAAGAAAGTGGGGAGCTACATGGTGTGCTTATACTTGCAATTTGTACGAGCACAGTATATACTGGTCGTAATCGCTCCCAAGAATAATACCTGGTGTAGAATGCAGTATATATAATCGCAAGGGCACAGTTTTACAGGAAATAGGCACTAATCACGACACTGAGAAAAGATAATAAATATTGCTATGTATCGTAAGGCTTCCATGAACAGCCCGCCTTAACAGTAGCTTCGACCATCAGAACCGGTTCCAGATGAGCACGAGTTGGAAGACGACATACAAATTCGAGGAGACCAGTGGTCTTTTCCGGGGATGGAACCAGATACCTGGTAAATAGTGTTTCCAGGGTTGGTGCCCTGGACGACATGCGATGCATCCTGCGTAAGGCGATAGAAGGCACCAGCTCGACATTTGTTCTGAGTTCTCCCGTTCCATCCATTCTGACTTCTGAACTTACAGTCGTTGTATGTGTAATAGAAGGAGCCGGAGAGGGTTCCATCAGCCCACATGTGATCAATGTAATCAGTGCATTCGCCAAGGCAGACCCAGTTAACACTTGATGTTTGGGGATAGAAGAAGTCATTGTAGTAGTGAATATCCATGGGTTCGAGGCCAACGTCCCCAGGCCAGTACATGCTGCAACCTCCACGCTTCTGAAGATGAGCAGGGCTCTGTAGAGTGTAGTTCTGGGTGGTGTGGATAGTCACATGAGTATCGATGGCTATGTTCTGGAAGGACTGGGCTGACTCCGCGGACTCATCAGCTTGGTCACGCTCAAAATCACGCTTAAGGGACAAGTAACCGGCCAAATCTCCAGAGTCTAGCTTAGCTTTGAGAGTCTCAGCAAGATCGGCTTCGGGCTCTCCGGAGGCACTTCGAATGAAAATAGACAGAGCAGACTCAGTGTCAGAAGGAGTTATCGAGGTAGCATTTTCACAAGGTTGGACAGCCAAGAGTACTTGGTCTCCACTCTTCTGGTGGTCCACACAAAGTGATGCCAGTGCTGTGGACACCAAAACGGTCAGAATCAAGTTTCTGGAGATCATGTTGGTTTGGTGTAGTTGATGCTTCCGAAATAATGATCGACTGGAAAAAGTCACTTATATGTATGGCAAGGGAAAAAAATAATAATGACCGTCTTTCTCCTGTTTAAAATTTGCGCTGATGCTTGAACAGGTTGTGTACATCTTGGTGTCGATCGTTGTTGTCGATCTTAGCAGGGGGAATTGCCGTACAAGTACTCGTCGTAGCTAAGTGTCAGGGAGATCTTACTTTGCTCCATTGAAAAAAATTAAGCCACGACAAGACAGAGCCGTGACGATCAGTTTTTCCCATTAAGTCTAGAAGGCTGATTATTTTTCGAGGGATAAGTCACTCTCTCTACACGGCACCGTGTACAACGTGCGTCGTGGGGTTATTACTTATAGGGGTATGTATATGTATGCAGTTGTCAAAGAGCTTAAATAGTGATCATCACACGAAATGCTGATGAACCGACTCTGAGTGCTCTTAGTAGGGGAATGATCTTCACACATAGCATCTTGGCAGCAAGGAAAAGTGGATAGGGGCGTTTTTTACAAGTCCCTGAGGAGCACTGATTTGTTCAAGTGGGAAGCGTGAGTATTGTATGTACTCGCACAGTCAAGTATTTCCAACTTCAGGGAGGCTTGGAGAGTGGTGAGTACAAGGAGTTCTGTTCCTGTAGTGGTATATCTCTGTGTCATAAACTGGGTTAACAAGGGTTGGAGGAAACAATGTCTCAGTACAACTACTGTACAAGAACGGTACGAGTACCTACAGTACCGGGTATAAGGACCGTATCTATTGTACGCTAAAGCATGACTCAGGTGAAAGGACTTGGCGACATACAAATCAACGTGCGCCATCCTGACAATGTCGACATACAAAGGTCTTTTCAACATCTATATGATGTTGTAGTATTACCGATACATTGTGAACGAACGGGAAAGGGCTGAATGTTTCACGCGTGCCTAAGACGCGATGGACTTGTGGAAGGCAGGTTCAACCTATCTGTGAGTGATGTTCGTATGCTGCACGTTTTTCCTTGGATCGTCTTTTTTAGCGAGTATCTTTTCACGATTCAAGTACATAATTATTGTACATACTGTACTTTTACTTTTATGAGTACTGTACTGTAAGTTGAAAATAAAGAACTTATAAATGGGTGATGCCACGTAGAAGCCATCTCCTTGTGTCGCCCCGGGACAAAATGTATACGAGCGAGCCTGAATGGCCTCCCCAAGTGGTACTCTTACGATAGAAGTACGAGTGTACTCGTTCTGTATTGTAAATAATGATACAAGTACTGTCGGAGTGAAGAGCCACGACCTCAAATACTGCTATACGTTTTGCAGTACATGCATACTGTACAGAATACGGTGCAGTGTACTTCTGGTGTTTATGGACGCAAACTCAGGGATAATGAAAACTGGTACAAGTACAATATATAAACACTGGAAGTGCTGATACCACCAGGTATTGAGGTTCATAAGTATTATTTGATTAGATATAGTCAATGTAACGACTTACAACTCACTTCTAGGGACATCACGTTCTGACAGAAGGATGTGTGCTTGCTCATTTACTAGAAAGAGATTGAACGCCGTGTCCCTAGAAGTGGGTTGTAAGTTGTTAATTAACTATATCACATCAATAATACTTATGATCTTCAATAGTATGTACTCTGTACCTCCTGTAGAAACCGTGTTAAGATGTTTTTTTTTAAAAAAATAAATAAATACATAAATTCAGAGGATTATATCCAAGAATGATCATCGTGGGCAGCCAAATACAGTCTACTAATTAATTACAAACCCCATCTGTTCCCAGGAATGCCACCTACATCGTGAACGTTTCGCGCTCTCGATACTGACGTGTGACTTTGTCTAACCTACATCTATGCACAACTAGATGAGCTGAGGATATATCTGAGCCCCAGGGAGGGATATGTATACTCTACCACACGTATGTGCTTGGTGCTGCCACGAGACAGAGGAGTTGATCGTGATTATCATGCCTGACATAGTTCGGACCCATTCAGGCGCGAGCACGATACAATGTCAGATTTTAAATACTTCACTGATCGTGGTGCACATCAGGAAGCCGTATCATTTACCGCTACTGCAACATCCTGGACGATATTTCAAAAGTGACTAACATTAATTAGTCATGGTGGATGATTTGGGTTAGAACACGATACAGATGAATGTCGATACTTCGAGGATGCCAAACGTGTCATTTGTGCATTATATCTTACCACCACTCACTGCGGTATCGTACGACGGTGAGGTATCATTTCAGTGGCTGTGGAAGTCCCGTTGCTTCCGCATTAACGCCGGAAGCGTGTCATGCTCCGGGGAAGTGCTTTATCAGATTCTTATCTGCTGAACTTACTGAGAGTGCATACCGAGAACTTCACGGAACCCACATTGAAAGGGAGCTTGTGTCTCAACTGATGATTGGAACACAGCGACACAGTTGTAATCGTGTTTTATCCAATGATAAATTCTTAATTTGGATAACTCAAGTAGAAGCGATAGGTATGAGCTACTGAGTATTTACTACTCTCCTATATCTCCAGACTACAAGTAGATGGCCGCCTGGAGTTGGTCATCAGTGTATCGTGTGTAACCCAATTTGGAACGTGCAGTCCGTATTTGTAAGGATTATGGACTCCATATTATTTGCCGCGCTAAGGCTGCAGATATTATTACAAGTGAGGTGTATATTTTTCAGGAGATCAAATTAGAAGTAATATACACGTAGCATGGTGCGGACGGGTCACTCAATTTCATTGTTGCAAAATTTATTACTCAGCGATTACAAAGAAGCAACACGTAAAACACGTTTGCGGAACACAAAGCGCTGGGGCCGTTCATTACAACTGTAACATTATAAACTCTAAGTTGTAGCCGTTTCCGAAGTATAGCTTGGAGATGAAACATTGTGGCTATCTATCTATACAGCAGCGGAAACACTCTTGGTGTGAAACTGGACCCTGGAAGATGCAACATTGTGTGCAGTTGTCCGTCTTGTATCGTTTCCGAGATGGTGTGCAAGTACAGTAGTTCCTGAGTGGCACTTCAGGGTGCGCAAGGACTCGTAACCGCGCATATAACTTTACTTTAGAACATAAAAACTGACATTCGGAAAGAGCTATAAACAACAACTTCGAAGCAAAGATTTCGCCACATTACAAGAGTGAAACACATCGCACCTTATAAGCACGCCAACTTCGTCTCATTTTGCCTGCTACTTTTACATTTTGCCTACACAACACCGTCAAGACTTGAGATCGATACAGCCAGCTTGAACTCGAAATAAACAGCAACTCAGAGCCGTGCTATCTACTCTGAGGATAACCATCTTGCCATTAATCTGGTGCGTCCATCACTGCCAGCTTGGCTCAACCTACACCGACTTCACAATAAAATGGGTCTCCTCGACAAGTTCAAAACTCTGAGTTTGGCCAACACAGCCTCGGAAAAATTCAGCGCAGAAGCTGAAATTTCCAAAATCGTTCCCATCGCAGACTGCTCTCCTACAGATTGTGACTCATGTGTATTAGACACACGTTACCCTCCCATGGACATTGATCAGTCGCCTCTCTACAACACCGCTAAGCCTTTTGGGCTACATCTGGTTGTAGCTACAGGCTTAAGTGACTGGAAGAAGAAGTACTTGGACGACAAGTCATCAGTAGCAGGAGCTTTGGATGATCCGGACGTGGCAGAGGCGGTTGCGACAACGATGAAAAAGTTTTATCCTACAAAGCCTCTATCAGACTTGGGCACCAAGATCTCGAACTCCAGTTTACCACCACCAGACGAGTATTACATGTATGACGACAAACGCCCTTCATCCTCAGAGTCTGTTTCTGCTATGGAACGTGGGAAGGGGGTGATCGAAGATAGCTACGGCAAGCCAAAAGATTCTTCTAACGATCTGATGACACGACCCACAAAGGTCCTTCTCCTTCCTCTGTTCCTTGAGATCACGCTCACTCCAGAAAATGCTAGGAGCGAATTGGTAGAGGCTCTGGGAAATCTCCATGAGCAGCCTAAAAAGCTGACAAAGAATACCAAGCGTGCCTACGTTCTATTGTGTTCCCACAAAACTGTGGATAAACGATGTGCCATTACCTCTAAGATTCTGAAGAAAGAATTTGATGCGCAACTACGTGATAAGCAGATTCACGATGTGGAGGTGGCATTCGTTTCTCATGTCGGCGGCCACAAGTTTGCTGCGAATGCCCTTATCTATCTATCCACAGGCGAATCCATTTGGTTGGCTCGTGTCGGCCCAGAGCACGTCTGTGCGATCATAGACGAAGTCATCGAAAAGGGTAAAGTTTTTCCAGAACTCGTCAGGAGCGTGGCTAAGTGCCAACTTGATTGGTAAACTTATAATCCTGTATAAACCATAGACTACTTAGATTGATTCGCTACTGACGTACAAGTACAAGTAAAAGTGATGAAATGTAATAATAATGGAACGACGGTGAGATAATGTTACAAGTACAAGTACAGTACATACATACTGTAATTATCACCGTTAGAGCGAAAATCGCCACAGGCTTTTATTTAACTCTGTATCCATAAAGCCCATATGACCATGAAGTTTTTGCTCACATGCTGTCTACATTGTAGGCATCCTTGTGTGCAATGAGCATCTCCAGCCCTGTTTCATGATATAGAGAACAGTGTGATTTTGTTTCTCAAATTCGCATATTGATGACTTCATATGAGTTATGGCTTGAACGTCGCGTAAAAGTTTGCCTTCTACAGCATGCAGGAGATAATGTACAGACGGACGTCTCATGGTGTAAACTTGTATTTCGGTAGGATACGATGTGGGTAGTTGACGTCTCGATGACTTTAGGGACCCATCAGCAGCGTTTTCTATTAAGAATGTAAAGCATCGTCGTCGATCTAAGATATATGTCTATCGAGTTATTTGCTCATCGTTGCAGAAAGCTCGCCATTCTCGCGCCTCACTACAAGCGGAGGGGTGAACAACCTTAACCACAAAGGTCCTCCGAAACCCTAAAAAAGCCACTCTTCAAGGAATCGTGTGCATATCGCAGAAGCCATATATATAAGACAGCTTCCACAACATCGCGCCAATTTTGGATACTCCCCTGATGACGCTTTTACTTCTGCGCCGACTCGCTCTACGACAAGCTGCTAAAGGTGACTTATAGAGGTCTCAGCATCTCAGCAGCATCGATCACCAACACACCGTATGGGTTTACGAACACCAGGTCTCACCACAATTTCCTCAAGCACCCTCAAGCATCAAGGCTTTCTTAGTTTTCCCATGTCGCGACAGGTGCCAATGTGTTTGGAACGAAGTCCAGCGATGCTGTGAGTATACAGGCTATGACAGTGTGGGTATGGAATATGATCACGTGATTATATCTCTGTCGCCAACTTTATTGATATTTACAAGAACAAGTGGACCTAAGGGCTGCTATGAGCAAGTATCACCAAAATCCCCATCTTCGCAAGAAACTATGACAAACAGTCCTGGCTCCCAGTGGCGTTGACGAGATAATGATACAAATGAAACAGGTTGGGCGCCAATTAAGAAGAGGAATCGGAGAACACATCACCGACACACGCATGGGGGTGCAGCGCCTCAATGACGTCATAGCAAGAGTTGAGGTGTATGGTAAACCCTCCATGGTAACTCAATGAAAATCGAGCGGAAAAACGAGTAAGATATGTCCGATAAACGAATGATTCCAGATACAACCATAATACCCAGCGATACCCGCATAGATCCATGACCATTAAGATCAATGCTATTGGACCATGCATGGATGCAAGACTGCCCTGGGATCTGCAGGATTGGTGTAGTTGCTTGGCAGGGAGACGGCAATTTGTGGAGTTTCTCTTCGTGTTTCCATAACAACATCTCATTTTGAAACCATCATGCTGTTACCAACGCTGCCAAGAGGCATGTTTTTCTAAACTCGGTATGCATGTTGCAGAAGGGTAAGGAAACAGGAAATATGACTCCTAGCAGTTGCAATAGAGAGGCCGGGATTTTAAGGACTCATAACGTGACGAAGATGAACCACTCAGAGACTCTCCGGCTGGGACAACCCTTTGTTATTTTTAGTGTCCTTCCTGTCTGTTCTTTCGCCATTCAATGAAGACCAATACATAGTGTCCCACTTGGCATAAAGGCTATTTATGATGCCGAGCTTCCGCCCAATGGAATACTGGGATACTAAAAGCGAAACCAACCTTTGGTGTGTTTGATGGTGTCGGTGTGATCGCGGTAATTTTGCCTTCTGCTGCCTGGTTTTGTCTATAGTTAGCTGAGCCAAGGAATATTGCGAAGTATGGATGCCCATACCAGTGATCATACACCAAACTGCACTCTGACGTTGCGTACTTTGTGCCATTGGCTGACACGCACGGTGGGGGAGAAAGTGGAAATTCTAACTCGATTACGGTTCGGGGTGGTGACTTAGTTTGTGAGATACACACGAACTTAGCGATAATGCGAATCACTATAAAAGGGACACGAGTCTGCACTTGACAGTATCTTAACCAACACCAACACCAACTACTACGAAATGGCCTGCTCTACCAACTGTTCCTGCCCTAAGCCCTGCACTAACTGCGCCTGCGAGAAGGCTTGCACTTGCTCTCCTTGCTCCTGTGAGTCTTGTAAGTGCGCTAAGGCCTGCGAGTGTGAGAAGTCCACCACTTGCAAGTGTGAGTCTTGCAAGTGCGAGGGCTCCTGCAAGTGCTAGATCGACTCAGTCAAGATAACATGATTCGGGTCGAAATGAGGTCAGATTTTGTACATGACGAGATAGGAAGTCATGGTACAAAATCGCGACTCTCAGTCACTTAATTAATAACAAAAAATGGATTATCAAGTGTACATGAACTGAGTGCGTTTTACTCTACAGTGTATTTCTATTCGACATCATGTGTTTGTAATCATATGGCCGGGACATACTGTACCAGTACAATTACATACCGTACATGTACAGTATGTACTGTTAGTAACAGCTGAGGGCAAGAGAGGGAGACAGGTGGAGAGCTTCATTTGTTCATCTATATGAAAGGACTTCTGATCGTCGTAGAAACCTACAAGTAGATGGTATATCTCGATAATACAAATAATGTACGTACTGTTCATCGGAATTGCCTCCTTCTAGTTATTCAGCTGAGCATATTTGTGTGTGTAGCTCTGTACTTGTACTTGCAAAACCATTTTCCACGGCGAGTTATGAATATGTTTGGTATTTGAATGTGCAACTCTTGTAGCTGCTGTATATCAGGAGCTTGAACAATGTCGTTACATTCAGAGCCCAAAAAGATGGTTACTTGTAGTACAAGTACTGTACTGTAGTACTTTTATATGGCAACAGATGCCATCAACGGACTACCCAAGTCCAAGTGTCAAGCCCCCTGGGAAACATTATTCAAGAATGATCAGGATTTGATTTTCTGGCCCATTCTTCAAATACAGCCTTGAATTTTGGAGGGATATCGCACTTTTGGCTTCCATTAGCACTATCAACGGTCACAAGTGTTTCTTTGATCCGGCATGCCACGCTTCTAGATTGATGAGAAACAATGACACCTTTGAGAACGTATCTGTCAGGTGCAGTTAACGGCTCAATCTTGTGAATAACAGAGATCCTGTCTGGGTATTGAATGGGCCTTCTCCATTGGATCTCAGCGCTGCGAAATACTGAAACGATTCCCTTAGGACTCATAAGATCATTGAAGGCAAGCCCCCTTGATTTAAACATTTCCATAAGGAAATGAAACCGGCCTGTTTCAAAATACTTGATGTAGGTCACGCTATTGACGTGGTCATTAGAGTCTTGGTCGCCCCAGGCAACGGGCTGTCCTAGCAATCCAGCATCGTTCACATCGTACCCTGTACCCTCTGACACATCCAGCAGAGGCTGTAGCCATTCAGGTGGTACCGTTTCCGGAGAGTTGTGTGGTTGAATCGGAGACGTAGTACATCGCAATGCTGAGCGTTTAAACGTATCGTTGAAATGTCGAACCCTGTTTCTCAATACCCTTCCACCATTGCAACGCTTCACTCCGCGACCGATCATGTTAGAATGGGTGTATCAACGGCAGCTCGATGATATATCCGGATGCTTGCTTATGTATTAACAATTTAAGTGCGGTCAATCTAGCTTACCCACGCCGTGGAACCAACGGGGGTGTCTTCTGTGGGGCGGGGAGAAACTTTGATGCACACATAAGCTGGAGAAACAACCACAACTGTTTAAATACTGTACAGTACTGTATTAATCACAAGACGCACATGGCCGTATCTCCTACTGGATGTCCTGCTACACTCCTTGAAAGCAGTTTGTTATAGAATAAACAGTACTTGTAGCAGAGTGTCGCGTGGATCTACTTGTAGGAAAGTTCACCCCTCAACATGCCGAAGAGTCGCCGAGAATCTACTCGTACGTGTAATCATGTATGACTTTAAAATATAAAAGTACAAGTACTTGTACAAATACCGGTATACTGTAGTACTGTACATGTACTTGTGCAGACTAATGGTCATGACTGTCGAACCAGCAAACCTCCTGTAGATTTTTTGAAGCCTGTCGTGCGATGCTCTATTTGGATCTTTCAACTTGACGTGGCTACAAGTAGCTACGAATAGACCATACATGAGTCGCTTTGGCATTCCATCCACAGCCGATTATCCCATTGTTTCATAAGTAGTTATAATCATCTGGTGGTCGCTTCGGTACAATGGCTTCCCTGTTCATTTTTGAGGATTAACCATTCTATGATCAGGGCGGGAAGCAGTAACCCAATGCACTTAGAGGGGAGTTCGACTTACAATACAGTAAGTATAGTACTCGTACTCGTACTCGTACTGTACTGTAAGGGTAAGGTGGGACTGAAGTGCTGGTTAGGTTGAGACGAAGAGAGCCTACAGTATGTTGTCTACCTTTCAGAAAGGGTAGACAATACTTGTAATTAGTGCCAGTATGGATAATTTTGAGTTTTTCACAACAGTCACTCACAAATGCTATCATTACAAGTTCTAGGCTGACTCCGAAACCTCCTAAAATGCCCTAACCCTAACCTTGCATTGTGAAAAATGGATATTACTCACACGAGACCAGACAACATATACACCCACGATCGCACGAAAAATGTCCCAGACTGTGGAGCAGAAGTACGACTTGATCTCGCGTAACCTCCAGGAGGTTCTCAACAAGCAGATCATTCTTGACACTCTCAAGGAGCGAGAGCTCAAGATCTACTGGGGTACTGCACCAACTGGAAAACCTCATTGTGGTTACTTTGTACCCATGACTAAAATTGCCGACTTTCTGGCGGCTGGCTGTGAAGTCAAGATTCTGCTCGCTGACTTGCATGCTTTTCTCGACAACATGAAGGCCCCTCTTGAGTTGGTTCAGCACCGAGTGCAGTACTACGAGTACATGATCAAGGCCATCCTTCGATCTATTGGTGTTCCCCTTGACAAGTTGACTTTCGTTATTGGTCGATCTTTCGAGCTCAGCGCTGAGTACACCATGGACCTTTTCAAGCTGTCCAACCGTGTCTCCGTCAATGACGCCAAGCGAGCTGGTGCTGATGTTGTCAAGCAGGTTGATAACCCTCTGCTCTCTGGTCTCATCTACCCCCTGATGCAGGCTCTCGATGAGGAGTACCTGGGTGTTGATGCGCAGTTCGGCGGTGTTGACCAGCGAAAGATTTTTGTTCTTGCTGAGGAGAACCTAACTTCCATTGGTTACAAGAAGCGAGCACACATGATGAACCCCATGGTTCCCGGACTTACTCAGGGTGGTAAGATGTCTGCCTCTGACCCTAACTCCAAGATTGATCTGCTTGAGGACACCAAGACTATCAAGAAGAAGATCAACGCTGCCTACTGTGCTGCTGGCGAAGTTGAGGGTAACGGCTTGCTTTCTTTCGTTGAGTATGTCGTTTTCCCTATTGCCGAGCTTAAGAACAAGGGCAAGGCCACTTTTAACATCGAGCGACCTGAGCAGTACGGAGGAAATGTCTCTTTCAACTCTGTCGCCGAGCTCAAGGAGGCTTTCGCTGCTGAGAAGCTGTCTCCTGTTGACCTTAAGACCGGTGTGGCCGCTGCCATCGACGGCCTGCTTAAGCCCATCCGTGATGAGTTTGTTAACAACGAGGAGTTCCAGAAGATTGAGAAGCTGGCTTACCCTCCTCCTGTTGCTGCCCCCAAGAAGGAGAAGAAGGTCAAAAACAAGGGTTCTCGATACCCTGGTGGCGCAAAGCCTGCCGAGGGTGATGCCGCTGAGTCTGTTGCACAGAAGCTGGAGGAGACCAAGCTCGAGTAAGCATTCTGCCCTAGCACATAAACAATATAATTAAAAATCATTAACCACACGCAGTATGACGGTGATACTGTACACTGCACTGAAACTACTACTACGAGACAAGTAATCTTCTAACTAGAAGCCAATCAATAATAAATAGTAATACATTTTACATACAAATTACATGTAGCCTTCTTCCCCTCTTGGGAAGACGCGCTGAATATCATCCACTCCAATTTCAAAATGCCGTAGCCACTGCTCTCCGAGGTCATGGAAGCCATACTCGGTGGGAGCATTAGTCAACTCTGGGAACAGGTCCCAGTTCTTGGGAGACGAGGGGTTGGTGATATTGACCTGTGGAGGCAAAGAAGCAGGAGCCTCGACACCATAAATGGGAGGGTTTGAGAAGCTAGGATATAGAACATTTTTCAACATGTTCAGATCAGTGTCTTCGGCATGAGTCCTTGGGGAGGCCGCGGGGGTGTTGGTCTTTGACACAGATTGCAGAGCTTGAGGCAGAGCAAACGACATGTTGTTGGCTGCGGAGCCCATCTCAGTGAAAACGCTCATCAAAACAGGCGTGGACGGAATGGATGGGGTTTTGACACTGGGTGGCTTGGTCTCTGCCATGGATGCTGTAGCCTGGGACCAAGTGTTTGCCTCCTTAGGTATCCCCGAATTCTCTTGGGTTTGTGTCTTTTGACGCATAGCAGCCGCGGCCACCTTGCGCTTGTCTATCTCCCCAGACTTGAATTTTGCGTTGGTGGGGGTGTAATGGTGGTTGTAAATCAGGGGCTCCTCGGTCTTTCCAGAACGACGACCGCCCTCCACCTGTTGCAACTTCTCAGAATATCGCTCTCTGATAGTCGAACACCACATTGATACCACCTGCCAGTAGTCCTTGAGATTGATGAGTAACCTGAGGTTGAGTGCGAGATTATGCTGGGCGGCAGCTGCTGTCTGCGTATCCTGACTGAAAGTGTTGGCGATGTGAACGGGGGATGTCGAGAAAATGCAGAAGCCGACGAACGGGGCAGGGACCATGTTGTGGTGCAGCAACTGCTGGGCTACAGATGAAATAACGCCAGCTGAGTTGACAATATTGATAGCTGCCGTCTCAATAAAGCATCGAGGGATAGCCTCCACTTGTTTAGTTGTGTACAGAGAGGTATTGAGAGGATACACGGTCTGGTATAGGGTACAAATGGTCTGTTGCAATACGCAATGGACATGCACAAACATGCCATGAATCCCCTGAACTGTGGCAGCCTGCAGGTTCTCAGCACTCAGCTGCAGATGAGGCGGGATCTTTTCTTGGATCTTTGCAATCAAAGATGCAAGGGTCTGGAAATCAGAGCCATTTTGCCAGGGTAGGAGGTCGTCTTTTGTGGGCGTGGCGCTTTTTTCCTTGATGATACTATCGGTGGACTTGGAGTCCTCCTTGATCGCTGTAACATCATTTTTGCCACTCTTTGCACCCTTTCTCAAGGCGCCGTCGTTTGCATACTTAGTAACCCGCGACCAAGCCTCCACAATCAAGATGTGCAGCGAGAAAATGTTGTACTCGTACTCTTTTGGCGACGCCACTTTTGATTCCTTATCCTCATCCAGAGCAATATCGGACTCACGACCATCCAAAAAAACAGTTCGGGTCTGTCGGTTGTTCTCAAAGTCTTCGCGGGAGCAAGGGAGCTGTACTTCGAAATGTTCTGGAGGGATTAGCAGTGTCCAGTTAGTGCCGTGCGCGAGTCTATCAAGAACTACTATGCTCCACCAGGTTCGTCGACGCAATTCTCTCTCCTGCCAAGTGCTTGTCTCAAGTTCCGGACCCTCCAGCTCCTTGAATAATGACAAGTGGGAAGCCATGCGGATAGCCAAGCCAATGTAGATCATAGACTTGGATCCATTGGCCAGAAAAAACTCGTATTGGACGACACAAATTGATGCCTGTACCGTCTCGATATCGGGCTCTTCCAGCTGTGATCGGATCAGCTTCCTCGCTTGTGTGATGTACTGGGCACCCAAATAGTCTTTGGCTCCAGGTTCGATCAACGGGTGGTTTGAAAATCTACAGCAGAGACCACAAACGGCATAGACAAGGGCTTTGTTGACTGTTCCATTGCGTATTCTCTCCTCAAAATGTGGCCTGTAAAGATAAGAGTATGTGTGATTGTGAATATGCTTGAAGTAGAGCGACACAAAGTGGTCCGTCAACTCTGGAGATGGCAACTTAATTGTGAGTGTACTCTCGTCTGAAGCATTGGATTCCGCATACCGGGGGGTTTCGGGCGAATGACCCGGGGGCACAGACGAGGGTGGCTGTGGTGTCGCGTGTTGTGGTGGCGGTTGCTGAGGTGGCGGTTGTGACTGTGCCTGACAAGGATATACTGGGACAAGCTTGATGACGCCGCTCAGGCCATTTTTAGCGTCCTGACTGAGCAAACAATTCTCCAAGCTTCCAAGTCGTTTCTCCAGGTATCCAGAGTATCCAAAACGCGATCCGCGGTTGCGGATCAGCGGGTACTCGCATGGAACACCCAACCTGAGGCAGTTCTTGCATGCCGGTTTGTCCGAAGAGCATTTCACCTTTTTAGCCCGGCAAGCCATGCAGGCAACCACCAATTTTTTCTTCTTGTCATCCTTGCCGCCCTTCTTGTCCACGGACGCGGCGAGGGATGATGGGGTGTCCGACAGCTTCCTGGTTTGTGGCGGTTTCTTGACACTCATTGTGTATAGTTCGGTTTCGGGTTTGTGGCAGTACTGTCACTGATTCTGTAACCTGGTCTCTCAGTCGTGTCTGTCGTTCCTCGTCCTAATCCTTTGTCGCGAATCTCGGCAATCGAGTGGTCAAGTGGCACTCGCGATATTGTGCACGGCCTGTCGTGTCTTGTCGTGTCTTGTCGTGTAGGTCTGTTTGATTGACAGTGTAGCTGAGCTGAGCTGTCGTAGTCTCCAAAAAGCACTCAACTTGATCCTTTTTCGTACCCACCCGTACCACCTTCCCTCACCGTAGTTATATTGCAAACTCGGGTGAACCTTATGTCTGCCTGGAAGCACGGGGTAAAACAGGACACACTTCAAGTCTACATACCTTATACCACATCTAACCTTATTTTCTAACCCTGACTAACCCCTAACCAACCAAAAACCTTATTATAATAATGAAAAAAAAGGGGAAAAATTTGAAACCACACATTATTGTGAACAGAGAGAAGAAAACAAATTATCATAAAATTCTTCATGGCTGATTGTATCCAATAATATAGTAACATCCAAATTTTGAGCTGAATTTAAGGAGATTATACACGTTTTTTCTCACTTTTGCTGGATTTCCGCAAGATATGCACCTTCATTGCAGGGGAAACTCTGCAACTGGAGTCGTGAAAGGAGAAAGTTGCCTATGGTCCTCTTGACATAATCACGCTATATTCAGTGGTCGAATCCATGAAGAGATGATTGATGCTGACTGGATTGAAAGGCACAATCCCTCTCATGATGCTCATACCATCATTTTCATCTTTACAACCACTTCCTTACTTTTGTTCTTGGTGAGGGATGAATTCATATTTATAGGACTTGTCCAAAGGGTATACTATTATAGAGCCATATGTTTTGAGAAGTCCTATAATATAGGTTTTATACAACCATATCTTGATTTTATGAAAAAATGTTGTTCACAGACCGATATGAAGGTCAAGAAGTTCATTGTGTAATGAACTTCATTTTTATTGGTTTGGATCCTTTGTATAGTATTCCTCCCAACATTGTATATGAAACTTCATTTTTATTGTTTTGGGACCTTCAGGTAGTATTACTCCCAACAATAATAATTTAAAACTATATCTGACGATACTAATTTATATGGCGTAATACCTCAAAGATAAAAGAAAAAAGGTAGACACTAGTGGCAGAATTCCTTGATGAAGGTCTACCGTTAGCAGTTGGGATAATCAAACGTGTTTAGGAACATAATTCCATTAAGAAGAACAAATGACCTAGCAGTAAAGCTAGCACAGTAAACGATTGGCAAATCCCTCAATCAAGGAATTCCACATCCATGTATAACAAATCTCATAAATAGTACTAGTAGTCTCATAAGCATGTCTGATTAACATCTTCTTTCAGTCACCTCGTATATCAAAAATTCTGGTCCCTGATGCAGGGCTTCACATAAGTTTGTCGCGTCTTTTGAGAATTTTGGAGACTGTCCTTTGGTGGAACGAGCTGTTTTAGTCGCGTGTGACCTCCATACAGGGACTGAAAGTCTATTACATGTATATATATATATATATGAACAGCTGTCCGCGCAGCACGATAGTAACATTTTAAAACATTTCCTCCTGACCAACAAGCAGAGGGTCCATCCCGAACACAATGGAAGAACTTCCACGTGCAACAGATAACGCTGACCGCATGACAGAGGAACTTGCCAGCAGAGACATGACTACGGTTTCCCGCACCAACAGCACTGAAGATGACTCGGGTCATGATGATGATGAGTTGGCGTGCCCTGAGCCTAAACACCCTATTTTCGACCATCCAGCTTACATCAACAACTCACCCTACCCACCCGTGGTTAAAGGCTACACTAGTGAAGCATCCGCAGATGATGTCTGGAAATGGCTAGACGTTGCAGCGCGAAGGCAGTTCTTTGCGCACGTGAAGCTACCGGTAACATCTGCTATTGTATGTGATCGCAAGATCTCGATCATTCCACTGGCATGTTGCCATTCAGGCTGTGAGTATCGCGTGAGTATTTTAGAACACAGTGCAGACAGGGCAGAGGTCGCATACAATGAGTTGAAGATCCTCAAGGCCATGGACAAACATCAGCACAAGCCACGCGATATCATCGAGGAAGAGGAGACATTCAGTTTGATCGAAAATTGTGAGAAGAAACGACGGGCAGCGAGGGAGTTTCATGATTACGCGACACTGCCTCCCTCTGACCCCACATCCATGAAATGGCTGGTCTGGGATGGAATGAATGACTGGGCTGAGCGTCGTGGGTTTGGTTACATTGAGAGCTCAAATGGTGGGACAAGGCCAAATATGAAAACACTCTACACCTTCCGATGCGTATTTGATCGCTGCCCTCACAGAGTCAATGTGTGTCACGATGGGAAAAGAGAAATTTGGTACGTGAGACCACCAGAAGAACTGCGTGGTCATGAGGGACACAAGATGCATGCGGTCGAGCCGTACTGCAATGAGGATGGCTACGATGTTAACTTCGAAGGGATGTCCAACGAAGAAATGGTGAACTCGGAACTCCGACAAGAGGATATGATATCTCGTGCTCGGGCTCGTGCAAGTATTGACGCCGGGGTTGCAGCGAGCTATCTACCTCAGCTGGATACATTTGATAGCCTGGAGCTATTGGAAGCTTACATTGATATCTTCAGTGCATCGTACAAGAGACAGGGCAACCCTTCGCCTTTCAAATGGAAAAGGACCTCTACCCATCGGTATCCACCTCTTGGTCTTACGGTCGAAGCTGAGGAATCTGAGGAGCCTGTGCCCAAACGACGGAGATCTAACAGAGATAGCAATGGCAATAGAACTGGCAAGCCTTCCACACCTGTCAAAGCGAAGAAAATGGCTCCTGCTAAGAGAATGTCTTCTATTCACTACAGTTGCAGGAAAAAGTCAGTAGACGGAGTTCCCTGTCCTCTTGCTATCATTGCGGGCGAAACTCCCTGTGGTAAATGGGAGCTGAGATTTACGCGAACTATGGATGACCATAACCATTAACTGGGTTGTTTTTTGTATAATTAAATAAAATGTTGATTTATCGATGCTGTCTACTTCTTTTATAGTACATCTGTACATAGTGGTAAGCTACTTCTACCTTGTCACAGTGGCAAGTGGCGATGTTGGCCATGTTATCAGTCGCGCAGTGTGGATGTATCCGATTCAGTTTTCACGCAGCCACGTGAGATCGTTTCCCAGTCTCGTTTGTTGTATAGAATACCAGAAAATTAACAGACCCCTCCCAATTTGGTAAGGCGTGTCCAATGATACACCATGTGGTTATCAGAGTACTTGTAGGACCCTATCGTCTACAACACGTGCTTTACATTCCGTTTCGAATGGCCTAAAGGTTTAAGTTGTCCCGTCGTCAAATTACGCGTTAACGCGTTTGTATTGTAACACTTTACACAGAATGAGGAGATGATTAATTTGCAAGTACTGTACAGTACTTGTACTGTACTGTACGTGATAATTATAGGTATATTGTACAGTACAGTACTTGTACTTGTACTTGTGCAAGGATTCGTGAACAATATGTGGGGCTAATTCAGCAGTCATAAGGGACATTGTACATATACTTATACATACTTGTACTTGTACGATCTACTGTACCTTACTACAAGTACTTGTACAAGTGTAAATTCCCACAGGGGGGTTGACTGCTTACTGTAGATTGCACTATTATATTCGTGTCATAGCCCTGGGTCCCGTATGAGAACAGTATGTACAGCGATAGCGATATGCCTTCGCGTATATTGATTTTTCATGCGCGTCCATGCACCTGGACGCCTATGCGCTGTACAAGTACTGTACCTTACCCTACGCCCTACAGCATTATTGTAGTTGATCTGGAGGCGAACAGCGAACAATATACGAAGACACCCTCAACAATACCAATGATCAACGCCAACATGCCAGGGCAGCTAGGACCGCCGGTGACACACCAGCCATTTCAGCATACAGGCAACCCGCCTGTTGGCCTGGTGAACAGGCCACCCATACCTGATAATCCGATGCAGCGAGACGTCCTCATCCGACCACCAACGGAACACCAATTCATGTATCAACCAACGGCAGTACCCCAGCATTTTTACCATTTCCGACTCGACTATAAAGTGTTTGTCTATCTCCGCACAGCAGACGGCAAATACGAAAAGTTGAATACTCCCGACGAGCTGAAACACGTGCAAATCGGAATTGATAATATCGACGACAGAAATCCTTACTTGAACTTTTCAGTGGAGAACCCTTTCATGTTTCCGCCGGTTCCGGAACCGTCTGCGTGCAGTGCACATTTTCCGGAGCATGCCCCGAGTATGCCACAGCAGCACCCACAGCAGCACCCACAGCAGCACCCACAGCAACAAAGTGCCCCGGAAACATCTCTTTCCGAACCAATTGATGTGGACTCAATGGATGTAGAAGACCCTGTTGAAAGCACTGTCAAGTTTACCCCATATACACCACCTGGATCTGTTATCGAAACTCCTCCACAGTTGGCTCCCCCTCCAGTTGTCAAATCGCAACCTCGCAAATTTGACGACAGCAACGCTGAACAAAAAAGAATGGACATCATGAAAAAACTCGCAGAGTACGGACGCGAGTTCGATTATTACTTTGAGAAAGTTCAAGCTGAATTTGATTATAAAATGCTCCATACCGATCTCACTGTGCCAAGATTCAAAGAAAAGGCCGAAGCCATCGCTTATGCTCAGACAACTGCACGACTCCATGGCTTCGTCTTACACATTGGTGGTGGAAAAGCTAGGAATATTCTCCAGTGTCATAAGAGCAAGTATGACGACGAGAGTGGAGAGATTGGGAAACCAACCAATGCGTCAAGACGGGTGGCATGTTATTGTCCTTTCCAGATAAGAGTAAACAAGCTCGGCCCGAATGACTTTGGACTGGTTTACTGCCATGAGCAGAAAAAGGATGAAAATGGAGACGCCCTGTGTGCGAAACATAACCACAAGCCTTCTGCATCAGTTTCTACCAACGGTGCCTACCGGCAGCTTGATTTGGCCAATATCAGGAAGGGATGCCGGGACATCGATCTTTTTGACATTCTGGTCAAGACCCAGACATTTCCTCGCAAGATTCTGGATGCTCTGCGTCTCATTTCTCCTGCTGCATCCCGACTCACTCGACTTGACATCACCAATAGCATGCAAAAATTCGATAAGGAGGTTTGTGGCGATATGGACCCAGTCGAAGCGCTCTTGATCATGTTGGAACTCTCTCCTCAGATCCATGTTGAACATAGGATCGTCGGTTGTCCTGCAGAGATTACTGAAGAACTGCTTGAGGAAGATCGTCGGCAGGAAAGGTGGGAACCTGATATGTATGACGCGTCTGACGCGGAAGAGCTTGAACCAGGTGTGGACCACTTTGAGACCGCAGACGAGGACGGTGGCCTCCTGGTGGAAGCTGAGCTGATGTCAGAAACTGAGGAATCGGACTACGTAGATGGTGGGATCGAAAACGAGGCGACGGACGAATCAGAAGACGAGTCAGAAGATGAGGAGATTGTGGAGCCGCTTCTACGAAAAAGACCGAGACAATCTAGTCGACGAGTCCCACCGGAGCCAATGCCAAGCACACCGCCGCCAGAGGCTAACCTGCCTGAACAACCCGATGTTATCAAGGATATATTCTTCGTTGTCTTGAAATCAGTGAAGATGCTCAGGGCTTTCTCTGGTGTTATCGCTATCGATGTTACTCACAACACAAACAAATTCAACTACAAGCTTTTCAATGTTATTGGCATTGCCTCTTGTGGTAGGTCGTTCAACATTGCCCATGCACTTATTTCACGAGAGGATGCTGATACTTTCAAGTGGTGCCTCGATCGCCTGAAAGTCTTCCTACAGAAGTACCTAATTCCCGACCCAGGCGTGATCTTATCAGATTGTGCACCAGCCATCAAAAAGGGCCACAAGTACAGTGAACTCAATGGTAGCAACCTGAAGCTCTGTCTGTGGCATGCTGCTAAGGCAGTCGAGAGAAAAGGTTCTGCTTTGTTTGGTTCGAAATCTCTTGAGACAGCTCAACTTGTTTCGAAATTCAAAAAGATGTGCCATGCTCACACAGCGGACGAGTTTGAAAGGTTATATACCGACTTCAAACTAACCTATAAGAAGGAGGGCATGGACCGCGCTGACAAGCATGATCGCTCAATTGATGGAAGGAGAAACTCGGCATACTACTACATTCGACGATATTGGTTTGGAAACGACCAACACCCGAAACATCGTCACAACATTGTGGCTGCCTATTCTAGAGAAAGCAACTTCTTCGAGACAACGACCTCCAGGATAGAGAGTATTCATGCTCTTCAGAAGAGTAATATGAGGACAAGAATTATTTCTCTCTTCCAATGTGCAACGGTCGTTCTGCGTACCTCGGTCAACGTTTTATGCGACCTTGAACATGCTCATGCACGGGAGATGGAGAGGTATCGCAAAGATATCGACAAGAAATTCTGCAAATCTATCCGGACTTTCATTTCCACCAAAGCACTATTAAAGTGTATGGAGCAGATCTCTGTTGCTTCTCACGATGACTACGTTCCTACGGAATGTACTGGACAATATTCTTTGGATACTGGACTCCCATGTTATCACATGATTGGTCATTTGATTTTGTCCGACGACGGCAGGGAAAGGATGCGACCTAGAGCTGAACTGGGAGACAAAAACCTTGGTCCAGCCGTGATACACCAACGCCGAGCTAGGCTCATGCTGGGAGATTTTGATCCTCGTTGGAGATACTTGCACACCACCGCACAGATGAATGAAAGTGATTGGGATGATGCCTGTAACTATGGCAAGTTCAGAGAACGGTGGGAAGCGCTTCGAAAATCCGAGAAAGAGTGGAAGAAGAGAGACGAGGAGCTCGCAAAAGAGGTCCATGCTTATGTTCCGCGTAATGGAGATTGCGTGGCACACATGGTTGAGGACGAAGTTGTTGGTCCGAGACGGAGACGCGTGGGACGCGTAAAAGCCTCCAACGAGAAGAAGGCTGGCCCGAAGTGTCAGATCTGTGTGAACCAAAGGCATGCTACGAGTGCACACTGTTTCAGGGATAAAGGCGGTGACAAGGCTTACCGCGAGTGGAAGAACGGCTTGATTCCTCGCAGGCAGTTCACTGGCCATGTAGTTGGAGGTCCAAAGCGAATTCGGTTGTGTCGTCATTCAAGAACCATGATGACAGCAACAACCGCGGACAATCAGGACAGAGAATACGCCGCTGGATAAACTACTCAGTTCAAGTAATCAATACATTGATGTGCATTTATGAACAAGTTGAACCGTTGTACAATAACTAGAAGCCCGAGAAGCTATCTGAAATACCAGTGGCTCTCAAAATTTTTTTTCCGCGCTATCGCGCGTTCAACTATGCGAACTGCTTACAGTTCAGTAATTATGGGCTCACACTTAGGTGTCACGTTTCAAGTGGCCCACGACGTGATGAGCCATTATTATCTATGAACAGTGCATAAATGAGAAGTAAACCCGCACAAACACCTGGATATTACTTCTTTCAGCTCAGTGTCTTTCCTTAACAAATAAGTTAACGACTTGGGTAGCAGTTTACTTAAAAACATACGTAAGTAAATCTAAACTACGTTTCTTACAATATACTTAAGACATCAGCGATGCATTAGTTTTAGGTTAATATGCAAGTTATGAAAGTTAAGGAGTGTAGACGGGAAGTGAACCCGGGGGTAAAACCAATAGTCTGACACACAGGTTGCATTGCACTGCAGAGAGGTTAATGCAATGAGAGAGAGAGGTGGGGATAGATTTGTTAGGAGAACATTGGACGAAATTGCGACCCACCTGGTAGGATTTATTCTTTCGTTATCGCGAAATCTCGGATATGGTTCATTTCTAGTCTCAAATTTACCTCTCACTACTTGTAGTAAGACTACAGCAGGAGTCATGTCACGCCCGTTGTGTGACAAAAAACTTGGGATACCAAAAAAAAAAACACAAAGTCGAACACTGGAGAACGGAAAAAAGACGTCATGGGACCTGAATGAACCGCATCTCTCGTATGAGTAGATTTTCATCCTCATTCAACCACTTCGAGAAAAGTAACTCAACATTTTGTCCCCCAAGATGAGCCATAAAACATAAATCCACCCCGCACCCCTAACCCCTAGTTGGATCACTAGTGTTGCAACTACCCTTAGCATACGAGAAGGACCCAATAGTGCGAATTGGTTGGTCAGTTATATTGTGAAAATGGCTTCCAGACATCAAGGGCAAATTCGTGACACACCGGAAATTATAACATCATTTTCGTCTTTCCCCAATATGCACATGTGCACGTTGCTGCCTCAATTCTGCAATGTACATTTACCCCACGATTCTGGCTTGGCTCCATGCATACCTGAAAATCATACAAGGCCATCTCCATTTTTGTGATTGGGGCAGGTCGAAAAAAAGTACCCACACTCCCCATTCCACTTTTTATTCAATCATATCAATGTGTTAATGACAATGCTGGGAAGAGATACGGTCGTGTCGCCCTATACAAGTACCTGGCACTCGTATGGGATTGGTGTGCTGCGTGTTATTTTTTCAGATTCTTATCGAGCCATAGAGACCTTGTACAAGTATTAAACTCCGGGATGATGCGTGGTGCTAAGTGGTAGCCAAGTCCCCACGGGGTTTGACATGGGGCGCAGAGTGGGGCCGTTCTTTGTCTAAGGTCACGTGATGGCATAGGTGGGTGCGTTGTCATCTCAGACAAATGCCGTTTATGGCTGGTTGAACACTAATGACGTTTGTCGCACAATGGACATTGTTGTAGGAATGAATGAAGAGCCACAGATGTGTGCTGACCACAGAGGAAGGCTATGGAAGACCTATTGCGTTTTGATGCTTGTGGCTATATATTTGACCCAGGGGACCAATCTAATCTTCTATAAATATTATCTCCGGAATAAATAAGCTGACAAATGGCCCTATGATTCAGGAATTTACTCATTTTTCGTCATGACGGGTTCGAACTTACAGCAATATTGGAAGATCACGTGAAAACTTTATGACTGGGTGGGGTAATGCCATACATGCCACTCGATGATGTGAACGCCTTGTCTAGCTGTGTGTCACTGATTTTTAGATTCCTTGACTTAGTCGATTATTTAACGATTTTCGTTGTTGTAAAAATGTTCCACATCTCCTTTTTACCCCAACTATCGTACATACATGTGTTTTTATACCCATGTTTTCAATTTAATCAGTAAATAATTTATTTTCGATAACCGCTGATCCGCGTTATCCGCGTTCTGACCCAAACCCTTCCTCCCTCCGAGAATTCTCCGAAGCTTGTCGCACACATCTCGGGACACTTCTAGCCGGCATATTGAGCACAATTCTCTAAAAGCCTGCCCAACAAAATATATTCGTACAAGCAAAATAATCAGGGGTGAGTCATTTTTTCAGGAAGTAAACACTTTTCACCACATTATTTGCTAGAAGACAAGGGAGAGTCGGACGAGTGGACGAAAGAGACCGACGAAATTTCATTTCGTGAGACTGGGCCCAGGTCATCAAACTATTGGCTGCAATTCAAGTACGATGCGGGTATGTTACTACATGTATTTAATGTGTGGTGCTTGTAGAAATTCCAACTGCGTGTGGTTCTGAAAAAGCCATCCACAACTATGGCCGTATATTGTATGTGTGTGCTTCTACTTGTACTTCTATTGTATCCTACAAGTAGTATGATATGACACCATAACGGGTGTCATACAACGTATGTACCAAGAAATGCAATGTTCTCGTATCTGGGATGCTCGGAAAATCCATACATTACCAGTTGAAAGTGAAATTGATTATGTTACATAGGCGTATGTCCTAAGGAGTCCACAGGACTCCTTCACCTCTCTTGACGAAGTCAGGATCTGATGGTCTCTGCGCATTACGCTTTTTGCCTGGGGTGCCGTGTGAGGATGGGGTACCACGGTCCATATTTGCACGTGATCTATTTGCGGACCGGGGCTCTCCACGTGACTTGCGCGTCGGGGTACCACTGGTAGAATTGCTATTCTTGGTGGTCTTGGATGGCGCAGTGTTGGCTCGTCTCTGCTTGGGAGGTTTATTGGGAGTAGTCGTTGAGATGCTCGCAGTCGTCGGCTCGGCTGCTCCACTACTTGTAGCTCCACCAGCTGTTTCATTGATACCGTCATAGCCCTCCACTCGCAGTACCTCTTTTAGTTGCCTCTCCACACTCTTTATGTCGTCTGTTTCTGCAACATCACCTTCATCTAGGAAATCAAACGAATTGAAATGAGAAAAGTCATTCGTGTCTGCCTGGCCACAGTTCGATGTCACTGTACGTATGTCTTCTCCAAACTCAGGTGTAGAGTTCTGTGCCGGTGTGCCTGTCAAGGAATTTGTGCCTTGACTTAAGGTGGGACCAGTGTCAGGGGCGTTTTTGGACTGACCAAAGCCTGTCTGGTGCGTGTATCCTTGGCTAGGATAGGCGTGATTCCCGTAGTTGTAGTTGCCATTGTAGTAAGGGTCATACGGGTCCCATGGTCCGATGGAGTAGTCCATGCCAGTGAAAGGGTCCACCCCTGGCATATTAGGATAGACAGGAAAATCTTGAGGCGGTCCAAACTGGCCGTAGGCGGAATAGTTGTGGTTCATCATATGGCTTGGTGGCACAGGAGGAAATCCAAGTCCTACTCCGCCAGCAGGTTCTTGTTGAAGAAACCCTGACTGTAGTGCCATATCATTCCAGCCTGAATTAGAGTCGCTCCAGATGTTATTTCCACCAGCTAGAGGAGGTGCAACGGCAGTGTGTGCAGTGGGTGGAGGTTGTTGAGGCGAGTTAGTGGGGAGAACAGCCTTTGAGGGACCATCGTGTCCATTTCCCCCCGCAGATGTTGACGAGACCTTAGCGGAAACAGGAATGTTTGTGCTAGTGCCTCTTTGGTTGACTGGCTGGGTAATTGTCTCTGCCCCTGCTGCTCTAACTCTGCGTTCTCGCACCCTCTGTCTGTACTCTTGTTCAACCTCCGCAGGCGAAAGAGATCTGATTCCATAAGCCCTGCACCATATGCTGACAAGAGGATCTTCTGTAACAACCCACCAGTTGCGAGACTCTTCCGTGGATTTGCGCCAAATGGCGCATCGTATGAAAGGCTTTACACTACCCGGACATTCGGTGTTAGAATTCTTGCTTCCCATCTCTGTCTCCTTCATAGTAGCGTTGTTGATCAGGTTGAGCTCTTCCGGTGAAGGCTGCTCCACAAGATGAGACTGGCACATCTTCCACGACATGAACTCGTCATTATGCTGGATAATGAGTTTCCCAGGGTTGGGGTGATCTGCCCGGGTGTTATTGGAGCGAACCCATTCAATGTAGCTGATCGCTCCACGGGCGTTCATGTTGAGCGGTAGAAATCCATTCTTGCGCTGATCCAGTACCTCGAGGGTCTTTTTTGGGATCAGAATGGTTGCAGCACGTTCCTCCAGCCAAGTCTTGACATTAGGAAGGCTCGAGGAACACAATACGGACGCATCAATGACAAGGGAGAACCGTGTAGAAACAGCAGAACGAGTCTTGGACTCGAGCTGAGTAATGCGAGATTGGAGGTCGTGCGACCTGAGTTGGGATGCTAGGTTCTAGATTAGTCTCGAGTAACGGGAGATCAGCGATGGAACGTAAGGCGATCTGATTTACCACATTATCTAAGCCACAGCGTGGTTTGTCAAACACCAGTTCAGCTATAGGATTGCAGCAGATCTGTCATCAGTTCCATGTGAGAAGTCAACTATACGGCAAACGTCACGGAACTTCAACTGTAGGTAGCTGAGCTCAGGACATCAGACGTAACACGACAAATATGTTTAGTGTGTACCAAACTCCAGGTTCTGAAGACACTTCCATCTATGACACACTTGTTGCCAAGAATAAATCGCTTCATCACTCCAATACTCACTTTTCTGCGGCTGTGCGCATTATGCTCTTCAAAACCATTTAGATCACGTGAAGTCATTTCTCCATTTCACGTGACTGGCTGTATATATGGTCGTTAGCAGCACAGGCTTTCGTTGGCTCCTTGAGTATCAAAACAAGGTGATCTTGTTTGGTGAATATGCCACTAATTAATGGTTACTGAGAATGTTTGTGTGTACTTGCTAATTAGAGTTTTAAGACTGCGGTGAACTTTGTACAGGTTATGAGTGATGATTCTCGACACAACTGGACAAGTTCATGTCAATCATCTTGAAGAAAAGCTTACAGGTTACGTCACTTTGAAAATACATTCGATATTACAGCATGGATTACAGCATGATATCTAGAAGTCTTATGCTGACTCTCACCAAGAATGTTGGTGAAAGGTCTGAGTATCACGGAAACCCAGGATTTTTAGCCCGTAATGCTACTACTTGTAATATGTACATTCTACAAGTTGAGATTATCCTGTTCTCTACAATTCACTTCAACTCATTCACTATCTTAGAGGTATATGTTGCTGTATTGATTTGTTGCTCTTGCCCCTACGCCTTATTGTTTTTGTTTTTATATTCTCGTTATTCTAGAGATTTTTTATTTATTTATTTATTTAATCACATAGTGATGTGACACTATACACGGCAGGAGAGAGTCCCAGAGTCCATGTTGTAAGTGCGGAGAACACTCAATTAACCCGTCCATCATCATTTCGATCCATAGTTGCCATGCTCGTTGTTTTGATTATTACACAAGTATTATGCAGTATGTACAAGGTACAGCATAATGTATTTCCACGCATCTTTGGGACGAATGCTTAGTCACAGGTCGAAACTAAGGATGGACGCTCACTCCAGGCTACAGTAATATGATGTAAAACAGCAGGTGTGAGCCGAAGTGATAGAGGACATTCTGTGACTGGCACAGTGCATGTGAATCTGGACAGTAAGACCAGTACTGTACTGAATTCAATATATTTGTACATGCCTTGGCTGGGGTTGCCAATCAATGGGTGGATTGACTCTAAAGAACCAGATGAGTTCAGTAGAACGAGCAATGCACGACACAACACCCCCCCCCGGTATCGAATGCGCATCATGTCTCACCTGACGGTTGTCGTTACAAACTTGTCAATGGACCGAACGCAATTGTGGTTGGTCCATACTGATCCCCTCCACTCCGCCGTTTTTATCCACCTTTCGCATCCAGAGTCAACCCACTCCACTCTTGGAGCCTGCTCTGGAACCGACCCAAATTGAAGTTACCAGACTAACTCAATCCCTGTGGTGCTTTATGCTTGTGAGCCGTATATGCGCTACGCACAGTCCACTTTAGTCATTTGGACGCCCTTTTCGTAGTGATGATCTCTGTGGTTGCCAAAAACAACCATGACCGTATCTTGCGAAACAACAGGTTGGGCAACCGTTAGGTAAGCAGAGTTCGCAGTTCCCCTTGCAGCCATCCCATTTGGGCAAATAATATCCCTTTTACAACCCAAATAATATCTGAAACGCCGCTGAAAGAAGCAAATATTATAATAAAACAGCCACTGGAAATAGCTCACTCCACTTCAGCCCATCCGACCATGGGAACTGTCAATCAGGGGTAAAAATAAAATACACAAATTGGGTGGACTGTCTGCCCCACACCACAACCACGTTAAGACATCTGGGCACATAGCCTTGTGTGAAACGCTCCTAGTCTGAAGTACAGGTATCGTAGTGAGTACGATAGATTTAATATTTCTACTACGTCTTGGCATTGGTCGTATATGAGGTGAGCTATTTAATGACATTTCGTCACGTGTGTCCTCGTATCACGTCTTCTTTCAACATGGAGGCGTTTCCCCCTTGCGTCAGACTACTTTTTTCCTAGTGCGGCCCTCTGTGGTGTCCCATGGCAATGAGTTGGGGCGCAAAGAAAGTCAATAGCTTAATCCCACACCCACGCGTCCATCAGGGTTGGACAATAATGAGAATAATCATAATATAACATGATAATATTGTACGAATTGGGGACAAATGGTGTTATATCCACCTCCACGTCGTAACCTAGGCCTCAATTAGGTGTGGATGGGTCCAATACTCGGAGAACAGAGGGTTTCGGTGGGTCAACATACGTCAGCAGAACCCACCACCACATATATTTCAACAACCTTAGTCTGTCGTAGCAATCATGCTGGCAGCAGCGGTTGTGTGTACCAGTGCATGTACGTACTGGTACATACTATTCTCGTACATAGGGCATTGACAGTTCCTGGAAGCAGCTACAACAAACCATAGAGAAAACGAACCGGCGGGAGAGAGTATATGCTTTTGTGTCATGTCTTGTCATGTCTTTTACTTGTACCGGCTTTTATTTCGCATCTTACGTTCTTTTGACCTCTCTACAGCCCGCAATATCGTAGCTGTGTCGCACACTTTTGATTGCCACCTGTGAGCCTTCGGTCGCTAAATCTGCTGCAGCTTCTCGCACCACCACAAAAAGTGAAAAATACACGCGCCACGCGCATCTACACGCGCATTTACTTTGTGTAAAAAGCACACACACACAACATGTCAGTTTGCCAATAACATGCCGAGGTGGGCTAACACGAAAGGGATAATTGACAAAGGAAGGGTTGATACGGCATGGTATCCAAGAGGAGAGAAAAAGGCAGTTGTTGGTGCCGAAACACCAGGGCTAGTTTAACGGCATTTATCTATTTTTTTCCTATTGGTCCGTTTTTGAGGGTAATTAATAGCTGTCTGTGGTCAACTCAGCAAGTATTATATGTGGGATGCACTTAGTTGTGTGCGTAGGCCCGTTTCTAGTGTGTGTGAAAACGTCGGATGGAAATATTCGGTTCCGGCTGGTCTCAAAATTAGACCCATGGTCTTGACGGAAAATTTTCACAGCGGCGATATAAAACAAGAGCAGCTGTTGATTGGGGTAATAGTTACACCATCTTCTTCCACGCACTTTGCCCACCAAAGCTGTCAAAACAGCTTTTCGTTTACTCCTCTACAGCTTCCATGAACCTCCCCTTCCTCGACGAGATATTGAGCTTTGCGAACACTGTAAAAATAAAGTTCCAATATGTTGCCAGAGTATCGGCCTGACATGTGTGATGCAGAATGATGGTATGCGATAACGAGGTGGTCAAGGAACGCTAGGAAAAAATACAGGCAGGTGGCAGAATCTGTGTCATCTGCGAGAAGAATCTCTTCCATCATTTCCTGACCGGAGATCTCAAGTGCTGTGGGCTAGTACAGGGCTAAAATTATCACATGGTTCTAAACACGAATATACCCGACCCGTCACATCCCTCCCAATGTACATCACAACCAAGGGATAACCCCTTGCCAGCAAAACGCCCATCCAACTTGGAAACCCTAACCCCAAAACCATTGGTTCCCCACAGCCAGCCCATCCTCAGAGTGTAATTTTCGGTCCGCATGGCAAAACCAATCTGTTGTCAAGGTGACGGATCAAGACGAAATCCTGAGATACCAACATTCTGTTACCGGAAAAAGTGGCATTATAATCTAGGGGCGCTCTTGAGCAATCCTATCTAATTATCTCTCCCATTGGTGGCTCAATGGTCCTATTACGGACTGGCCAAAATATCTTCGTTTCAACGTCCAACAAATAGAGTTCGGGGTGGGCAGAGATCTGTGAAAAATGGTTGTACCTGTATCTCGGCTTTGAGAGGAGATATTCGCTCGGTCAAAACGGTCTTATTATATTTTGGGCCTCGACTTGGTTTCCTGTGATTTTCGGCTTAATCGCATCAGTAACAGTTCTCTTTTGAGAGACCGAATCTACCTGCCCCTTCACACAAAACCCACACTGCTAACCCTCGCCCTCGGATTTAAACTCTTGATGCAGTCCGCCCTTTGGTGCAGTCTTGGTTTAAGTGATTGTGCTTGTGTTCTTTGCTGGCCCCTTCTTTTTATACCGTCCTGCATCCTCCCAGCTCCTACTTTTGAGTGCTGCGTACGAGATTGTCAAACATCTCTTGACACAAAAACTTACACCCACCTCTTCTTCTTGCACTACCTTCTCTTCATTTCATTTTTCAGCATTATTTATTTCTTCTTGCACACCGAATCAACCAACTCACTGTGACACTCATCTAGGAAGGAACATTCAACATTCATTCACGACCCTCAACGGCATCACATCATTCATTTCCTACAAGACCACAAGCACACCACACAAAAACACTCCCACTTCGTGTTGACCGCGATCTTGACAATCCACCTTTTTCATTCATAAAATTGCATTTGCATCAATGGCCTGGAGCTGTAAGTATTTTGGTTTTGAGGGAGGAACAGGATGATTCACACGTTTGGCAGGTTTCCAGCCCAAGCCGGTGAGAAATAGTATCGTTGGACTCTTCGTGGGTTCCTCTCCTAAAGCGAGACCTATTTTGTTCCCTCACTTGTCTAGTCGAGCTGGCTAAATCGTGGATGCAAGGTAACTTGGGCAGGACAGGCTGTGTGACACTAAATTCTGCAGCTGGAAAATACTGGGAGCCGTATTTCTGATGCAGCAGAAAATGTCAATGACTTTATGCGGGTCTGCTTTCGGGTGGGAAAAAAAAACTTGCACAGCGTGACCTACCCTCTGAAGACGATATGTTTGTCTATATGTCTCACCGGATGGTGAGAAACATGACGAGACATGGAATCATGCAAGGGTATGCATGCGTGAAAAGTTTATTTAGGGTTTTGGTGGTAATAAGAGGGGGGGAAAAGGGGGTGCTCAGCAGACTACTCCTAGAGATGAAAAAGCGACATCGACTACAAAAACTGTGTGGTGGGACCATGACGATAAAAGGATCTCAGGTTGCAGTGTTGACATGACTTTCTACAGTGCACTATACAGTGTCTACATACTGCATACACCCTTGCATTGCGTTGGCCTGGATCTGATTCAACCCGACACAATCGCAGCATTGACGTCACAATCATCATACTAGCACCATCATCGTCGTCGTGATCTCTTGGACTCGTTCCTGTCGCACTGTCAGACACGTTGGTGTCCCTGTCACTGACGCTGGCTGTGAGTAACCCACCCCTATTCTGTTGCCGCCACCTAACCCCATATGCGTTTGTCACTGCCTCAACATCGCCTTCATCACACTGCTCAAGTAACATCCTCGTGAACACACACTAACCCAGATTGCTAAACGACATGTTCATGACACCTTCCCAAACTACTATGCAAACTCTTTCGGAGTTTGCTGATCGACACGCATTCCACTCCGCCTCCGACTCTGTGGCTCTCTACCACTCTATCCCCCCACACCAGCGCCCTGCCCAGGCCACACTGAAGCTTCGTGAACGGGCCTTGTCTGCTGACAATGAACACGAGTACGCCGACGACATGATCGCACACATGCACATGCTGGAGAAGGCGTACAGCTGCGACACAGACATGATGCGTCAGCAACCCCACGTGACCTTTGCAAACAGACGAGAAGCTCTGGAAGATGTGGTCAATTCACACAGATACTTTGACCTCTCTTCGGATACCCTTTTCACTGCGGTGGCTCTCTTGGATCGGTACACCAGTAAATGCATTATTGTGGATGGCTACTACCCCCTTGTGGCCCTGGCTGCCCTATGGATCGCAGCCAAGTATGTTGAGAGAAAGGTCGCAGTCCCTACTCTCGACCAGCTGCACCGTTTGCAGCCCGCTTACTCCAAGCGTGAGTACCTCCAGATGGAGGGCTACATGCTCAACGTCTTGGAGTGGTCTGTCTCCGCACCCACTGCAGACGCGTTCCTGGACATGTTCATTGGTACCACGGATCCCATTTTCGACGACAAGTTCCGAACACTTCGTCTGTTTGGCCTGTACCTGTGTGAGTGTGCTCTTTTCAATGAGCAGCTCATTGATGCTCGAAAGTCGTCCGTGGCCATGGCAGCTCAGCTGCTCGCCATGTACTACACTCATGGTATCCCAGACTATCCCGTGTCTCCTCGTCCAGACGTCAACTTCATTATTAACCAGCTTGAGACCCAAGCTGTCCCCGCATGTATTCAGTCAAAATACGCCTCTACCAAATTCGAGTTCATGCGAAATGCAATTGGGCTACGAGGTGGTGAAACCCCCGACCCTGAGGATGTCATGATGACTCCTCCCGTTACTCCTGAGCGAAGTAAGCGATATGGCTTTGTTGGTGCCCAGAACCAACCCCAAACCCAACCCCAAACCCAGGCCATCCCCAAGCAACCATACGACTATGGCTACAACCAGGGGTACTATCATTCCTAAAAAGTTTCAAAAAAGTCCATCGGAGATACTTATTTAGCATAATATATTTATTGCATCCATCCACTGCTTCGTATTTGTAATTTGTGTTCTTTTTGCCTCAGAACCTCGAGACTCTGGGCCAGATCACACAATATACGTCGATATCAAAAATGTTGGAGTGCCAAGCTCGTATAAAAATACTCTATCGACGGGGAAAGATGCTGGTGGGCGAGGGGTGGGAGAAAAATCTTCAGTGAGTGCAGAAAATGATGGGTCGTTCTTCTCCTGAAACGAACTACGCTCTGTGGATAGACTACTGCTTACAGTGGTAGGATATTTTGTTTCTCTGCATGGTGCTGTTACTGTTGGAGGTCACTCTTACCAGCCATGACGTCATGCACAATATGACTCAGGTGCATGACTGGAGTCATTTCCCACAGGATGCTTAAATAATAAGGTTCAATTTGTAATGGTAGGGTAAGCCATTTTCAGCCAATCATGCGGGCTGAAACTAGATAAGCATTGGACATCGAAGCCGTGCATAGAAAACTCACCAGATGGGATGATGTTGCAGATGAGCAGATAAATGTGCACACTGCTGAGCCGTGAGAGAGAATGCCGGGTTGCCGCGCAAAAATCACGGATCACTCCGGATGAACGGGGGATAATTGGGGGATGATTGGGGGATGATTGGGGGATGATTGGGGGAGGATATTTAACGGCTCGGTCGTATCGAAACATTGATTCTATGAGTTTCACTTGCAAGTACATTTTGGACACTGCAAAATAGAGTCAGGTCTGACTCTCGTTGTTATCTTGCGCAATTAACTCTAATTGTACTGGACTGGTACATACTGTAGCGATCTTGTGCGATTTTATATTACAGAAGTGACTGGCGATGGAGTGCTGGGTGGTCGTGTCACGGAGATTTGCCTTGTCTCGACCTCTGGTTTGCAAGTTGACTACTTGTAGTTTAGTCTTTTTTGAAGGCTGTCTAAATCACTTGTATGAGTCTACTACTTATAGTGCCGGTACAGTATGTACAGTACTCGTACTTGTACTTACTCTGTAGCGAGATGAATGACTTGGAGACACTCAAGGTCTCTCGGCACTCTTTAGAGTTGATAATTGCTGGACACATGCTGAAACGATGATGTTTACAGATAATCCAAAGCACGTGACCTGACGGAAGCAGGCGAGTGGTTGTGCAACACTGAGAGAGCGACTCTCAAGACCTGTGGAGCTGTCCGGGCAGAAACAAGAGTAGCAATTGGCTGTATTCCCGTATTATCTACTCAAGTTACAACTCCGGCTTGTTGGTTTTGTGTTAGATCACAATAACTGGTTTTTTACCACCAGAAGGCCATCGATTAAGGACCCAAGTACTGTACCAGAATAAGTACAAGTATGTACGTACAGTATGTACTTGTACGATGTATGTACACTGTGCACTTGAAGAATTGTCCCTGAGAAATGCCACTTGTGCTGCAGAAACTCATGTCAATGGAGAACCCGTACTCGTTGTCAGAGTCGTGTATTTTTCGGTTTCCATTTTAGTATGGCGCACTAGATATCTACTTTGGGAAGTGACTTCTTTTTCCCTTTTCAATAGCGACCTTAGACTGAAAAAATTGTGTGCTAAAATTGAACAACCTTGTCTCCCCAGTTTGGCTCAGCGTTTTGTCTCATTGGAACCTTCGGTGGATAGTTCTGAAATCTGGGGGTCTTACCACCAGTATAATACGGTAGATAGTGGATATTTGCTGGAGCTGTAGGAAATACCACAAAGACATTTTTTGTTCTGAAAGTTCTCAGGTGTATATGTGACAGAAAATAATATTTAGGAATGCGCAAGTCCCAGTGTTAGTCTCAAAGCGTTGTGTGCTCCAGCCGATGTGGAGCTCAATCTGTACAGTCGCCTTCCCCCTAATTTTCTTTTCCTGCGTCATAAAAATAGCCTATGGTGGTTACCCGGCCCCAACGCAAATAGACATGTCGTTAATCTCATTGTAGAGAATGCTATTTAAGGTTCAACTCACCCTTTGGGTTAGTCTCAGTGAGAAGCCAATTCAAGTTCCAGATTTTCATAAGGAGACAGACGGACTTGTACGGATTCCATAGATCGTTTTTTATATACAGTCTCAATGCAACCTGTTCAATGTATAGTATAGCCCTTGTATGTATAAGTTGAAAACGGGTTTTTCCCTTCAGCATGTCTCAAGTCAACCGTATATGTGTCGGGGTGCACGCACTTGACTCGATCGGTTTATCAGGTTTGCAGCTACGGTTTCAGATGAGAGGCGCAGCAAAAGATCCCGTTACTGCTGGTAGACTAAACCAAACAGGATTCGAGCCAATGGCGGGAGCAACTAACTGGCAGGTATGAAGCACAGTCGTCTGCAAGTGTGATGGGACCTGTGGGGGGTAAGAGAAGGCATCTTCAACCCGCAGGATGACTCTATGGGGAGGGCGATAGAAGGACTCCAGGAGGGGACTAATTGCGTAGCAATCATGTGGAAGACTGAGGGGTACTTATCAATAGGGGGTCTGGCTCTCGGCCTGGCCTTACGGGTCTCTGCGACGTGTGCGGTCCTCATGGTTTTTGGTTCTGAGGAATTATGGGTGGCTCTACTTGTGGTTGGAGGTCGAGAAACGAGGAACAGTGGCTACTGCACATATTGGCTGAAGAATAGGTCAATATTTAGAGTATTACCATCGTGAGGCTTTTACAAAACAGCCAGGGTATCTGTATTTCTTGGTTTATGACCTGGTCTAAGTGGGCCTTAGTCTAGAACACGCAACTTTGAAGAAAGAGCAGATAGCTGGAGAGCTATTCGTGCTACAGCTACAGCTAGATAACCAGTGGTGTCATGGGAATCAGCTGATGCTCTTAGATGACCCCACTGGTCACATAGAGGAATAATACTCCGGTTCTGGATTATATATGATACCCCGCTTAAGTTGTCACTTTATTTCGAATACGACACGACAAATAAAGCCTGCGAATACGACTCTTTCGTCGCAGATATTTCCCACCGGCTATTGCCAGCACGGTCGGATTCAATGTCTGGGTTAGACCCAATAGCTGAACATGTGGTATCAATAAATTTGTGATGACAGATTATATCCCATAACTGTGGTTTGGTTGCTATTTAGTTTAACATTGATGGCACTGTTACAATTTTCGTCTTTTCTTCCCTCCCCTGTTGCAATACAGAACATACTGTAGTGCGCGGTTCGATCGAACCCCCCCCCACGTGTGGCTTAATTTCTGACAATCCTATTGATGCAATTGTGTGCATGCGCATCTTTGAGTTGGGTGGGCATTGCGAGAGAGCATGGGTCCTGTGAGTATCGAAACACACACAACAGGTCGGAGCCCGAGGTGGCAAAAAAGAGCGAGCTTAGCAAGAATTTATTATTTGGCCTTCAGGCCAAGCATTGCGCAATGCTACCTGAAGACCCTTATGTGGCCAAAGATCCTGCTTGCCCAACGTTGCACTAAAAGATGGGATTATCCTACTGTGCGTACATGCGCACCTGAGTCGGTCTACGGTATCATAGTGTGTGTACTGGCTGGCACACCACACTAAGTTACATACAACAAAGTTCTGGAGGAACCACCATATTGTCTATTAATAGGCTTTTAGGTTGGGTTCTGTTATCGGATAGACAGATTATCCAGTGAGAGGGGTTCATTGGAGGTAAGAGATTTTACATGCAATAGATAAGGTAGAGTATAGATATAAATAGTTATATATATTCGAGAGGTACTACACATTAATATCAACTTTTATTTGTTGTATCTGGAAAATCGGCCATTCTATGAAGACTTAAAAAAACATGAATCCCTCCTCTCACCCAAACTCTGAAAGAGCCCATGATATACACTTGTGTAAGTTTAGGACGTCTGAGGGGAATGATGATTGTACTTTGAGCACGTGGAAATTGATTCTGTTATTGTAGCTGTTCTGAGAGATATTGCTCAATTGTGAAAGCTGAATCCTTATCTGTGGCATGGCGAGAATACTTTTGACTGTCTCTGGTTCTCTATGGCTTCATGGAACCTTTTGAATCTGGCCTAGCCTTTTTTTTGCACACACAGCACACAGTACAACAAGCTTGAACCTTGTTGTAAGCGACCAAATGTTTGTATAATTCATGCGTCGTGCAGTTGCCTAAAACGTCCACATTTGCATGAGACAAAGAAAGTGAAATGTCTCAAGGGCGCCTTTATAAAAAATGGCTGATGGCATTTGAAGCGATATCTAAGCAGAACGATCTGGTCTTGGATTTCAGCATCAGACCAGCCATTTCCGACACATCACACAACCATGCTCGACAACATTTCCCAGGCCTGTATCGATGTTCTCAACATCACTAATGGTCTCACGGTCAAGCAAATGATCCACTCGATCGAAAGCAATTATCCAACTGTGGATTTGTCGCCTAATCCTTCGATTCTGGTGGCTGCTCGCATCAATTCTTACATCCGACGGCTGGAATTGGGCCAATTGGACACAGACTCCACGTTTGTGCAAAAAAAGCTGTCCGACAACCACCCCAAGCGAATGATCTACACCATCATTGACCGTCCTGAGCCTGAGGAGATTGAGCGGGAGCGACGAGAGCGGGAGAAGGAAAAGGAGCGAAAGAGGGAGCGAGCTGGAGGACGGGACACTGCGGATGCGACTTCCAATAAACGACGACGATCCTCTAACGAATCGATCAACACAAACAGCGAGGAGGCTGAAGAGGAGGAGGTTTCACCAATCCAGTCTACCTTCCCTAGCCCCTCGTCTCCTCTGTACATGACCTCCCCACAGCGATACTCATTCCACCTGCCGTCGGACGATGATCTCTCTTCTCTGGACGACTCTGATGATGAGGAGTCTCGTCTGGAGGTGTCTTCCACCGCGGCAACCACTCCTATTAATCAGGACGACGAGGATGAACAAGAAGAAATCAAAATGGCACCCATCATGACCCACGTGACCCCCAAGCAGCGTGGGCTCGACCAGACTCTTGCCCCTTCCCCCGATCTCTCTCTGGATATCACCAAACTCTTCAACCCATACTACGACACCCTTAAAGAGCCCCATCATGCAGGTATTGGTCATCTTGGCTGGATCAATGATGAAGAGGATGTTGGATGTCCCGAGGAGATGAGCCTAGGCGACCTGGAGGAATGGGTTAGATAGAGGACGATGAACACCCGCAATCACAATCTCACAAAATCATGAGCGGTTCTGTGCACTGGATGTATGGGACTTGGCACGATGACTCTCAACAGTCAACTAACAAACATTCCAAACTATTTATTAACAATGTATTCTATTTATATCTGTGGGTATCGTACTTGTGCTGTTCGAAGACATTATCGCTTTTGTTTTGTATCCTCACTTGTCAGCCATCACTCCTAATGGAATGGAATGTGACTAAATTTTTTTCCTGCACATAAATGACGTCACCGGTAGCAGCTATCAATGAAGCATGCTGGTGTGACAGTTCCAGACGGTGCGAGAATGTCTCAGATGAGAAGACAGGAGACAGGCTCCGCCACCAATTACGAAATCTACTACGAGTAGTACATACTGTGTCAGTACCAGGGCGAGTACGAGGGCGAGTACGAGTACTTCGTAGAAATCTGCAGAAGAAGACTTTTCCAGACATCAGTTCTATGGACCACCACAGCTACCGTGCATATTTAGTGTATCATACTACTTGTAGTCGGATGCTGTGTGTGTGCCGTTTCTTGGACACATGGTCGTCCCATACAATTAAAAGACGTTCTTGTCGCACTAAGAACTACACTTCCGCTGGTGGAAGCTGTCAAAAATTACGTCGCCAGGCCGATATCTGTCCGTCCTGTCACATCCAAATATGCCGATAAGTGTCAGAGCAGATAATATCAGCACGATTGCGACCCGAGCCAAGAGCTGGCGACCTGTGTGACAGGTTCCGGTCGCCACGGGTATCGTAACTAGAACGGAGCTGGCCTTCCACACGTTCGTCCCAAATGGGCAACCATGCGCCCTGAATTAAGGTTGTGGGTCTATTTTCCTACAGTACTGTAGTTCGAGGTGAGCGGGTAACCTGGTATTAAGGTTTATGGCGGTGTACAAAAACAGGTGACACTGAGGAGAAGGAGGAGAAGGAGGAGTTCGTGCAGAGCATGAAATTACGGATCGGATGAGGAGGTTATTGCAAGTTGGAATATCGAGTGGGTTGGTTCATTTTTGTGGCTTTCTGTGATCCCATTGTCACTATTATCCCCTTTCACTAGCACCGGTCAAGTTGGGCTGATTTAGGGGCCTTAGTTGGACTGCATATGCCCAACGAGATGCGGTGAAGAGACATGTTCCTATTGATTCCAGTTGTGATTACTCGTGCTACTTGTACTTGTAGCAATCACCAAGCCATCACCTTGCATTCGGGAGCAAGTATATCAGGCGACATGACAAGTGTGTGTACGACGGCGCACTCGTATAACTTGAAACATCGTCAGCTTCTCAACATGCCAGAGCGCGCCGATGGGGCTTGTCATTCTAGGCCCAAGATATGACCACAAGTAACAGTCGAACATGACCGAGAAGTCCATGCATCGCTGCATGGAAATCCCTGCAATGCTGCCAATTGCCAATGTTTCTTTGTCTGCCTGTATGGCCAGATCTGCTCTGGATATCTGCCTGCACAATCTAAGAGCATTGTGCGTTCGAAAATGTCGGGTCACTTGGCCGGGAAATCTTCCTTACGTCGTACAAGTAAGACCTGTATCGTCTCATGTCAATGCCGTTTAGAGCAACAACAAGCGATAAGGACGTACGTCGTAAGACAGAGGCCCGGTAGTCGAGTCACCGTACGGGAGGGGGAACCGGTCACATGGTGTCTCTATTCCGGTCTTTACAGCTCACTTGCCCAATTCTGCCGTCTGTCGAGACGATGAACGGATGTTACTCACCGAAGTTGTACTCCATACGAGTGCTCGTCAAGGTATGAACAAGTTGTACCAATTTCCGTCCAGCAAAACTTCAAAATACGCAACACCACACAGGACCACGAGTTGCATTTAATATGCACAACACCAAGACACACAGGTAGCGAGTACGAGTATGAGTACGAAAACACGACAGAGGAGAGACAAGATCGGTACCCTGTGAATAGCTCTACGTGATACCATAATATAATTCATGAGATACAGATGGAAGACTGCAACTCGCTGTTGCTGCGCCTCCACTGTAATCCATGCCTACACAGGGTCATTATACTACATACTGTACAAGTATGATAGCTACTTCACAGGCTAACTACTATTCAAGTCATTTGGTGACATAATTCGTTAAATATTTACAGTAAACTTCTGAAAGAACAGGAACAGCTCAAATATGCCATCCATGCCTTACAATCCTCCTCTGGGTTTCATCAAGCCTCCAACAATATCGAAACTCCCTTGACAGGCCTTGAATAGCTCACTGACACCGAATCCCTGACCTGTAGACGAGTATTTTTGGGCTGTATTCTGAAGAGCTCGAGAGTTTACAAATCCGTTACAATCAATGGACCCGTTTTTGTGCAGCTCCTCATAGGCGTCCAACGCAGCTTGACGAATCACGTTTCCAGGGACCTCTCCAGAAGAACCCCATAGTCGGTTTCCAGGGGTGCTCGACGACGCGATACCGGAGTAAGAAGAATTCCAGGGATCAAATCGGTGCTGAGAGATTGGAAGAGTGGTCGAGGGTGGAGAAATGGGCTGACTAATGGGTTGTTCGGGTGGATTCACCAGACCGATACTTCCCACAGTGCCCACGTTTCCGACGTGTCCAATGTTACCCACTGGGTGGTTCACTTGACCTGGAGTCACAGGACCCTGGGATAGGTGGTTCATATGTCCAGGATGAACATGAAGGGGCTGCTGGTTAACCTGACCGGGGCTTCCAATGGTACCGATAGCACCAACAGGCGCAACATGGCTGATGGATGATCTGGGGGTACCTGGGCCTGGAGGCGGTGTGCTTGGGCCTTGTGCAGGTCGCAAAAGCGAGTCCAACAGCGTTTTAGCGTTACTAGTGGTACTTCCGGGGCTAGGGGTATGCCGTTCGGGAGTCATTCTGCTTGTGGGGTCAGGAGTGAGTCTGTCCAGCAGAATCTGTGATTGGGCCACGTGTTGAGTGAGACCAGGAGGAAGTTGAGGAGATGGAGACTGCGGCATCATTGCTACAGGGGCCACAGGAGCCGCCTGTGGCACAGGCTGTTGAAGACCTCCAAGAGAAGTACCCGGCTGGCTTGCAGGGATTTGAGTCTTTCCGGGAAGAGGTTTGGAAAGAGGAATTGACATGGATGCACGCTTTTCACGCTCTTCTTCCAATTTCTGCTTTTCTCGCTCCTCCTTGATTCTCTGTCGTTCTTTTTCCTCCTCCAATCTCTGCTGCTCTCGCTCCTTTTCAAGCCTCTCGTTTTCGATTCTCTCGGCCTCTAATCTCTCGTTTTCGATTCTCTCTTCCTCCAACCTCTCCTTCTCCCTCCTCTCATCCTCCTCCTGTTGCTGACGCGCTCTAAGTTCCTCCTTCTCCCTCTCCTCCTTTTCCTTGGCCAATCTCATGCGTTCTTCCATCTCTCTGATTCGAGCGAGTCGTTTTTCCTCCTTTTCACGGGCAAGTCGTGCCTGCTCTTCTTGACGGGCCTTCTGCTTAGCCTCGGAAGCGGCCTTTCGAGCGGCCTTTTCCCTTTCCTTTTCCTGCTGCTTTCGCTCGGCCTCCAAACGCAGTCGTTCAGCCTCTTCAGCTTCACGTTTCTCACGCTCTTCTCGCTCAGCGGCAGCCTTTCTTTTTTCCTCCTCCTTGATAGCCTTCTGAGCGCGCTTTTTCTCCTTTTTACGCTCTCGTCGCTGCTGATCACGGGCCTCCTTCTCAAGGTCTAATGTTTTCTTCTCCTCCTCCATCTGCTGCAGCTCAGCCTTGACCTGTGCAGCCACGCTCTGCTTGTAGGCATGCAAAACCCGCTGCTCAAACATACGAGCGGCAAATATCTGGAACATGCGACGTCCCTCCTCCATGCGCTGGTCAGCAGTAAGAGACTCCCCAGTCTGGGAATACTCCGAGGAGTAGTCCGAGTAGTCCGAGTCATTTTCGTACTCTTCATCGTCATTGTCGTCTTCCACCACCACGGGTTCCTCATCCTCTCCATCCCTAATTTCCTCAATGCGACCCGCCCGTTTCTCTGCCAAACGCTCCATCATTTCAATGAACTTCTTGCCGTCATTGGTCAGCAGATCGTCAGCCACAGATGAAACATCAAGGCTCTGCACATCTTCGCCCTCCTCAAACCCATAGGGTTCGTCCTCCTCAGTATCGCCTTCCTCGTCAATTTCCTTGCCCAGATTCTGTGGCAAAGGTCGAGTTGTTGCAGTTGTCGCTGGTGCTATCGAGAGTCGGTTGGTAGCCTCACTAAGCTCCTCCGTGGTGTTGCCGTCCTGATGCCCTCCTCGCAACACATCGTCAGCCTGGAAAAAACCCATGCTAGGTAGTGGCAACAATGGTAGGTCCTTAGACTCGGCCAGAGCGTCCAGCTCCTTGTAGTAGTCGGCATACAATGTTTCCAGCTCCTGTTCAATGGCCACGCGCTTCCGTCCACAAATGTCGCATTCACACGTGTTCTTCTGTTGGCGTTTCATCTTGTTCAACACCGCCTCTTTTTCCACCTGAACCAATTCCCGTCGCTGCTCGGACGTCAGAGAGAGCCAGAAATACTTGATAGTCTGTCGTTCCATGCTAGGCGAAAGCCCTGAAGCCGGAGACGGTGGAAAGGTATCATTGACCGACTTCTTCAGACGCGCCAACTTTTCAGCCTTCATCTTGGCTTCCATGACTCCGTGAACAATGCTGCGTTCATCCAGATCGATGCTGTCGATAATCACCTGCTGACCCTTTGACTTCCTCTTCTTCTTCTTTTTCGATTTGGGCTTGGAGTCGTCCGCACCCCACTCGAAACTCACGTTTTCCGTCTTGAACGTCTCGCGGGACTTGAGGTTGATCACCCGCTTGCCATCCTTGGAATAAATGGCCTTTTCCATCGTACCGGTGTGTAGCTGTGCTTTTTCAGTTGTCCAAGGCACATGGACTACTACTTTAGCTTTCATGGCGAAAACGAATCTTAGGTTTGGGAAGGTTCACCCGAAACAGATTATGAGCGGAGGCAATGGAGCTAGACTGCCCACCTCAATTCGTATCTGTCGAGCTGCGAGCGTCGGAAAAACCCCCTATCCAGTAACTACCAAGGTACATAATCCCTCATTGCAGGTCCTCTAACTCGTTAATAAGCAGCTAAAGAACCCTAATCCGCTCCCTACCTGACATATTGACCAAGGTCTCGTACCTCATGTGACCAGAGAGCGAAGTTAAGCAACAACAACATCGTTATATGTGCTCGCTTTTGGGTCTAAAAGTTCAAAAATTGGCCACATAGTCCTTGTTTTGTCTTGCTGGCGTCAAATTGGATCCAGTGGCACCGTCACCTGCAGCTTCTGCAAAACCTGGAATTTGCCACTCTAAATTTTATTCAAATCAATACTTCAAAAGTCGCTTTTAAATCGAGAAAAAAAAATGAGTACTCTGGAAAAAACCCAGGAATAGTGTGAGTGAATATATAGATTCTTTATTACAAATCATTATGTATCTTCTTTGTCTGGGGGGCATTTACGCTTACTTTTATCTCATTCTGAACTACTATTCATTCCCTCGGGAAAGCTTACATAATCAACCCGACGCATCCATCCATGCATGACGAACCTTGATTATATTTTTATCTGGGTCAGGCATATCAGACCCGATCTCGACCGAAAGACACACAATAAAATGCGCTCCACGAGAGCCATATTGCGACAAGCGGGCAAGTCGAAGCGCTCAAAGCCTTTTAAACCCCGGAAAACCGAACCACTTTTGAGAGAACAATATCCTGCCACCAAGGATGGTCTCTTCAGACAGGCCAGCTACGTTGATCGGTTGAAGATGTACCTAGAAATGCGGATCGAAGACCCTCTACTTGCTGAAAAACGTGCCGGGCTAGAGTACGCCTGGAAACTTGCGTTTGACACAAATTACGTGCCTCTACCCAAACGAAAACATAAGGCGTCGAGTCTCAGCTCAGTGGTTAGTATCAGCCAGAAGGAACGAGATCTGGAGGAAGGATTGATGGCCCTAGCAAATCAGCAGGACCCTGGCGAAAACTTTCGAAAAATCCGAGATGAACTCGCACTACCGTCATACCAGGCTCAATGGGTGGGCATGGCTATCACCACTTACGAGGCTGAGGAGGCTATCAAGCCGTACCGGAGGGTTCCTGAAGGATGGACCCGAGAGAAGAATCTCGTTTCTCGAGATCACACATTTGTCAAGTCCTCACCCACCATTGAAGACATCAACCGCCCTCCGAGAGTTGGCGATCTTATTGACGTGTCTATCAAGAAGAATCTTTCCGAGATTGGTATCATTGGCGAGGTCTTATCATCTGGAGGATTCAACGTGATTATGATTAGTGGAGAATGTCGACACATCGAAGGCGGCGTGGCATTTAAGATGCCGTTCACCAACCCGGCTATTATGGAGCAATTTTCAATCACTGTTGATGATACACAAATGACCCATGTCGGGATCAGACCTGCTTTGGTGCAAGAAATGACAGAGTTCTTGAGAAGAGCCAATCTTGCGAAGACGAGAGTGTTGGATATTCTTCAGAAGACAGTCATTTCCCAAAGAGTCATCACTCTCAATGACCTGGTGGAAAGAATGTCTCCACACGTCGCTCTACACGACTCGCCTCTGACTCCAGCGATGATGTATTACGCCACATACCTCGCAGTTCGAAGCATTCCTGCTCGGTGGGTAATTGGTCCTGGTCAGGACTCTGCTATTCAGTTACTCTACATCAACGCCCTGGATGTCGCAGCATCGGAAACCGCCATCAACACTATCAGAGAAGGAGGATTAACTCTAGACAAGATTATCAGCCGGTTTGAAGATGTGCTTGCTGGTACTGTAACACTTGACTCGTTGCTCCTCACTCCTCAAGAGCGGGCAATATTGTTGCTCGTTAAGCGTTTCGCCCTTAGCGAGGTTTCACACAACGATATGGCTGCAAAAGCCAACGTGGGTGTATTTATGCGCAAGCTGGAGGATTATGGTCAGGTAATTATTACCCAGACATTATGCATGGAGTTCCTGCGTCGACTCGGGTACATTCCTGATGACATCAACCCCTGGAAGAAAGCGTTCAAGCTGCAGATCCCTTACCAGGGCTCCTCTGAGCAACAGGACGAGATTCAGACCATGTACGACAGGCTCACTAGCTCTGACTTTACCGAAGATCTTTCTGAAAAGGCTCGTGAAGACTGGGTTGGGGAGAAGAAGCGACCATTCTCACACTTTTATTGTATTGACGGTCCAGATGCTCACGAGATCGATGATGGTGTTGCTCTGGAGTCCCGATCTGACGGGTCCAAGTACGTACACGTTCTTGTGGCAGACCCCGCCTCATATTTCGGAGTCTCCAGTGATGTGGCCCATGCTGCCCAAAGCCGAGTTACCACCGCCTACTACCCTTCAGGTGTTGTAGGAATGTTACCTCAGGTCGTGCAGGAGTTTGGATTGTTACAGAAAGGAGCAGTTAGATCCTTGGTGATCTCTGCAAAGCTCAACGACAAAGCCGCTGCGAAGGATCCAATTGACATGAACAGTGTGGAGATCAGACTTACAAAGGTCGATGGAGGAGTGGGGTTGACTTATGAGCATGTAGAGAGTGTCTTGAACGGCTCACAGGAGTCCGAGCACAAGTCTGATATCAAGGACTTGCATGCACTTTCGTCTAGACTTCGTAAGCATCGAATTGAATCTGGAGCTGTCAACCTAGATGTGCCCAAGGTTCGGCTTAATACAGAGACAGGACAACTTGATCATGTGTCGGAACGCAACCCCGAAGCAACTCTTCTTGTCTCGGAGCTCATGATCCTCGCTAATTCTCTGGTTGCTTCGTTCGGTGCCAAACACAAGATCCCCCTAATGTACCGGTACCAGAATATGGAAGAGGAGAACAAGGGCACGCTTGAGTCGCGTGACCCTGTTACAGGTGTGATTCCTTTCCGAGAGGGAGTTTCCATGTGGTCTACCATTGAGATGGCATACATTTCAGCCGACCCCAAGCCTCATTTTTCTCTGGCTATCCCGATGTATGCACAGTCCACCAGTCCTCTTCGACGTTATGGTGATCTGCTCAACCATTTCCAGCTGCATGCACACTTGCAGGGCCAAAACCCTCCTTTCTCTCACTCTGATGTCCAGAAGATCATTCCTCACGTGTTTGCTCGTCAGCGAACAGTGAAGAAGGGACAGGAAGACATGGAGTCATACCGATTGAAGGAGTGGCTCCTCAAGCGACTGAAATCTGGAGAGCTCTATCCAATCAACTGGACTGGACTGGTGTTGGAGCCTAGAAGGCAGGAAATGGTGCGTGTAATGGTGATGGAGCTAGGTATGATTGCCGACTACCATCTAACCAACCCAGATGTCGAGTTGGGTGATATGCTTAAGATTGGCAAGATTGTAGATATTGATCTGATGGAGAGACAAGTTGAGGTGGCCGAAAAGTAGCTGTCTCGTGTAAATAGTCTGGATATGTATATAGTAATCGATTTAGAACTCATAGAAACAGGTTACTGTACATACAGTAATGGTGCAGTCACAGTATTCCTCTTGCTGTATCTTGGTAAATAATGACAGTAGTCCTACTGCGGGTTTGAAGAACAAAATGAGAAAATGTAGACTGTCTTGCGTGCAGAGAACTCGCGATGTCCACCAATGTTGACACGCACTGTGAGTGCGCAAACAAGATGTCAGGACACCGACAGTTGCGCCCGAGCGCCCATCTCCATCTCATCTCCAACATACAGTAGTGCCTCACAATAATGCGGTGCGGTAGTGTCTATATGAACAACCTGGGGTGTCTTCTCTCACATGTGAGTTTTTGGATCCGGGACGCTGGGTTGAAGTCTTTTCCATACGGAATTTTCAGATTCATTCAATATTTCATATCAAAATGCTCCTGTTGTGGCCCTATTGCGGAGAAAGACGTTATTATTAAGCTCCCGGGCCCTTTTCCAATGCTGCTAGATTATTTAACGATACGAAACCTTCCTTTTGCACAGTTCGAGACGGAACTTTTGAAGACAGCGAGGGATCTGGGATGCCATGATGAAAGAATATGGCTGTTCATGGGAGACTAAATGTACCGTACAAAGAAGTGGGTCCATATTGGACCCACGCACACATACACTTGGCTTGTCGTTGAGTCATTCCCCCCCATCAACAGTCCATCGGGGGTCGTGGAACAACTGTACGCTACGGTCAGCAGGACATTGACCAGGTCATGGCATTCTGTCTCTATGAAAAGTTGTACGGACGTACTGTAGATGAAATAGTACTCCTGGTACTCGTCACACATTGCATCATTGTTCCTAGATCTACTGGCAGCCTTACCGGCGCTGTCGCTGCAATACTATCCAAGGTTCGCATCCACGGTAATATTGGATAGAGCAGACACACTTATACCTCATCCTCAAGATATTTGGCCTATCAAATACAGGATTTTCTGACACATTCGAAAGTAGCCGGACTCAAGAGCGCTCACTCCGGTGTATGCCCGATACCTTTTGGTGAAACATGATGAACTCCTATATCACCTAAAATATGCACATCTACTAGCTCAGTCTTCCAAGGGTAGACAGAGGAGTCCACCATTTACCAGTTCTTATGCCTTGGATATTATCATAGACACAGCCATCAAGGAGACGCTCTCTGAATTCCGGAATGATCCCCGAATTAGTCAGCCGTATCTGTATGAAGGACTCCGTACAATGTTACGTGCAGTACGTACGAACAAAATCACATTGATAGGTGATAAAAGAAGCCCTACCATTCGCAGCCTATTGCACTTGTAGGTCTTGGCTCATTGCACTACAAGTACAGTACATACCGTACACTGGACTGTGCACTGGGATAGTCTGGAAGAAACACCGAGAATTACCACCGGGGAAAAACAAAGCCCCAGGAATCACGTGATCTATACGGGTGAGAATAGTCACGTGACTCACACGGGCCGGGGGCGGCTCTCACGAGGAGAAGAACAAGACAAATCAAGCTTCCCCCTGGTAGACTCTAATCTCCTTTAGAAATGATGTGTTGCTGTTGATGTCAAAAGTATGGGGCAAGTTGAGGTACATGTACTGTACCGAGATACAACTTCACAAGTGCGAGTATTGTACTGTACGTGCAGTACCTGACGTATGAGGCTAGATTACGCGAATAAATGATGAGAGGTTGGCAATACATGGAGGAATTTGTGTTTCTCAATTGTCTCGACAATCTTCCCAAATCTCTCCAGATCCAGTTGGGGTTGGGAGGTCGCCAATTATGACAAAAAAACGCGGTACATATTTTGGTTTATTACTTATTCCGTTCTTGAGGAAAACCCGCACCTAATAAATCCGCGTTTAACAGCCGTAATAGGAAATACCCAAAAAAGAAAATGAAGCTGCGTTCTTGAAAGATATTACAAAGAGACGGGATGTAATCTACTTGTACTACTGTACTTGTAGTAGTACCAAGACGAGGAAAAATGAATTGCTGGCATTCTGTGACGTGGCAAAATATATGGGGAAACTACGTGACATTTTCTCAGAGTTACTGTATTGTAAAAGTAGCGCCAACACTACAATGTTGTAGCACACACACCCTATTGGCAATATCGCTGCAACCCCTGTTATAAAATATGGAGCTACAAGAACGCGGGGTACAGTATACCTTCTTTATTTTTTTTGTTTGCCTAACTCTAACAACTTGGCAACACACACAAGAGAAATATCTCCTACTTTTCAGCCATTGACGAGTGAACCACGTACAGAGTAATTCATAGAACCAATGTGCTCAGCTATTACGAGGTTGCTGCACGATACTTGGAAGCATACATGACCAATGTACTGTACCGGTACATGTACAGTACAAGTATTGTGTTGCAATATGCGCACGTCCCTTGCATGTGAGAAGAATGGACGAGACAAAATCTACACAAAAAGGCAGCTACAATTAACGGTTTGGCATTAATGACTCATTGATTCAGTTGTGTTAGTTATTTTTATATGTTAGTATGTCTTTTTACCCCAGGTTCACCTTGTGAAGCTCAATGACCACAGAGTCCTCCTCGGTCAGAGACTCTGAGCTGTGTCTGTAGGTGTCTGTAGCGGGCTTTTGGAACTCGTAAATGTCGGTAGTCCAGCATCCGAACCAGCCGTTGGGGCCAGCAGAGATTTTTCGAACGTCGTGCCATCCCATTTCCTTAATCCACTCATCGTAAGGCCCGGATCCGGAAGGTCGCAGATCAGTGATTATGATATAACCTCCAGGCTTGCAAACACGAGCCATCTCTCGCAGAATTTCCTTCTGAGTGTCCCGATCGTATGACCGTAGAGCCCAGGGAGATGTAACCAGCGAAAATGTGTCCGTGGAGTAGGGCAAGTTGGTGAGCTCAGCAGAAGTGAGGGTCACGAGGTCGGTGTACTCCTTTGCCTTGATGTTGTTAATGATCTTTTTGAGCTGGCCCTTCTTCTTGTCATAGTTGTCCACAGCCGTGATTCCGTCAATGTGATAGTTGGAAGCCTTCTGTACCTCTCGCTTCTTCTTGCAAAGCTTCATAAGCGACACACCGGATCCACTGCCCACGTCTAGAATGGGACCAGTAAAGTAGAGGTCGTCGTTGTTTAGGATGGTGCGCCACACCTCATGGCGTCCACGGTAGTTGGCATGCAGAAAAACAGACTCCCAGGCGAGAACGGCTCGGTAAGGGGTCTCAAAGTGGTACTTTGTGGAGAGCTTTTCATTGTGGTCTTTGGGGTGTACTTTGATAGTCTGGTATTCGGAGCCGTGTAGAGGTGCTGTAATAGTGTATGTCTGTGTCATGTGATTGTGTGTGTGATGTAGTTTGTAGTGTTTGGTGTCAGTGACTTTTTGACTTCGACGTGGGGACACAGAGATATATATATATTCCAGGGCTCTCTCCCTCTCCATCTACCTACAGTACAAGAGGTTAGTGGTTTTGTGTCACAGCCTGCATGAGATAAAGTGGCGGTAATAAAGTTACCTCACAGTTCCACCACGAAGTTTGTTTGGAAGCTTAAATCGAAACCTAGTGCTGTCCCTCTTTTTTTTAAGGTGTTTGAGTAACGGTGCGGTGCAAGGTGCAAGGTGCAAGGCGGGGTAAAAAAGAGCGTAAAAAACCTGAAAAAGTCTGAACTCCGAATCACAATAGTAGGAGTACCATTTTCCTCCTTACTTCTCCCAAATAAGACACGAGATGCATTGTACTAACATTCATACAAGTTAATTTGGGTACTGCTGTAGCTATTTTAGTTCACAGGTAGGGTAACACTCGGGGTTTGACCGTTCTTTGTTATCATGTAAGAATGCACGTGACATAATACTGGAACGAAGAATGGCTCGAACTGGAAATCCAGAGACTGAGGAGTAAAAAAACAGGCACCATTACAAAATTCAAGTCTCTAGCATTCGATAGATAGTGCTGAAGAACCATTTCCTCCTTGTGTGGAGTCCTGGGTCATTATCCAAAACACGGCTATCGCTCGGCATACGGCAACGTAAAAATACCGCTGAGGTAAGAAACAAAAACATATAGCCACAAATTTCCTAAAACAAAATAGCAATTAAAAGTTCCCAACCACATTTATCGGCAGTGGAATTCCTCACAAGAGTTTTCTCTGAAACCAATTTTCGAAAATCGTTATTATGAGGGTATTGTTAGTATCATAATGTTCGTCTGTACACAAGGATTTCACAAATATGCATATTTTGTCTATATAATCAATATTGAAAAAGTTATTCTTCTCCCAATTATCCCTGCTAATTCTACATATTGTGCAACCACGTGATGCTACCTATAAATCTGCATGCATTGCAGTGCATTGCATGACTCTACCAGCATTAAACATAAAGTAATACGGCTTGACCAACTACAAATAGGGGGTCGATAAGGATAAGGCAGTGCATCGTGTGCGGCTGTCGTTAATTCTTGGATTGGACTTTCGGGCTGGATATTAATGGAATGAAGGCGAAATTATTACCATTATGCTCGCCTTGACTCTTAGATTCCAGAAGCATTATTTTCGATTCAATTGAACCTCTCCCTGACCACTGATTCTGGATCATCTAATTTTGGATCCCTCCGCATGTACATACTGTATCATACATCTAGCGGATTATTCGCTTGGGAAAGAGAGCCAAATGATAGGGCCTCTTGATGAACCGATGGGAAATAACCAAAAAAAACAACAAACCACACACACAAAAAATACACCTTAAATATAAGCTGACTCAGCGGCTTTATATATATATATATATATATATATATATATATATTTCAAATTTTCCAGACATTTTACACCATAAAATGTCTCAATTTTCACTTGCTACTCCCGGGTCGGATGTTATTCTGGGATCGGTTCGGAGGTTGTTCTTGGGAGTTTTGGACCCTGAGTTTTTCTAGAAGGGTGATGATCCGGACGGCGGCGCGCAACTTTGAGAATATCCCTCTGCCGGACCTGCTGCAGTTTACTACCCCTACATACCCGCTTTTCCCAATGTCCCCTCTCTGATCTCAAATATTCGTCCGACGGTTGAGGAGTGTTAGATTTGCTTTGTGGCATGTCCTTTTTTTTTTTTTTTTTTTTTTTTTTTTGGCCAAGAGACCTCCTGTCTACTTTTTTAATTTCACCTCCTCTGTTAAGCTCCAACGTTATTTTGCCCCTCAACGCCAAAGATTGCTGGGCCAAGAAAAAAATCTCAGAAGTTCCATGTGACTATCATGACCCGGTCTATAAGAGACATGTGCGGCATATAATACAAAAGCAATCGTGAATCGAAGGGTGGATTGTTCAGCCTTGTGCGTCTCTAACCGCCTTACTTTTAGCACGTATGCGCCTCGAACTTCGCCTCCAAGGCATCTGCTAAGGTCTATATGCTGTGCGCATGACCACCATTCTCACTCTGACTGACACTTGCGGTACTGTACTGTACCACATTTTGGACACCAGAACACGTGTCTGTCAAAAATATGCTAGCCCTTCTTGTCCCATCTACGGGAGGACGCTTTTTAGCTGGGGCTTGAATGCTTGAGCGTGGTATCGGACATCCTGGGGCTTCGCTTGTGTGTAAATAACCAAAGGTGGGGATTTTATAGCCGCTAACTATGGTAACAAACTGGTCACACGTGCTTGGACAGCGGCGAAAGTTGTCTGTTTTGGACCATCTCTCCCCAACACCAACCCATACCAACGGTACCTGCGCCCCCATTCGGACTCCGCTTTCAGACTCGTGCTAAACACCAAACGCCGTGCCTGTCAACCTTGTCACTACAAGCACTGTAGTGCCACTGCCACTGTTACTCGTACAAGTAGCCCCTCTATTCTCCCGGCCAAGTCAACTCTGACTCTTGGCCCGAAACCGCCGGCAACGAATAGCGCCTTCCCTATTGCTTGTCCTTCTGTCACCCAGGGGATAACGTAGACACCAGCAGTATCTCAAAAGAGATGGCATTAGAAACATAGAGCGCCCTTATCATCATCTACCTCAATGATAGAGCCAGTAGTTTGGTGGGTCTATGCATTATCTCTTATGACTGCCATGGGGGCTGTCAGCCTATTGTACTCTCCATCAAGCTGCTGTTATCACGATAATCACTGTAACAGATATTGTTGGTTGCTGAATCGACGAAAGGGCTTGGAATCAGCACCCAAACAGCTCAAACAGTGTACCTACACACAACAAAAATCACACATTCCACCCACAGAGAGCCATTCCCACACTTCAACGACGGCTACTGACTATAAGTGACGGAATTCGGGTTTTCCCCATAACAGTGCGACAGCCACATGATCAACAGGAAAACGTATGAGAGCTTTACCTCCTGCACCCACACCTTCATCTATACATCCACTGTCATCCACACAGCAGGACTTAGCGGTTCATCATGGCAGCAGTAATCTAGAACCCACTAACATGTCGACCATTGATCATAGGCCAATGTCAAAGAAACGTTGCATAAGTATCTAATCACGAAAACCCTAGAAGAGACTCAGACCATATGCTAAGACCTCTTGGATGTCTTGGAGTCTTTGCTATTGCATTCTATGTCGTGAAGATGGCGTTAACTAATGTTAGCGCCAACATCAGTCTCGGTTACGCCGTTATTTGAATAAAGTCGATAAAACTTCCACATAAAGACCTGATACTTAGCTCTTCATTTGGAATCTATGAATTTCCGTGCTACACAATAGGTAGTATTGTGTCAAATTCATGGTGATGTCGTCATAAGGGAACCAGCAGTAGATACAAGCGCAAAATTCAAGCCTGTAACTAGTGGAGGCTTGTATGTTCAGTTTTTGCGCTTTAGTTGCTTTTGGAACCCTTGAACCCCCTTACGCTCATCATATGTGACATAGTGTCACGGGCACTCGATTTTGGTGTATATTGATGTGAGAACCGTAATAATGATGGCTCAACATTTCTTGTGACTAGCATCAACATCCCATAGTTAGGAGACATTCAGTGAATGACCACAAGCGTTTGCCCACTCGTTGATCAGAACATATTGTGCTAGAGCTCTCAATAGCCACGGTACTCATTTTCACTGGTGCGCCCCTTTTGTGTAGCTGGGTTGGTCAGTGGTTGCTGTTAAAACCATCAGACAAACATGTAGCGATAGGAAAAAATGCTGTCAGGTTTTCTGGGTCAGTAATAACGGTGGTAACTTTTGTTCCCTGTCCCGATGTTTCGTCGACAGGTATCTGAGTAGGACAGAGATGTGGCTGTAGTTAGACAAAACAAAATAATCCGTGAAGTCGAAGCTAAAATAACAGACAAATCACTCACGTCAATGTGCTATCACATTTAGTGATGTATATCTGGGCACCTGGTGTCTTTAGGCAGTGGTCCTGTGCATCGTTCAGCGGTATCAGAGTTGAAAGTATCTGTTGTATCAGCGTGACGAGTTCAAATGACGCTAGAGCGACTTACAAAACGATCCGGATATAGAAAATATTTATTTTGCATCTCCCAGACTTGCAAGTCATTCCTGACTGTTATGACCTTCCATGTGGGTGGCTTTTTTGTAGATTGGTTGATGAAAATTGGTGATGTGTGTGTAAGGTGGTTTTTACCCAGTGCTTATTTAATGCATGGTTCAAAACTAGAAATAACGACATTTTTATAGGAATGTTCGTCATTGGAGTGTTATAGCTTCAATAATAGCTATACTAACTTTTACATCATATTTTAACATGCTATAACATAGTTGGTATCTCCAGAAATTAATTTTTATGTTTTTTTTTTTTTTTTTTTTTTTTGATCCTTGTAAGGTATCAATATCGCCGTATCAAGATTGGGCAATTTTTGAGCTCTGATTTTGATCACATCAAAGACACAAGAATTCCAGAACATGACTCGTGTCTCAAATATATACCTGCTCCCTCTTTTTGGGAAGTTCTGATTTTTTCTGAAGCCGTGAGAGCCATTGGTATTTTCCCCCATATTTGTTCGAGAAAAGGGATTCAAATTTTTTAAAACTTCTTCAGTGTTTACCGTAGCGTAACCAGTAAAAACTTCTCACAATGATTCCATGCCTCTTAAAACCTGCTTCAAATTCGATTCCGATCTGAGTCCGATCAGATGCTGGGTTCTCCAAAAAAAAGGGGATTCAGGTTCCAAACCGTCTACTTAGACAAACATACCTTGCGGCACCAATAGTTGAACAATAATTAGCAATTTGAACCTGATATGATTTCAATAGAAAGGATCGATCTGGTGAGTGGTTCGTAATGCTTTAAATTCTTCTGGTTGGATACCTGAAGACATTTGATCACAAGTACGATACCCGGATAGTGGTACAAGGGAACGGTCATAGGTAATATTAATATCATCAAGGGAAGTGGTCTACTGCTTCTTAGCAATGTTATCTATTGTTGGGGTATCAATTGAGTATGTTGAATGCGGGTATCAGGTTGTTGATGGTCAAGAAGTTGACTTGAATTAACGTGAATTTTGCATCGTCTTCATGGAATCTACAGCAGGGACCAGCACTACAGAGGAGTAGTTCAAGGTGAAACGTACTTGCTCTATTCTCGAAATATACGAAAAAGTCCAACCCATTCCATAGCACACTTGAACCCTTCACCAATCGGTGTATAGTGCCAGATTGGGATTAGCACCACCGCTCCAATAACACTCCAGATGACAAACGATAAGTTGTGTGGTACAGTAGATACAGTACTGTACATGTAGTAAACCATCGCTTTTGTGTCTAGATCAGGCTGACATTGCCTGGCAAAGCCATTGTCGAGCCCTATGCTAATCGAAAGTACGGAAAGTCCGTCTCTGTCAGAAACTCTACTCTCTCGACTTATACAAAAGACAACAATGTAAAGCAAGCTCCTTAAGAGTCCTGAACCCACTATTGGTTATAAAATAACTCGTATATCTCGCTTTAACATTTGATTGTACTCACAATTGCCGCTAGTGGGGGTTAGAGGTGACAAGAACTTGAATCGACTGTCCGAAAGACGAGTACATTGTCGCGATGTCTGTAACGAGACGGGAAGTTCAAAACCAGTCCCCAATACCAAGTCCGTTGGTCCTCATGACATCGCTTGAACACGGGAAGCCTTAGTCTCTGTCGTTGTATGTCTTGGACCTCTTTTTTTTTTCTCCCAATAGAAAACTGAGCCTCCGAGTTGTGTATCTGAAAACTCAGGAGTACCGGGAGAGCTTCCTCTACTGTAGCTCGAGAATGTTGAAGCACTAGTCCGAAGTCTCAGTGTTCTTTTCATTTTGTACAGGTACGACAGAACCTCCCCAACATTGTCACTACACGACCGCCAAGAGATTCAAACCAGAGAGATTTAGTCTATAAAAAATGTCACGAGGAAGTATGCAGGGGTGAGAGATTTTCAATGTTCTTATTATGGAGGTACTGTATTTGTAAAAGGAGTGGTTGCGAGATGTATGTACAGTGCCGGGGAGATAATCAGAGTTGACAACTGCTGTTGTTGGATAGAGCGCAAGACAGGACAGTGCCACTTTACCAAGCGGGCTTGCCCCCCACCCAAAACTGAGAAATGAGTTCTCTATTCAGCACTGTAAGCTGAACCTCTCGTCAACCAATCATCTGCAAGGTCACCATCACCCAGCACTGCTAACGGACATGGGAAACCGAAGGTCTTGATGGTCCCGATCTACTATACTTGTAATACTCACGATAAAGAACAAGTTCTCGTGGTGAGCATTTCTCGCATCAAGTATGAATGGAGCAAATACGCACGCTAAGTTGAAGGCATATCTGGGTAGGTCCAATCGTTCAGGGGCACATGCCTTGAAAAGCTGCAATTCAATTCAAAGACCCCTTACAAAAGTATCTGGAAGTTCCGGACCAGTATCCGGCCACGTTCTTGGCGGCATTTCGATTGCTGCACATTTACACTGAGACCTAGACCCCCATCAGCATGAAGCCGGCATTCAGAAAGAACCCGAGATAGTCCTGGAGGAGACTAGAACCCGTTTGGAGTGCCATAAAACACAATGCACAAATTTTCACTAGTACAGTATCCGACATTGAGTACACTAGTACCTATGTATCTATGAGATGTTTCTCAAAGAGCACTCCGAGATCTTTTGATCAACGCTTCGAAAAGGCTGTTACATGTACTGTACGGTACAGAGGCCGACTTACAGTATCTTTTCAACCAGTATCTCTTTAACCTCAAAGCAAGAACAAGGTACCTGTTTCTAAGGTAGGGTTTCAGCATTCGTTTGTTCTCCCGGTGGTAAAGAATCTCTGTAAACCCCTTGAGCAGATAAATGCGATGCAGGTTTTTACGAGAGTTCACAACATCTGAAAACGGATCTGCTGCGAGGTAATGCATGCGCTGGAGGTGCAAGTGCGATCGACTTTGTCTCCGTGGCTGGTGCCGTGGCACAGTATGCATGCAAGATCCGAATTCATTGGGCTACCATGACTGTCACTGGTCCACTGGTGGCAGATTCGAAGGTGGATAAATGCTGGAAAGTTATTAGACGCCACAAAGTTAGGGAATGAGAAAAGCCTAGGTCGAATACAGCTTTCGGTCAAGTCCAGACCGGAGGCTCGTTGGGCGTGAGTTCAGTACTTACACACTACAGTGCAATACACCCCTCCTCCGACGTTTTGGGGGTACCAAGAACCAGATGCGGTATGCATGGCAGCAAGGGGTGAAAAGAAGAAAGAAAATGGATAAGGGACTTCGTGGCGGATGCATTGACCCTACAGTACGAGCACTGCATACAAACCCGTTTCCGAAAGCTGGCACCCAAAGTGAGGTGCTAGGGTTTGGATACTTGTATTGTGTTGACACTTTCCCGGCTTCAAGAAAGAGCAATAACCGGAGTGGACTGGTCTAGAAGTATTGAAGCGGTACCCAGCTCATACGGAGTTCCAGGTAAGGGAAGGAACTAAAAGTACATACCGTACCATTGCATGTCCAATCATGTGGACTACGAGTTTCTCGTATCGGTACACTTCTCAACTTTTGGTTTGCAAGAATAAACTCGGTCCTCGGACGCGTCCGCTTCCCCGGATCTTCCTTCCACTGGATGGCGGTTAGAAATTCAGATGAACCCTAAGAGTTCATGCATTGCCCAAAAGCGGCCAATGTGGGGGTTCCTGGATCTTAGACCCTGGACTCAAATATGCACCAAAAGCCACCTGCATATAACCGTAATACTGTCTACTAGAATCCCCTTACTTGTGTGGTACAGTACATACGGTACAGTACATACATTACAGGACAAGTACCGTCATGGATCGGAACGACGTCTGGTCGATAAACCTGTAGAGATAGAGCAATTACATCACCAGGGAGCGTCCCAGTACCTTCCACCAACCAGACAGTTGCTTTCCACATCTGCATCGTGACGCAACTGCCTTTTTGATTTTTTTTTTGAATTTTTTAGAGATCGTAAAATTTCCGTATATACCCTGCAGGGCTTTTCGTACACCTGCAGCAGGAATGCAGACTCAATCTCGTTGCGGAAGATTCCGTCCCTTACAAAAAATATTGTGCTAATTGAACGATAGTCGTCGTATTTCTTTATGGAATTGAAAGAATGATGCAGATCGAGCTCCTTAGGAGAATATCCTAGGATGTGACATACATGGAAGGTGGGGGCATCGTGATGGGGAAGGCATTGCACCCTCATTTTTCATCGTGAAGAACCACCATTATATTCACTGATAAGAAAACTGCAACTCATTCCCGGAGACCGCATGCCGTGCGTTTGCTCAGTATATCTGCAGAGTCATGGTTTTCTCAACAATACGTGCGGAACGCAGAGGTTGACAATGGCTGTTCGGGCCCAAACGCTTTCCCAACTTCGATACTGCTCTGCACCCGTAGTGAGCACGTTTGCTAGGGCCTTACCGGTGAGAAAAAAAAAAACGATGACAGAACTCGTGAAAAGTCTCAGTAGCGCCGATCTTAGACTCATTGCGACAACGGTTTTCAAGCGTCTTTGCAAACAAAGGCATCGTACCTTACAGTACAGGAGGTTAACTTCAGCCGCTTCGGTGTGAGTGAGGAACGTTTCCGCAACTGGCGCACATTCCAGGAGTGGAAAAGTTGCACATGAACGGGATATCTGCATGAAAATTGCTCCCGGTCTGCCCCTATCCAATCTATATAAACCCATGGAAGACCCTGACTACTTCTTTAGAATCAACAGCCTCAGCTTCTCTCTTACCAAAGTCTCTCATTATGAAGTTCTCTATCCTCGCTCTTGCTACCCTCGCTTCTATGGCTCTCGGCCTCGTCGTCACCGACGACCCCGAGCAGCTGGAGTACCTCGAGACTCCCTCTACTAACCACATCTTCCTTGCCTACGCTAAGATCATTCCTAGCCTGGCTGCTGCCAACATTGTCACCAATGCTGGAGCTCTGGCTCTGAAGATGGGCATGAAGATTCCCTTCGTTAACAGCAGGGATCTTTCTCGTCCTCCCACCCACGAGGAGCTCCTTGAGGGTCTCCGACTCGTCGTCCAGTACTCCGCCGAGTCCGGACGACCTTGGTCCAAGGCCGTTAACCCTACCCTGCCCATGGCTGCCATCAAGTGGGTTGTCGGCAAGTCCTCTAACAAGCCCTTCACTGCTGAGGACCTGAAGCTCGCCCGACGAACTGTCTTCAACATGTACATGGCCCAGACCATTGCTAAGAATGCCGAGACCTCCAAGAACGCCCACATTGTTCTCCCCGATCCCGTCAAGACCGTCACCGTCACCGTCGGCGCCGCCCCCACTAACTGATCGAAACATACCCCTTACATATAATTACTAATTAATATCTGGTTTTGTGCTTGTCGTTGTTAATATTAGACATCTTTCAGAGTAAACAACACCAACTCCACATTTCTTCAAGTGGTAAAGCACGGAACAGAGTGTTTACAAGGAACAGTGGTACATACATACTCGTGTTTTTTTTATTCTAATGATCCATTACAGCTATATATATTATTATTCTAGGGAGATACATTTCAGCTACTTGAATCATATTAGCAATGTTATACCCGCAATGCGGATTCGGATTCGGTTGTTCAGAAGACGCATGACATGCTGTTCGGTAGCTCACGTATCCTTCCTGTTCCATCTCTTGACCGGATAAATATATCAACAATCAAACAAAGCAAATAAGAAGTAGTCGTATCAGACACTGCCATATTGTGCTGCTGAGAAACGAAGAAACTGTAGTCGTTAAAATAGATGACTTAAAAAGTCGTGTGGCATGTGGTAGACGTGGTCATCCCGGCAATGGTGTCCGTGTGACATGAGTTCGTTGCAACTGGTAAAACGCAACCAGGCCCCGGTACTTGAAAACCGTTGCCTGGGAAGGATGTCTGACGACAGGCAGACAACATAGTCGAAGCATGTGGAGCGTTTCGGCACATCTAGTCGCAGCCCCGTAATGTTTGCTCAAAAAATTGGTGGCTTTGGGCCATAGTGCGTGCCCACGGTCTCACGCCTCAGGGAGAAGGGCCAACCAGTGCTTGTTCTTCATGACGGTGAAGTGATTGCGCCAGTCAGCCATTGCCCGTGCAGACCTAAGAGGGATCGGATCAAAACGGTACTTAATCAGAGACTCAGTTATGGAGCCCGCGGGGATCTTCCAGCATGGGTGTGCGAAGGACGAGCAGATGGCTAAACGCCTCCTTTCCACGACAGACGCGGCTCCAGGGCGCGGTTCAGCTCTTCGTGTCCTTCTGAGCAAGGATATGAAGACCAATGTCCAAAATGTGGGAGCAGAAACGGTGCTACCGCCAGTTATAGATGGCGAACCAGTTCGATTTCAAGAGACGGAGGGCGGGATGGGCGTCTTCGCCGTATTACACAGGGAGTAACTCCGAACCCAAATGGTAGAAAACATTCTGTTTCGCGGGCGTGTCCTCTCGGATAAACCGAGGAGACGGTGCCTCTTTGAGACTCACTGCCTGGTGATTCAGGTTCCTGAGTCCTAAGATACCGGCCTTGAGAGGCTGTAAAACAATCACGTTCTTGAAACTGCGCCGGCCCTTGGCGCCGTTGCCGCACAGACCGCTGTAGATATTGACACACGCGAATTTTTTTTTTTCACCCCAGACTTATGCACTATTGGAGCCCACCAACGGCTGAAATCCATCCATGGCATCCTGGCCGAGCGGTTAAGGCGAGAGATTAGAAATCTCTTGGGGTTTCCCCGCGTAGGTTCGAATCCTGCGGATGTCGCCATCTTTTTGTCTGTATTTGTTTTTCTTCGTGGCATCACACACCTTGCACTCAGCGCCCAAGCCGTGTTCAACAGACTGAGCCGTTCAGGTTCACTCACTTTGAGAAGACTGTTTTTTGCATCAATGGAACTACTTGTACAGGTACATACATACCGTAAGTACAGTACTGTACAGTATATGTAATTGTAGACCAGAAATCTTCTATAAACACTCGAGAATCGTCTGATGGAGATGCCTGTCATAATTTCTCAATGTTTGTTCATTTCGAATGAGAGTCTGAAGGTGGCGCGCCAAAACGTGACATAATTGTATGGAAGTAAAAGCACCCGTGAATTAAGATATAATGACAGTATGTACACAGTACTGTACTTGTACATATTGTACAACACCCGTAGGCCCCTGAAGCATTCAGACAGATTTTCAAGTCTGCAACTCAAACTTATCCAGCAGGCAGCCTGATTTTTGAGGTGTATTCAGAAGGAAAAAGTTGACCGAGGATGAAATGATCTCTGACAGCAAAATCCCCTGTTGATATTTAGTACTGATCAAACCCTGGAAGGGCCGGACCGTCGAAGAGCGTGAAATTTGAGTCTCCCGAGCCATACAGTACATACGAAGTTCTGTTGCTACTGTGGCAATTACTCAATATATGGATATGAAGAGATAGATCTATGACTGAGGGTACTTTTACTTGTCACAAAAAGGAGTAATTAACCAAGCAAAACAGTTGGGTCTGCTATTGTGCCCGGTGAAAGAATGTTCTCCCATATTCTGATATAACAAAGGTATATTTAGAGTTCCATTTGCCACTCGATACGATGAACCTTATTAAATAAGCGAGCCAACCTTCGGTAGCTTGAAAGAATCACATTGAGAAAAATGCTGCTATAAATTCACCATTTGGATTATCTAATATATTTTCCATCAATTATTATGTGATAATCTCAATTTCTAACCTCATGATGTGAGGTTTCTCGAATCTTCGACAGAGCTCTCTCTCTTTCGTTTATGCAATGATCGACACTAATTTTTGCCACCAATGCAACTCTAACGAGTCTTTCGAAACTCTATCACGCTCCTCCAGCAGTATTTAAACCCCCTCCATCGCCCAGTTTGTCCAGTATCAGAAGTCGACCAGTCTCTCAGCTTTTGCAGAAGATACGGTCACTTCGAGAGCTGCTGATACTGCCGAGCGAAAGCTATGAATCAGTACTTGTCTTGCGCGAGCGGACATTCACTTCACTCCTACCTTGACGCAACTTATGTTGCCGAGTTGGAGAGTCAGCACACCTCTCCTCATGCATCTATGGGATAGAGCTATGACGAGCAAAGATTCGCAATCTACTCATGAGCTCCTTCTCTCAGATGGTTCGCAACCACGGGTGAAATTCCCAGCATGAGCAACACTTTGGGGTCTGCTCTACTGGTCCTGTCGCAAGGCAGTATTCCAGAAGTTGCTGAGCGGAAAGCTGCAAAGCCTCTGCTACGACGCAATTGTTGAGACTGATTAAAACCGTGCGTGAACAACGCATGAGCGAGTAACTAAGACGTGAAGCTGAGCGTAAGCTACGAAGCTGCCGAGTGAAAGGAAACCCCTCAGTACATGCACTAAAAGGACGCAGGGTGATGACGAGTTGGAGACTTAGCAAGCCCCTCATGAATCCTGTCTCCGTGGATATGAAGCAGTGACGGACATGAAACATTGTCCATGAGCTCCCTGACGGTATGGGTAGCTCCCTTGGGTGCAACTCCCTGCATGGATAATAACTACTGAATGCTTTGGAGGGATGGACTGTCGTTTGAACAGTCATATGTCTTCTCCATCTGCTGTTGACTTGGTATCAGCACACCAGGAATCACGGTAAAGAGAACCGCTGACACACGATCCGAACCTGATCCAGCTTGTTCCGCCTGAGCATAAGCGTCTGCAAAGACCGCCACTGAGCAAAGTGTTTGTGCCCAACCTGCCAGACCGCCAGAGCAAAGAGCAAGTCCGAGCCGCAATGAGCCAGAACTAGAGCCGCCGACCGACAAATGCCAACAAAACAACACAACGATAACGCTGAAGAGCCGCCTGGAGCTGTTGATGGTGAAACTCCACCAGCCCCCAGAGCAGGAGACGTTGAAGCGACTGAGACACGTTAAGTTATGCCAGCACAAGAGTGACACTGTGAAACGATGACGACAGCGCAAAGGTGAAACTGTGAACTACGAGAGCAGAATGCCAGCACCTTGAGAGCATGGGCCAGAGCCAATCAGTAAGAGCCAGAGCCATGACGATAAGCCAGTGAGTGCCAATGAGCCAATAAGAGCCAGGTGTTATGCCAATGAGAGCCGGAGCTGAATCGAGCTAGAGCCAATAAGAGCAGAGAGATCCAGAGCCAACGAGCCAGATCTAAAGAGTCAGAGCTCCGCAGAGGAGCCATACTAAAGGCAGTCGGAAGTTGATCTTCTTGATCCAAGATTCGCATTCAAAAAGGATGTAGGCAGTCGAACCTCGACACGAGGATGTAGACGAGACCGAACCTTTTAGTCTATAGAAAAGAGGATGTAAGCAGTGAGCTGAACCTCTGGGGTTAATATATTATGGACCATGAAGTCCCACCCAAATCATCGCCTGTAGTGTTTCTGTAAAAGTAGTTGTGCTGAATTGTAGATAAGTGTCATGGAATGCAAGTAGCTTCACTTCTTTAAAGGTATATGAAAGAGTATATAAACTTTTCAATATCAACAATGAAAATTTCCCGATTGGGTAATATATTACTCATCTAAAGGGAAAAAACTTGGAAAATCCTACTTTTATACTCCATAAATTCTTATATTGCTATATAATTCCCTAATATATATACTGTACGACTATTTTCAAAGTGCCAAGCAGCCCCCACTGCTGGTACTTCGAAAATCGTCGAAGTTTATGACTAGTGGCTGCCGACACCAACAGCCCCCACTGTTGATGTTTCGACGCTAGTCATGGGTTTGATCTCATCAGGGCAGCCAGTCCCCCATTGTGCTTGACGCGCAAATAAAAAAGTAGTGGAAAATCCACTGAGCCCACACCGCAATAATCCGACACCCCACCACACAACTGACAGTGTTTTGTACACTGAAAAAGAGCCGTCACCGCAAAAGAGCCAACATCCCGAAAAGAGCCAACACCGCAAAAAGAGCCAACACCGCAAATAGAGCCAACACCCGAAAGAAAAAAAGAGCACTGGGGGGCACCCGAGACTTACTTGCATTACTGGAAAGAAGCGCCAGACCTTGACCACGTGAGGCTGGGGGGCGTGGTCGAAGGGTAAGAAAAGTGGCATCTCTGCGAGATTCCGGTTTCCGGAGGTCTGGCAGAATCCACCGCCTCGAGCAATCTTCTGTAAAGGAAATTGAGACACTAGAGGGATGGGGACACCCCTTCCCAATCGAGTCTCACGACGTTTCTTCCTATTCAAAACTGCCAGAAGAAGCTGAGACAACCTGATCCGTGGTAGACTCCAAGGAACGGACACGAGGCTGCTCTATAGGGCCTTGAGAGGAACTTTCCACCACCCC